AGCACATAATGCGAGAGCTCTCTCGACCACAGGCCAGGATCCCTGATTTCGCCGACGCTGAAATCTAAACCCTTGCACAACCAAATTTTATCAAGTACATAGTCTTGCAGAATCTCATTCGGTTTCTGCACTCGGGCGGACATAATCTTAAGTTTCTCACTACGCGTGCGCGAATACGTAAACGCGGAAACAAACGCATCTTCAAAGTTCTGAAAACTTTGTACCGTCTCACCTTTGTTCATGAGCCACTTCCAAGCCCCGTTTCTCAATCGAACCTTAGCCACACTCAACGTTACCTCTTCACTCCAGCTATGCAGTGTCTTAGTATTTTTCAGGTCATTAATCCACGCGCGCGCACTTTCAGGTCCTTCATTACCATGGAATTCGCGAATTGTATCATGAACACTGGCCATTGAAATTAACTGATTCTGACCTTGCCGGTCAGCATTCAACGACCCTTGCAATGTCGTTAAACTTTGCGACTGACTCAACATAACCGTACTAAGCGTTTGAATAGCGTTCGCTAACATTTCGGCTTGCGACTTAACTGAATTTACGGAGGGCAATGGCGGTTAACGCCCCTCTTGTTATCTTCGCAATTCCGCTTCCATGGCGCGCACATTCGTTTCGTATTGTTCGCGCTCTTCTTGTCTACGCTGCTTCTGCCTTTCTATTTCCGCAAGAGCGGCTCGCAACTCTTCCTTGCTCATTTCGCCGCTTAACACGTCGCGCAAACCGTTATTCGTAACGAACTTTTCGAAGTCGTTGCCGGGTGACGTCACCGGCTTTGTGACGGCTTTGTTCTTCGCGATCGTCAACTTACTACGCACTTTTCAATTCATGCTTACTTCACACGCGGTTTTACCAGTTTTTAATCTTACGTCCTTAACAATTAATCAAAAGTATCTTAGACACTTCTTAATATACAGGGTGTCTCAGCCGATTTTGACATCTTGATTTCCTCGGTATTGTGGCACGTAGTGAAAATTGTTTCATAGGGAACTTAAATGGTATCCAATTCGGCATGTTCTGGTGTTATTAGTTTTTTCGCACGTAGACGCGTCAAAAACTTTGTTTTTTTAAATGAAATGGGATACTTTTTTATGTACCTGAGATACCCTGTATAGTCTAAATTACATCGTGTTTAGTCTTATTTTAATCAATAAAACTTGACAATTACATTGATAAAAGTTTCATCCAACAAAAATAAAAAATAAAAATATTTTATTGTTAAATTAGTGTTGTCTCACCGATATGCTGTTTTCGGTTGCTTTGATTCTCGGATCTCTTTGTCTTTCGCTGTCTGCCTTTTTCTAAGTTCGGCAACATTCAAAGGTTCGGCCCGTGCCATTTCTATCAATAAAAATCTATACCTCCACTTCGTAAATGCATGGCTTGACCCCTGATTTTTAGGTGCTCATCCAACTTATACTGTACTAGAACGTAAATTATAAATCCGTATGGTAAAAGATGATCTTGTCCAACCATTACAAATAAGTGATTGTATATTCGGTTTATTCGTCAATGTCTGATAACCTTGACCTGGTATTCGAATAACTGGCCAGCAAGGCTAACAGCTCAACTTGACCGATTACATTGAGGCTACTTCATGCTCGCGGTCAACTACATAAGCGATCGTTTTCTATAGAAGATGACCTAGAGAGACTACCAGATTATACAGGGTGTCACAGAAAGAGTAAAAATCCTCTGGAAAAATGATTGCTGAGGCGAACCTGAACAACATTTTCGTTTACCAAAATACTCCACGTGCCCCGCTTCTGCCACAACACACTGTTCGTACGGCCGCTGCCACGTTGCTATTGTACTGGGAAAATATGGAAAACATGTAATATTCCGCTCTATTTCGTAACGTTTTCACGATGTTACTGGTTGTGCTTTGTAACTTGAAATGGGACTGCTAGCTTGAGTGGCCATTAATCTGTTATTCTTGACAACCGATTTCGTACCACGATTTCATTAAAAGACAAGGATATTCTACATCTAGTCCTACTGGTAATAACCGATTTAACGCTGGCAGAACAACAACGGCTCGTGCCGACTGTTTGAATGTTGCCGAACGTAGAAAAGGACAAAGAACGAAAAAGAACGAGGTCCAAGAATTCAAAGGGTCGAGAAAAACACATCGACCAGACAATATTAATTCAATAATAACTTTCTTGTTTTTTATTTTTGCCAAATGAAACTTTGGTAATTATTGAGATTAGGTTACACCTCACCGATTTTGATGAAAAAATATGTTGTAAAACTCAACACATTGAACAACTTTTTCCTATACATATAACCGCCGCTCGGCCTTAGTTTTCGAGATATTTTCGAAAAACTGCTGCTACTACTACAATGAATTCTACGTATACCTATGCATGTATACTACTATACATGCTAGCTTATAACTACTAGCTGAACTAAATTTGTCACGTGACTTGTTCTGTATTATCCAGATAATGGCGGAACTCGTCTGTGGGAATGCTTTTACGGGAATTCACTTTTCGTCCTTATATGAAAAGATTTTGATCTAAATACGGGTTCATTTGAAAGAGGAAGGTTCAATGTAGGGCGGTCTGGTCACCGTTTGAGTCACAGAACTGGTTTAGTGACCTAAAAAATACTTGGAATCTGCGGATGTATTTTGTCGATTTTTCCTCTATTTTGGACACTCATATTATTAGATATCAACACAATCGCGTTGAACCATGACCAGACCGCCCTGCATTGGACCTTCCTCTTTCAAATGAGCCCTCACCCGGCCCTAAATTTTCTCATAGTAAACCCCTGTTTAGGCCCATTTTTGCCGTTAATGTCACCTCGCTGCATTACCCGTGTCTACCCCCTTAATCGATTATTATCGATACTTTTTTACAGAATATCGATATTTTTTATCTCTGTGAGAAAACTGAACAGCATGATATGATAACGCGACGAGCACTATTCAATGAGCGTATAATTTTCAAGAAATGTTGTATGCTCATTGGGTATAAGTCGTGTTCCGAAATTCATTGCCAGCACTGAAAATCTTTAATACGTAACTAGATTCCAGCTCTGGCAGTAAATTTCGGAATGCGACTAAATAAGAATGCCATACGCATTTGTGCTATTATATTCTTGTAACTCTTATTAATTGTTCTTCATTCTTATTCTGTGATCTTAGATTAAAAAAATTATCTTATCCAAATGCTCCATCTATAATTTTCTTTATCATCTCAATCCTTTTGCATCTGTTCTGCTATTGCAGGTACAGTGACTTTTTATAATGTACGCATAATATTTTGATGTTTATGCTACTTATGCATATCTATTCTTAGAATATCCCATTCCCTATAGATTTAATAAAAACATTTTTTCTAGTCACGAAGTCAACCCTGTTGCACTTACAGCTCAAGAACCCGCAAAATACATTTGTACTATTACTACTTGGGGGAATTCATTAATATTCATTGAAGTTAACATTGAATGTACGATTCTGATTTAACTATATTTTTTAGTAAAACTTAAATAAGAAAGATAGTGTAATATTTTTTGTTTACCTGTATATGCATTTTCTAGGCTACACTCTAGGAAATGTGCTCAGGGTGATGTTTCCAAAATCAGCCCTAATAAAAAAGAATTCGATACTTCGACATTTTTTAAAAAGCATCGATATTTAATTATCGATTTTTTAACTAATCGATTATTTTAACATTGACATTTTTTTCGAACATCGCCCATCCCTACAATGAACCTAATTGGTTCTCTGATTGAATTTCATTTCTCTTTAATCGAACGTTTAATTACTTGGCGTTGTTTAAATCATGCTAATCAAGCTTTATAATGAATACTCCTTGATAATTAACAATTTAATAACAAAAACCGATTTCCATCTTAAAGTTTGAATTTAACGCGCTTAGAATAACTTCAGGCACTACATTCAAGTTTTTCATATAGCCTAATTCACAACTTATTCTACAACGAAATGTAGCTACATTCACACATACAGGCGAAAATCGCAACAATATAAAAAAGTAGACTAGTATGGTACAGTAAAAGCTGGATATATGCAACAAAAGTTTGACTGGATATATGCAACATCGCTATCCCCTCCACTTGGAGGGATCCCCCTAAGCCGAACCGAGCCGCTCGGCGAGGAAACCGTGTAATATGATCCGACCGTAATATCGATGTGACTAATACTAATTGAACGATAAAACTTTTTTATTTTTAACTTTTTCTTAATGAAACTTTTACTAACGCATTTGTAAGATTTTTCTGATTAAGATGGTACCAAACACGATATGATTTGAATTACATTTGTTTATTAAAGTAATAATAAAACTGTACATATGCATAAGGCAGGCCGTACACCACAGATACATCAAACACGCAACATGCAACATGTAACACGTTGCATGTTGTGTACGAACGTAGAATAGGTATCGCGGCACGGTACAAACGATTTGTACGAACGTAGAATAGGTAACGCGGCACGGTACAAACGATTTGTACGGACACAGAATCGGTACCAAGACTGGATATATGCAACGTTTAAATGCCCAGAATCGACACCTCAGCTGGATATATGAAACATTAAATGCCCAGAATCGACACCTCGGCTGGATATATGCAACGTTTGAAACCAGAGCCGACACCGCAACCGGTTTTCATTTTCAATCGTCCTTTGCTTTTCGCCACTTTTAACATCAATTTTAGCAAGTAATTATAATTCAAACTATATCGTGTTTGGTACCACTTTAATCACAAAAATCTCACTAATGCGCTAGTACAAGTTTCATTAAAAAAAAGTCAAAAATAAAAAAGTTTTTTGATTCAATTAGTTTAGTCACACCGATACGTTTCGGCTCTTTCCTTTGATCATCGGACCTCTCTCTTTCCGCCACTGTCTGTCCTTTTCTACGTTCGGCGTGTAACCCGAGATTCGACACCTCGACTGGATATATGCAACGTCTGGGTCCCAATGTTTGTTGCATATATCCAGCTTTTACTATATTTCGGAAAAATCAAAAACATTTGAATGCTCATATGTGCCAACTATCAAATTACGGATAAAAGCAATATGGCGTCATAGTGACCTGTCATACTATGTACTTACAACACTATATGCTACTATATATATAGCAATTCTGATGTATAGTAAGTAAGTGCATATTTAAGTACCTAAGTACATCTTACTACATTTTAAAATTTTATTAGGGTTATGTTAGTTAACATTTAACATAAGTTAAATATTTTTCATAAAAATTATAATTACAAGACATGGCTACTAATAAAAATGTTATTGTACTTGCACCAAATGGTCGTCGACAAAACGTCAAAGTTACTGCCAATACTACAATATTACAAGTAAGTAACAAACTGATTTATGTCATTAACTAACTCAAAGTTCAATTATTAAAATTTATTATTTGCAATAACGTTAAATCAAATATGCCTTTCATAGGTGCTGGAAGAAGTTTGTCAAAAACAAGGTTATAACGTAGACGATTACGATGTCAAGTAAAAATCGTTTCACACATACATTAACATATAAAAAATGATATCAAAATAAATCTTAATTCATAATATTTTATTTGTAGACATTTCAATCAAGTGTTAGATCCCAATGCAATATTAAGGTTTACGGGTTTACCAAATAATGCACAATTAGAAATGATACCCTGTACAAAGACCCGTTTAAATTCTACTGTCACAATAGGTGTGCAATTAGAAAGTGGGGAGAGATTAATGGCAGAGTTTATGCCAAATGTAACATTAATTGAAGTTTTACAGCATCTGGATCTCAATGAAGATCTTGAAAAAGTTGCTTTAACCTACATGCATTGTGAGGTATGAACATATCTAAGTAATATGTTATTAACCTATTTCAATAAGGATTTAATGCTATATGTGCATGTGTATTGTTTCAAGAATCAGTTATAATGTATGAATTATTATTTTATCAAAATTGGAGTCATTAAATAATGACATTACAGGATGACAAGGAAATAGATGGCCAAACTTCGGTCCAATGTTCCTAAGAATGGAATAAGATCATATAAACATAGGTCTAAAAACTCTTTTTTGCCAAAATATAGGCACCTTTTGATTATGATAGAGTATTTTAGGAATGTTTAGGACTTACTTAATACCGATTTTCTTCTGCTACAAATACACACTTCATATCAATGTCTCAAAGATTGTTGAAGATGTTACAGAATTTCTGGTGTATTCCAAATTTTCAAGCCATCAATAGTGTTGTTATCATAAACTAAATTTTTAAGATGTCTCCAGAAATAAAAATCCAAAAGATCTAAGATAGGAAAGCATGCAGGCCAGACAATTAGTTTTTTTCTATTAATCCATTTATTAATGTAGTATTCATATTAAGATATTTCTGTACAGCTTCACTAAAATGTTTGTGCATAAATTTGAGTGCGTATTAATGAACTATAGTACATTATGTAATAAAATGTGGAAAGCTTATTTTCCAAAAATTGTGTGTAATTTCTATCTTTTAGTGTAGATGGAGGAAAACATGGTCGAATAACAAAACTTTTAACAATCACAACCCTTGTATAACATGTTGATATTGGAATGAATCATTTGAATAGCACTGTCTTCATTATAAAACGTTCAGATATGTACTGATTTACTGTAAAAACTACTGTCTTCAATGTCAACATAACTTAACATGCTCTAACATATTTAATTCTAGCAAATGAAATAATGACAGTGCTTAAAATTCTATGTCTGGCAGCTATTCTAGAGAATTTTCGATGTATGCAAAAGGTGTCTATATCTTGGAAAGGAATAATTTTACATTTATTGTTTATATGATTTCTTTTCATCGTAAGAAACAGTAGAATATGGTGCCAAAGTTGGGCTACTCCCTTGTTACATCATATACATGTTATAGTTTATTGAAGTTACTTAAATGGTCATTATTATAAAAAATGCAGATGCAGTAAGATTTCTCTAATTGTCCGTTTGTTGCCCTGCTGACAGTGTTCATCAATTTCGTTCTACGCTTATGTATTTCTCACCCGACGCCTATGTTCTCTTCCTTCAAGTCAGTCACGCGACACGCGACGCGGCTTCTTTGATGAGAGTTAGAGTTTGGTAGTTTATAATAAAGCGCTGTAATTTTTTTAATATTAATTTTGTTTACCTACGGATTTTTTAAACATATTGGCCAGACTCTTCTGATTAAAATGAGACCAAACACGATATAATTTGGAGCATATTTACTTTAGTTTATGTACATATGTACATACAAGGGAACATCCCAATGCGAATTTTTTTTTCGTCCGTATAGTCCAAATTATGTCATGTTTGGTCCTATTTTAAACAGAAAAATTGTACTAATATGTTAAAATAAAAAACAGAAAAATCTAAAAATAAGAAAGTTAAACTGTTGTTAATTTCTCAGCTACTATGGCTCTCATGCTATCCTTCTCTTTTACGACTTGTTGCCGGAGATCAAAAGCAGCCGCGAAGCTCGAAAAATCATGTCTATCCTGCCCACATTGTCCATTTTCGCTTCTCAGCTTACGGACAACTAGAGAGATTTTACTGTAATCTTGAAATCTGTAATATGTTTCCACTTACAAAAAATTGTCGCTACAGCTTTTGTAAATAATATCATTCTATATTTTCAAAAATATGTGAACATTTTTTTTTAGTGGAACTTTAATAATGTATTTTGCATTCTTTAAAAATTGAAATATGTATTCAAAAATATTTGCTACTTATCAACACTTTCCATTGCTACACAATTTCATTATTATGCTTGATATAATTCAAGATTCTATGTAGTAACTGTACTTAATATGATACATTTTAATAATTCAATAATTATATTGAATTATCTGTATGTGTTTATAAATTAAAAGGGAAGCGTTGCTGTACAGATTTTTACGTGATCTTTCTGCATTGCCGATGTAAAGTAATTACAATCCCAAAGTTGTTGCTTACAGCGAGTAACTTCAATGTGCCCCCCCCCCCCCCCCCCCCCCCCCCCCCCCCTCCCCATCATGGTTAGGTATAGCACCAATGCGCTAGTACAAGTTTCATTAAAAAAAAGTCAACAATAAAAAAGTTTTTTGATTCAATTAGTATTAGTCACACCGATACGTTTCGGCTCTTTCCTTTGATAATCGGACCTCTCTCTTTCCGCCACTGACTGTCCTTTTCTACGTTCACGCTTGACTGCTCGTCGCGTGTAACTCGAGATTCGACACCTCGACTGGATATATGCAACGTCTGGGTCCCAATGTTTGTTGCATATATCCAGCTTTTACTGTATTTATAAATACAACAAATGATTTATCTTGAAATAAAATAATGAAACTAATATTTTAAAACAAAATTTAACTATTCTGTTGAGTTCTCCTATAAAATTGAACAACTTTCGTATAAAACATTTTTTAGCATTTTCAATGATTTGCAAAATCATTAAACTATCACAAAGCATTCTGACATGAAAAGTTCCACTTCTTTAAATTGGTTTATTGAATAATACAGATTGATTAATTAACCAATTATTAAACTGGTTTATTGATTAATAAAAAAAATAGACTTATAAACAATTTATTTATTACTATTAATGTAAAAATTTGTTTCACATCGCGTCGCGGCCTTGAGAGCTAGCAAACACAAAGTTGTGGTTTTTTCTAATACCAGAACGTGTTGTGGTTGTTTCGTTCTGAAAACAGAAATTTCATACTATGGTATTTTGGTGTGACAGAATGCGATATGATTATTTATAAGCAGAATAAATGGAAATTTCTTGTTAAAGCTGTACATACCTCTAAATTCTAAAGCCACAATAGGTTCTTGTAGTTTTTCTTGCTTATTAAGTGGTTTCGTATTCTGAGCTTATCATATATATTTAAACCAAATGTACCTGCTTATACAGTTACACGTATTAAATAAGTAAATAGAAATAAGATAAAAATTATGAAACAGTTATCCATATAATTTAATTAATTATAATGCAATATTCATTTTGAACTTCATAATTGTTTTTATAGATTTATGGAGTTGATACTTTAAAGAAGACAACTTTAAAATCATTAGGTCTGAATAATGGCAGAGCTGTATTACGCCTAATACATCGGCATCCTCGAAAGTCAAATGATGCCGTTTCCACAAAGTCGGAATCTGTAAAGGGTATTGAAAACTCTATTTCAGATAATAAAGCAACGGCTTCTAATAAAGCTGTAAGTCCTATAATTCCCTTACAAAAGGAGGAGCAAAGACCAAGAAAATTAGAAATCTGCCCTCAGCATGTAGAAAGAAAAGAACAGACAATAATAAGAACAGATGAAACACATAAGGTTTTTAAAGGAGAAGAAGGTAAATCAGTAATATCAATGAAGAAAGATAGCTGCGAAAGCTCACCACAAACATGTTACAAACGCGAAATAACACGTCTACCTGATATAGAATTTGTAAGATATATTTATACAAAGGATAATCTCCTTTGGTATGTATATATAATTCATAATTGCTTTTGTTATAGTTGGGTGAGAGAAATGCTTTAGTGTTCAATCAAGCTGAAATGAAACCAATATCCAGAGATGAATTACCAGATGATTTTTACGATTTAACAGTTGATGATGCAAAAATACTACTAAGAGACGTTAAACGTTACAGGAAAGAACTGGAAGAAGCACCTCTTTTAACAACCGTTCAGCGACAATTAAATCAAGAAAAACGAACGTTAAATCAGTTGAATAAATATAATTATACAATAATTCGCGTACACTTTGCAGATCAGTTTATTCTTCAAGGTTTATTTCAACCAAAAGAAACTGTACAAATGATCAAAGATTTTATCAAAAATTATTTAGCTGATCCAAATAGTGATTTCGTTATTTGTAAGTAGCACTAACATTTAACAAACTTCCTAATTATGATTACCATCAGAACATCTTCAAAATTATAAGAAATATGAAAATATTTTTTTTATTAAGAAAAACCTATAACTTAGTTCCTTCTTTATACATAGATTGCGATGTTATTCAATTAAGAATTAGCTGATATGAATTTAGCAAGTATTTAAAAACGTCGTTGTATAAAAATTTTTTGTAATTTAACTTGATAATTAATTACTACAGAATAATCCTGCTTAAGAAGTAAATATTTATTTTTTCATAAAAATTTACTCTTTTATAGGTTTTGAGAAGTTTAGATGGTAATTTTTAGATACTATGAATATCAATTACTTTAAACAATATATAAGTAATTGAAACAAAAATTATATTATTCTTCAGAGATGTTTAATACATATTTTTATTATTTAACAGTTACTACTCCACCGAAATGTATTTTAGATGTAAATACATCTTTGATTAATGAAAATTTAGTTCCTTGTGCTAACGTTTATTACTCTGGACCGTCAGCTCTCAAAACAGATGTAAAACAAAAAGTCACAGACCCTAAGAAAGTTAAAAGACAAGTAGCTGAAATTAGGTAATTGAAAATTGATTACATATTTTGTCAAATAGTTATTATTATAATACATATACTATACAATATACCCTACTGTTACTTTTGTAGAATGGCAATGATAAATCAAGGAGACCAAATCTCAAGAAATGATGTGAAAATAAATAGCACTAATCAAGGGGAAATCAATACATAGTAAATATACAAACGAATCAGAAAACAGAATCAAAATACCAAAATGGTTAAGTTCACCACTTTAATAATTTGGTAGTTCTTATTGTTGTTAACAAAACTATGTAACTATCGTAAAATACTGGAATTAACGTAATACTACATTTGTTATTGTAATTATATATTCTTTATACAATAAACTGTGAAATATAAATCATATACATATACATTGAATTTTATCGTCTTTACTTCAACATTAGTATAAAATATAAATAATCGAATATTGCGCAAGTGGTTATTAAAAAAATAATTAAACTTTTAATTTATTACATTACATCTCAATTAACTTATACAGAATAAAAATGTTATTTAATTTAAATTTCTTATCGTCAACGTAATAAATGTTACATATTTATTTATTTACTATATCTGTGATTAATTGGTTATTAAGAATTCCAATTAATTAACAATTATTAACATACAGGATGTCTTAGAAAGGTTGTGTGCCGTGAACACATGGCAAATCAAATCAGAAACTCTTTTATCATTTAACCATCTGTGTTATTCAAACTAGGTTGCATTTTTTATTCAAACCTCACGAGGGGCACTACCCAAGTGTTACACTCACTTATTAATGAAACTTTGCCACCTTGTAGAGCTCAATAGCTGAACACGCCTATACCCCATTTTGTAGGCGTTTAAAAGATATTAAGAATTAAAGTTAGTTACTCCTTACATTGAGAAGTATGTTGAAATCACACATACAAACGGTTAGCTCCGCGGTTAAACACATGTCTTGCAATATAAAGGTCCACGGTTCAAATCCTTGATTCCCAACATTTTTTCTTCTTTTTTAAAAATAATTAGTCTCTTTTTGAATAACTATTACAGCTGTGCTATAATCATTACATTTATTAATAATTAATTACATACGCTGTAATTTTTATAGAATTTAAGTTATGTTTTCCGTCCAGTACGTATATTACCATCCTTACCGCATTCGAAATTTACACGTTTATTTGTTATTATACAAATAATTGTAAATAGATACAAGTACTTGTGTACTTATAGCGTATAAATTAATTATTAATGAATGCAATGATTTGAGAGCTGTAATAGTTATTCAAAAAGAGACTAATTATTTTTTTAAAAGAAGAAAAAATGTTGGGAACCAAGGATTTGAACCGTGGACCGTTAGATTGCGAGTCATGTGTTTAACCGCGGAGCTAACCATTTGTATGTGTGAGTTTGTCATATTTCTCGATGTAAGTAGTAACTAACTTTAATTGTTAATATCTTTTAAACAATTAGCCGTTTGCCCACAAAATGGGGTATAGGCGTGTTCAGCTCAACGAGCTCTACAAGGTGGCAAAGTTTCATTAATAAGTGAGCGTAACACTTGGGTAGTGCCCCTCGTTAGGCGATTGTGTGAACAACTAATTACGTGGCAGTAGAATGTATCTACAGAGTGATCCTCTCGTTAATGGACTCAAAGGAAGTTCCGCCACACCAGTATGAATGGACCCAAGCCCTTTTCTGTCATCGAAACCTTTTCACGGACACAGCTATAGTATGCAGCCCCCTCGAGAAAACGGCTTGGGTCCATTCATACTACATTGTGGCGGCACTTCCTTTGAGTCCACTAGAGAGAGGATCACCCTGTATATGTGTCTACAACGTATATAAGTACTTATACACGCACATAACAAATACTGCCAATCAATAGCAGCTCATTTATTTATCGCTGGCCCTTTTTGTAGCGCTAGGGCAATTAATATCTTCTTTATCAACAGTGCTCGTTACATTACATATACATATCTACACGCGTTTTTCTGTACTATGAATATTTGTAAACAATTTAATCATTAAAAGTTTAAACGAAGTTACAGACTGCAAAATGATAAATGACAATTCACAACTTTTTTAAGGCGCCCGTTTTAATCGATTCTCCCTACATGTATGTAAAATTATTAACTCTGTAAATCAGGAGGTACTGTAGTAGGCGACTGTAACTGTAAATGCATAAGTCGTTGAGCAGGTCCACCTACTATATTTCCAACTGGTCCTGAACCACCTGCTTCTTCCTTTATACTTTGGAACAAATTATCTTCTACAGTATCAGGATTTTTATTTGTTTCAAAACTTTCATCTTTTCCAATTTCAGACTGCAATTCTAAATCTAATAAATGCATATATTTGTCCATTTCGCCACGTTTATCCTCGTCATCTTGACCCAAGGATCCTTCTGAGCTCCCTTCAAATTCTCCTTCATTTTCCGGCACAACTAAATCTAATATACCTCGTAATGTACAATCAAATATGTCTGCATCAAATTCTACTTTCCCATTGTCTTCTGGATCGTGTATTATATCAGTATCCATTGAGTGATCTCTAAAAAAGGAACAATAAATATGTTGGTATTCATTATCAAAATTATAACTTGTGTAACTCACTCTAAGAATTGTACACCCCCAATGTCACTGGTTCGACTTAAAAATGTTTTCACTTTTTCCTTAAGGCTTAGTGATTCCTGTTCGTATTTTTTATTTTTATCATTTGTCCACTGTTCACTTAAGAATGCTTCCAGTTGTTCTGGATCCACATTTAACCAACTGTCACTGTCTGCAGGACTTAATGTAGTTTCATCTTGAGCTGTGTACAAAGTATAAGATAATTTAATAAAAAAGAGGCTTACAGTAATAAAAGATGCTTATGAAATATTATTTTATAAATATTACCATGCAATTCAATATCAGTAGACTGTATGTTTTCCCAAGCTTCTAAAACTTTCTCTGCATCACTTTTATTAACATTAGTGATATGATTATTTGAATTTAGATGCTCTAAATAATAATCTTTTGCTACGTTTTCAAACTTTTTATATTCTTGACTATCTCTCAATAAGTTTCTAAAGTAACCACTACTTTCTAAACGTGTTAAATACGTATTCAGAACACGTTCATTTACTTTTTGTTTTTCAGGATCATTAATTGTTCTCTTTTCTGTTTTCCTACGATCTTCATTCGCACGAGCAACCAACATTTCTAATCCACATGCTATTTTAATACCAAGTGCATGAGCATTATACTTTGAAGAAGATACTGGTGGTAAATTCCAACCTGTTCTTGGATCTCCTGTATAGCGACAATGATTTGCCATTGCATATAAACACCTAGTCATTTTTATGTTAACCATAACACGCTGTTCAGGAGGAAAATATTTCATTGCACGACAAACCTGCAACATATAAAATATTGTTAAAACAACTTAAACTTTATTTATATTATAAACTAAAAAATATTGGATCTTTACTTTTCTCTCAAGTGGATCGGAGTGACAAATTGTTCTAATGGCTAATGAAACAAATCTTGGTTCTTGACGAAGTATTAAAACTGCTTTTTCTGGTAAAAAGACTCTAGCTTTATGATGTCTTTTATTAATTTCATCAGGATAAATACTAATTCGTTTTCTTAAAGCATCTTGTACTTTCTCAGAAGCTTTGGAAAGATATGGTTTTTCTTGTATATTACTTAATAAATCGAACAATGTATTATATTTTTCACGAACAATGTGTAATTCTTTATTATAAATAAACACACAATTTTCACATGTTTCAGGATTGGCCCATGAAGGTAAAGCATTTGCAGCTTCAATTAAAAGGAATTCTCCATCTGAGTCAGTTATTTTAGCTATTAATCCATTAAAAGTTTGTGTAAGTTTAAATATTAGAAACACTGTAAACCACTCATCACTTATATCTTCATCAAAATGTAAGCACACATAAATGTGAGGTAATATATTACATTCTGTAACAAAAAGAAAAAAATTAATATGTAATCGTTACATCCACAATTTGTCAAAAATATTTACCTTCTGAAACTGATGAACTTTCGATAAGTTTTTCTAATAATAATGCCTGTTTTGTTCTAGGATGAAAAGTTAATTCATCGCTATGCCAAATGTAATTCTTAACATAGGGTGCAATTACTTCATTAAATTTTTCAATTTCTTGCAAAAGTATTTCTTCTGTTATAGTCTCTGGAGGTTGCGTGTAACAAATTTTTGTGTACAAAAAACATTCAAGAACATCATCTTCTTTAATTTTAGACATCTTTATATCTTCTAAAATATAATTGCGTACAAATACTTCTGACGTTTTTGTAACGACAACGGTGTTTAATAAATTATATTATATTGTATATAAACTTGAACACGGTGTGCATAGGAGAATCAATAACAAATGTTGATAAATATTTATAACAACAATTAAAAATTTTGTATATACATAATATTTTATTCACGAAAATTGATTTTTTTTTAAATAAACACTAACAGCAGGTCAGACATGTTTTAATTGATACCTTGATACATTACTTTTGAAAACACAAGTTATGAAACTGTAAGTAAGCAAATACATACGTTAGTTTTATACTCCATTCACATTGATTTGTTGCGTGTGGATTTGGATATTTGGGGATATTTGAGATGTAGAACGTGGGTAGGGTGCCCGTGGGGTGCTAAAGCACCCTGCTCGCAAGACGCGAAAATGAATTAAACAAAACCGTTATTCACTGTTATTTACTATTAGTAAGTTCAACTCTTTATTAAACAAATCGTGATACTTTCATTTATAACTGAACTTTATTTGCAGCGTGAGAACAACTTTGCTAATTGAGCGACAAAATCATTCTGATCGTTCTGCGCTTGGCGGAGGAGATCCTCGCGCGTTGTCGGTCGATGCCCCTTCCTTGGTGGATCCTGGATCCTCCCTCAGGATTATCCCTCGTCCAATAGTAGAGGAGTCCACCTTGTCCTGTGTAGGCCCTTCTCCTGCCCGTGGTCCATCCTCAGGCGCGTGGAAGTGGAGGCGCTCCGCCAAGATGCTAGACCGTTTCAGTGCACATGTGCTACGAGAAAGCGTGGGACCCAGAAAAATTAGGAAACGACAAGACCTTGTATGTACTTGCCAAAAGGCAACTCTTGAGGAAATTTACGACCCTCTTAGAGTGCATGAATAGACAGGATATCGGAAAAGACTTCGTAACTTTTAAGGACCGTTCGTGACTTGGTCGAAAACAACGAATTTGATATGGTCTATCATAAATTAGTTCAGGAATTTTTGAAGTGAAACTATTCCATTCTCTGTATTTCCGGCCTTCTCTCAGCTCGATCACCCACGTCGAGAGGTTTATAATTTAATCCTTGTCTATTTATATAAGCGTACGCGCAGATGATGTTTGAATTTCGCTCTTGGTTTATAACCTTCGATACAAAAGGTCCTCGACTGATATTCGAGACATATCGATACTACAGACTATCGATAAATATTCCCATGGCAGTGTCGCCATAACACTCTAAACATATTCACGTGATAACGTTTCACGTTACAGATTCACATGCAGTTGAATCAGGTAACCGCTGTTGCGTGCGCCGTTCCACAGCCAGTACTAGCCATGCTGAACAACGTGGCAACACCGCTCACGTGACAATCGGGAGTCCTATTTTCAAAAACAGAGTCCTGTGCTCGGAATTGTAATTAACGTCTTTTTTAATTAAAAGCTGTAGTAATATACACTATTTTGTGTTAATTATATATAAACAATATATAAACGTTGCAACTATGGCAAATAGAAGTGATGAGACAGTATAAAATTGTTATAAATGTGATATGTATTTTGTGTACTCTCGAAGTAGTTTGGTGTTGGGAAGCATGATATTTGAAATATTTACAGTGGTTTCAAGAAAATTTAGGTATGAAGCAAAATGAAACCATCTTTGGATCAAATTGAAACATTTAAGAATTGATAAACGTGTATATAAGTTAATAAAAACCTTGAAACAAGCGAAATTATTGGAACGAAACCAAAGAGGTTATGCGAAGTCCAGAGAGTATTCGGGAGTGTGACTACGTTGATTGGTTGGGAGTTGGGAGTCTGGGAGTCCGGGAGACAGATAGAGTAGGGTAGGTGTTGACATATTCAGACCGGACTCCCACGGTGTTGCCATTTTTACTTCAATTATCGATTTTTTAACTAATCGATTATTTTAACATCGATATTTTTTTCGAACATCGCCCATCCCTACGTGCGAGCCGTGTGTGAATCAACAGACGGGTAGTGGCGGTTATGTAGCGACGGCGGGGAAGATGTTGCCTAGGCCTGGTCTATGGGAATCCCCGGACTTTGGACTCCCGGTACGTGCCCCGCGAGTATTGCTATCTCCCTCACGCAAACTTACCTATTCTTATTACTAACGCGAGTATAGTGCACCGATGACAAGATGTCCCATGAGACAAATGCAAATGCGTGCTTCTCATGGGACATCTTGTCATCGGTGCACAGTACACATAATGCTATAAAGTTTTACTATAATACAATAATTATCGACTAAACATTATTTAATTCAATATTATGATTTATTCTTAAACTAACGAAGTTACTGGTGGGAGTATACAATAGTTTCTATAAGAAAAGTACCATTTACGTAGTTTCTGTAAGAACAGTACTATTTACGTAGTTTCTATAAGAACAGTATTATTTACGTAGTTTAACGTGTTTATAATATAAAATATTGTGATTTTTACATACATATCAGTATAAAAGTCACTGTACTTTTTCAATGATTCCTGGTTCTGTAAATATCCTTTTATAGTACTATCAATCCACCAACAGGTATATACTAAAAAAATGGTATGACTCAAAATTAGGTTTCTGTATTTTTACTTATATTTTTTTCTCAAATATTATATTGGATAATTTCAAACATTGGTATAAATACATTAGATTTGCCTAATTACTATGCCAAATACATAATCGACATTGTACTACAAAAATATACGAAACATTAAAAAGTAAATACAATTTTACGAAAAAGTGGGCTTACCCGCTTTTTGTATCAGTCTTCAATTATTACTTATATACTTTAGCTATAACAACGTCAAATATCCATTTATTATGCGAATGTGACCTTCTAATAAATGAATATCAACGTTAAATATTCATGGTCTCTGTCACGTAGAAAGTTCACAGGTTTTTAAACGAATAGCACTTTTAAAAGTTTGGCACTTTATTTTATAGTATGATTCCGACTAACTGCTTGCTTATGTCCGGTGAGTTCTTTTTATAATGTAGTTGGTGGTGGAGAAGGGGCCGATAATTGACAGGGTGGGGTATACGTGAGAACGCGTCTTATCGAATATTCAAATAGGTGGTCGTAACATGATGTTTAGATGTCCGGTCGTGAAGAGTTCGATTGTTCGAGTATCGATCGTTTAGGCGGGTGGTCGTAACACGATGTTTGTCCGATCGTGGGAAGAATTCGATTGACGTACGTTTAGGCGGCTGGTCGTAATATCCTCATGGAAAAGACAAAATCTGTTGACCATGAAATAATATATAACGCTGTTAAATAAAAATGTAGACTAAATTCTTATAAACATTTTCAAAGAAACAGAAAACTGAAATGTTTTCTACAAAGGAGAAGAGTCTGTTACATGCCACCGCATGCACTGCGGAATTCATGAAACATTAGTTTATTGTTTATAAAAAAAATGAGCTTATATATTTCATAATTCACAAATTATATTTTTAATTTCTTTTCATATTGTAATGACTTATCACTAGACAGCTCTGCTGTGATAAAATTAATGAAATAACGTATGTAAGAGTGTGTATTGTATTATACCGTAAACACATAAAAGGAATATACCATCTTGTAGAAAAGAGAAAGAGAAAGAGAGAATGTTGGCACAAAATTGGTGTCACAAATCACCAGTTGAAACTGGTTGAAACTTACATTCTAATCACAAGCGAGTCCTTTTCATTTTTAGGTTAGTGTCATGAAACTTATAAGTACCAACAAATTAATTATATTTAAGTTCGTTACTTTAATGGAAAAATTAATTTGAATTTCAGCTTTTTACAATGAGGCGTTTAAACTGGGTTTTAGAAATTGTTTTGCAGTGTATAATTTTTGCCCTATGTATCCAATCTGAGATTTCTGTAAGTACATACAAATATTGTATAACAATTTATTTTAAAATGTCATACAAGATAGTGGAAGATATTGTTTTCTATATAGCAGTACTGAACAAGTGCAATTTAATAAATTTAAAAATTATAACATTTTATTAATTATTGAACAACATTTGGTTAATTAAGGATTGTATTACGAAAAATTTCAAACATTAAAATATTATTAATGTTCTTGAAAAGGTACACAAAATTGAAAAATAATAGTAATAATAAAGCAAAATATATGAGTGTAATTCCATTAAAGTATTTTTAAACTAAGTGAAATGTAAGACAACAAAAGTCTTAACATTATAACTATAGTAGTAATACATATACATTATGTAATGTAAATAAATTTCTTTTCATTATTAAGCCAAATTTGTAACAAAGTAAGCAACTTACAGTTACGTTTAAAAATCAATTTTATCATTATATTCTAATATCATTCCGTATATGGAAATTATCAATTGATTTATTACATAATATTGTGATTAATATTTTCAAATATGTAAAAGTTTAGAATAGTAGATATTTTGAAAACTCTTATTTTAAACTAAAGATTCAATATAATTTTTACGTTCCAATTATAGTTGTTAATCTTGTTACATTGATTTTAAGGATGCACAATCAGGGACAAAATTTTAATTGAATAGATTATAAAAATGGTAATCATTAAAATATACTGAGAAAAGTGTTCTTGATATAAACTTAAATTTGGATACATTTTCATAATATTCAGATTAGTACACGAATAACTAAATATAAGTACTGTGATATAATTAAATAGCGTTTAATTGAGATGGCAATGATTAGAGAAGGACATTATTAGGTGGATGATTAGAAAAGAGAATATTTAAAAATAAATAGCGAGAATGTAAAATAAGTAACGATAGGTGATTTTTATCAAAGCTAATAGTTTATATTAATCTGTTATAGTGTTAAGATAACTGTATATTTGAAACTTACTTGTATCTCAATGTAATTGCTTGAATTGTTGTAACTCTATAAATTATCAGAAAGTACAGTTGACAAAATTTATGAATAGTATTTGTCATTTAATAACTATTTAATTTTTGGAAGGTTGTGCATGGAAACCATGTATTATTGTAAGGAATGATCCCAACAAAAAAACTCGCATTAAAAAAAAGGCCAGGTTCACCATTGTTTGATAGGTAATATCGAATCTGGCCAAGTATCTCTCAAGAAAGATGTGGTGAACTTGTATAGAAAAGCTACTCCCACTCTAATTTCGATGATTTTCAAATATGTTGTAAAATTCATCATTTTAAGCAACCTTTTTCCTCTAAGCTATATGTCGGACTCGATTAGTTTACGAGATATTAGCGAAAGAATATTGTTACTACTAGAGTGAATTCTGCCTATACATATGTACGTATCCGTCGCGGTTGTGTATGCGTTGGCAATCGACCTTTGCTTCTCTACTGCTTTTGTTGAAGTTATTCCGGCATATAAGGTAGAATTCACTGTAGCAGTAACAATATTCTTTCGCGAATATTTCATAAACTAATCGAGTCCGACATATAGCTTAGAGGAAAAAAGTTGCATAAAATGACAAATTTTACAACATATTTAATGAGATATCGATAATTACCTTCATATCATCAAATCATGTCAGGTAAAATATCATCAATAATATTTTACTGTGTAACAACCTAATATCTTAAAATTACATAAGTAGTCTTGATTGCAACATAATGAAATGTAAAGTTGAATATGTTACGCCTTTTTAATTTTTATATCTTCTTTTTATGTTACAGAATGTTGTAATTCCTGTGAAGACAGACTTTTCATGTTTAAACAAAACTGCGGGTTTCTATGCCGATACTGGTGCAAGCTGTAAAATATATCACACTTGTGACGAATATGGAAACAAATTTACGTATCATTGTCCGGAGGAAACTGCTTTTCGGCAGGATGCTTTGATATGCGATCACGCCCATCTTGTTCGCTGTCACGGACATACTATTTACAACTCCAAGTATATAGAAGAAAAGAACAAGAACTCTTCTTTAAATGTTTCTCCTATAAAAGATTTAGTGGAAAAAAGTCAAAATGTTTTTCATGTGACACAATCACTAAAAACAATCAATAAAGTGCGATATGGATTTACTATTAGTACAAAAGAGTATTTTGAAAATATGAATAAACCACAAGTTGCAGAACCTAATATAACAAATTTTCATATAACGAACAATACCAGTTTTACTGCAACTCTTCCTATTAACAGTTTTATGAAGACAACATTGCAGCATGTATCTTCTGCCAACAATACTCAGGAACGTGGATCAATTAAAAATGACAATTTTTCTATTCAGAAACAATTTTTTAATAGCTGGGATAAATTAAATGAGAAAGATCGAACTAATCAGAAGGATTATTTGAATCGGAAAACAAATGATGCTTCATACGACTTCGTGAAGTTTTCTGTTGATGTGTTTCCTGGAAATGATCAAAATCAAGAAGATAATGCAAAGAATTACCAAACTATAAAAAATATTACAAATTTGTCAAAGTTACCTTTCACGAATCATAGAAATTATCCTTATTCAGAAACTTTGAAATCCGTACAAAAAAATACTCAGATTTCTGCTACTACAAATAGTATAAAACCAGAGCATACTTTAGTAGTCACCACGGAGTTACCTGTATATGCTTTGACATTGTCTTTGAAACCATTAATACCCAGTGAATTAGAATATGATCCGTATTATCCAAAATTGTCAACATCAACAGAATCGTATTATACTCCAGCACATAGTAAGGAATTGTCTTACATGAAAGATCCTGTTCAAGCAACATGGTCAAGCATTCATTTCGATCTTCCACCTATTTTGCCGGATTTGAATTCCTTAGAAGACATTGTAGATCGTAGAAAACTGTTTTATATCCCACGAATTACATCCAATTAATGTTTAAATACCTTCTTTATATGAAGATAACGAAATGTACAATAAAAATAAATAAATAAATACGTATATACCGCAGTTCACCAAAGTCCATAACTGCGAAAAGACCAGTTTTCGTTCTTTCCCACTTTCGATATTCCCACTTCCATACGCTTGCGCACAGTGTCGCTCCACACGGTGCACCTACGCGAAAATGCATCATTTGGAGTGTATAACGGGTAACACGATTTTTTACTCACGTGTATCATTCTGTATTCTTCCTATTCAACCGTACTATTGTTTCACCCCGTATATTAAACTCGCGGGAGTTCGAGGCTCGCTAAGTTCCCCCATTTGCGCGTCGCAGTTATGGACTCTGATGAACTGCGGTATACAGTAAAAGCTGGATATATGCAACAAAAGTTTGGCTGGATATATGCAACATCGCTATCCCCTCCACTTGGGGGGATCCCCCTAAGCCGAACCGAGCCGCTCGGCGAGGAAACCGTGTAATATGATCCGACCGTAATATCAGCGTGACTAATACTAATTGAACGATAAAACTTTTTTATTTTTAACTTTTTCTTAATGAAACTTTTACTAACGCATTTGTGAGATTTTTCTGATTAAAATGGCACCAAACACGATATGATTTAAATTATATCTATAAACAATAGTAATAGAATAAACAACATAGAATTGACACCACGACTTAATATAAATGATGTGTACGGACGCAGAATCGACATGTCGGCTGAATACAAAAGATGTGATCGACATGTTGGCTGAATACAAAACATGTGTATAGACTCAGAATCGACACCTCGCTTGGATAAATGAAATATAAAATGCCCAGAATCGATACCTCGCCTGGATAAATGAAACCTTTGAAACCAGAGCCGACATCGCGACTGGTTTTAATTTCGATCTCTCTTGCTTTTCGCCAACTTTTAACATCAATTTTAGCAAGTAATTATAATTCAAACTATATCGTGTTTGGTATCATTTTAATAAGAAAAATTTCACCAATGCGTTAATAAAAGTTTCAGTAAAAAAAAGTCAAAAATAAAAAAGTTTTATAGTTGAATTAGTATTAGTCACACCGATACGTTTCGGCTCTTTCCTTTGATCATCGGACCTCTCTCTTTCCGCCACTGTCTGTCCCTTTCTACGTTCACGCTTGGCTGGTCGTCGCGTGTAACCCGAGATTCGACACCTCACTTGGATAAATGCAACCACTGGGTCCCAATCTCGGTTGCATTTATCCAGGTTTTACTGTATATATGAGTGGACCGAACTCTGTAGGAGAATGTCTTTTACTGTATAAACAAATTATACAACAGTGTAGAGTGTAGGTATACGAGGGTAATTTATTGGGGAAATCGATGCAAAAAATGCTCCCACTGCCGATTCGCCAATCAGACTGAATATGAACCCATGAGTCTGCCACGTGCTTTGGCAGCTTGAGCATCGAGCCGATAACGTAGAAATGATGAGAGCAGCCGAACGGAGAGCTCACACGGACACGTGGGACAACACGCTTGTGTTAGATGAAACAACTGAAGTAGGGGAGTCACTGGGACGTCGTGGAGAGGATAAAAATTTGTCCCACGTCCCACGATTTTGACATTTTTGGCATCCGAAAACAAAAAGTAAACCCCGCGCGAAAGGAGAAAGGGAAATATAGCAGTTCTCCACCAAAATACCTAACAGCATTCGAACAGAGCGGTCTCTCGTCTTTACACTTTTCACGCTGACACCCTCGTACATCCGGCCCATGGGCAGTCCTTTCTAGGCCCTCCAAACTTCCGTACTTCAGATCCAACTGTTGGAGATGTAGTCACTGCATGCTGTAACGAAAATTAATGCTGCGCTTTAATATGTACCAGGATCACTGGCGTCGCTACAAACAGATATAAATGATATCGGTGAGATACGCATACAATAACAAATTATGTATTTAGATTACGGACGGCACGTTCGATTTCGATGATTTTTAAATATGTTGTAGAAATCAACATTTTGACCAACTTTTTCCTATACATATAACCGCCGCTCGGCCTTAGTTTTCGAGATATTTTCGAAAAACTGTTGAAACTAACATATTGAATTCTGCCCATCCGTGTGGGTGGTATCGCTTGAATTGAATGAATGTAATATGGCGACAATGAATATGGCTACAGCATGTCTGCGTTCCGTTGTCGATGCCCATAAATTAGGAGGCAAATACAAACAATTGAGCGAGCGGTAGACAAAGCTTGCATTGTAAAACTTTCAACGCGAGCGATCGGGCTGGGAGGGAGTTAAAAATCCAGAGAATAAAAGCTGCTTCACTTGAAATTTATTACGAGAGACTAATTTATTACGTTACTCTTAACGAAAATCAAGTTTGGTTCTCGAAGTCGTCGAAGTCTCTTCGACATCCTGTTTATTCATAGGGGGTCGTAAATTTTCTCAAAGGTTGCCTCGTTTCATTAGCGCGAGATATCTTCATTTTCCATCTTTCTCTGGGTCCCATGCTTTCTCTTAGCACGTGTGCACGGAATCGTTCTCGTGCCTTGGCGAAGCACCACCACTTTCACTTACTTGAGGGTGGACCGAAACCAAGGAAAGGGATCTCCTTCGGACAGAGATGGGCTCCCCCACCATTGGACCAGGGATGATCCTGCGGGAGGATCCAGGATCCAGCAAAGAGGGGATTCCAGCCGACATTGAACAAAGATCTTCACCGCCAAACTCAGATCGATTCCAAGCTTCAAACCGCTTAACTACATTTTTCAAAGTCATTTTCTGAATAAAGCAGTTACAATTTTTACCAAAACGCTGAGGTGTTTGATTTATTTTGCGCGCCGCGAGCAGAATACTTCAGCGCTCCACGGGCACTTTACTTACAGCTCAGAAATCCCTGAATTTTCCTACATCGCAAGGAGGACACGCAACAGCATCAAATTCACAAGAGTGGAGTTTGGAGGGTCCTTTGCTAAACTAAACTCTCAATATATGTAGTAAGAACTGGATAAATGCAAGAAAAGATTGGCTGGATAAATGCAAGCTGACTATCCCCTCCATGTGAGAGGGTCCCCTTTGGCGAACCGAGACGTTCGACGAAGAAGTAGTGTAATATTGTACATACAATCCGAACCGGAATATCGGTGTGGCAAATATTAATTCAACGATAAAACTTTTTTATTTTTGACTTTTTCTTAATGCAACTCTTACTAACGCATTTGTGACATTTTTTTTTATTAAAATGAGACCAAACACGATATAGTTTGAATTAGATTTATTGTTGATACTGATTAAGTACGTACCACAAAGTACAAAAACACGTTGTAAAATAATAAAGTACATTATAATAAATAATACATTGAAATAAACACGATACAATTTAAATTATGTTTATTTATTAAAATAATAATGAAAAGATAATGAAAGGTAGTAATGTACATTATAATAAATATTGTAATACATTGGAATGAATATAGTGATACATTCAAATAAGAAAATAATATACATTATACATTTCAAATTTTTGTTATATGCAATGTGAAACATATAACGAGAATTGCTTCAAATATGTAGTGCATAAGCAATGATTCTAGTGCAAAACGTTTTAAATGAAGGTTTGAAGGATAAAAAATAACGCACTAAAAGTTATGAAGTTCATTGACAAAGAGATCCTTATACGACGTATTGGAGCAAAATTTGCTGGTTTAGTTCATCGAAACAACTCTTGGTGATTTCATATCGAATGCTGTACTTGTGCAACAATTAATATACGTTTAGTAAAAGTGTATGGGCAAAGTATAAGTGCTAATAATGATTCCGCGAAAAAATGTTGTGATAATTTTATAAAATTATTGGATGAAGATGGCAGTATAAATGAAGACAATGTATAGAACATGGATGAAACTGAACTTTTATACCATCAAAAACATTAGAAAGAAAAGAAAGGTTCGTAAAGGAGTACAAAAGCCGCAAAGAACAAATTACGGTAGCGCTATGTGCAAATGCATCTTGGATGTACAAGTTGATGCCATTAGTAATTAATAAATATGAAAATCCTAGGACCCTGGAACATTGCAAAAGTAATCTTCCCGTCACCCTTAAATCTCAGAAGAATGCATGGATGATACAAACATTGTTTTGTGATTGGTTTCAAAATTATTTTAAGCCCAGTGTACGGGTAGCTCTGAAATGACTAGTAAAGCTATTTTATTATTACACAATTGCGGAGGATATATGTACAGTGCCGCCAGAATTATTAGATGAAGAAGATTTTAAAATTATGTATTCTCCTCCAAATACCACCAGCTTAATTCAACCAATGGACAAGGGTATAATAGCTAAGCTGAAAGCTCTGTATCGCCATAAAATAATACGGAAAACTGCTACGTACCAAGACGAAATAAATAAATTTCAAAAGCAATTTACATTAAAAGATTGCATACAAGTATTGCACGATTCATGGAAGGTAGTATCAGCGGATAATGTTATTAATTTCTGGAAGAAAATTATTCCGAAGCAAACAGATACATATCGTCATGCTAAGAGGCAGAACTTAAACAATTTAACACGAAAGAGGATATTGGACAATTAATGTCCAGTTGTTAAGAAGAAGAAGAAGAAGAAGAAAATCCGTATAAATGAAGATAATGTATACAAAATGTACGACACTGGACTTTTATCGAAAGCCTTACCATCGAAAACATTCGCGGAAAGTAAAGACAGATAAAAGAGAGGAATTTTTTGTAAACAGAAATGTGGAATATATATGTATGAAGATATGCGATTTTAGTTCCGTGTACCACCCTGCAAGTATTTTAAAATGATGTCTAGATTCATTTATCCTACTATCCGTGGATATTTCCAGATGTTAATCATCATCGGTACCTAAAAAATAAAAGTTAATTATTAAAATAAAAATTATGTTTATAATTTTTATAAAATTATATAACTGTAACATTACCTAAAAGATGGTTTTTGAAGACCTGATATATATTTTGAATAAAGGGCGCTTCTTGCGATACGTGCTGGTCCAAACGCTCAAATAAATATTGCAATTCCTCTCTTTTATTCTCTTGTTCTTCTGTATTTTCTAGCATCTCTTCATATTCCTGCTTTTCTTGCATCACTTCATATTCCTGCTTTTCTTGTACCTCTTCATATTCCTGCTTTTCTTGTATCTCTTCATATTCCTGCTTTTCTTGTATCTCTTCATATTCCTGCTTTTCTTGTATCTCTTCATATTCCTGCTTTTCTTGTATCTCTTCATATTCCTGCTTTTCTTGCATCTCTTCATCTGCCTGCTTTTCTTCATCTTCCTCCTCTGCGGATCTTGTTTCTTCATCTTCACAACTGGACATAAATTGGGCAATATCCTCTTGTGTGTACGAATCACCTGTTAAATTGCTTAAGTTCTGCCTCATAGTACGACAATATGTATCTGTTTGATTTGGAATAAGTTTCTTCCAGGAATTAATAATATTATCTGCTGATACTTCCATCCATGAATCGTGCAATACTTGTATGCAATCTTTTAATGTAAATTGCTTTTGAAATTCATTTATTCCACCTTGGTATGTAGCAGCTTTCTGTATTGTTTTATGGCGATACAAAGCTTTCAGCATAGCTATTATGCCCTGGTTCATTGGTTGAATTAAGGTGGTGGTGTTTGGAGGAAAATACATAATTATAAAGTCATCTTCTTCTAATAATTCTGGTGGCACTGTACGTCTTCTGCAATTGTTTAATAATAAAATGACTTTACCAATCACTCCAGTGCTTAGTTGGTATGCCCGTACACTGGGCTTAAAATAATTTTGAAACCAATCACAAAACAATATTTGTGTCATCCACGCATTCTTCTGTGACTTAAAAATGACAGGAAGATTACTTTTACAATGTTTCAGAGACCTAGGATTTTCATATTTATTAATTACTAATGGCATCAACTTGTGTGTCCCAGATGCATTTGTACATAGTGCTACCGTAATTCGTTCTTTGCAGTTTTTGTACCCCTTTACAGACTCTTCTTTTACTTTCAATATTTTTGATGGTAAGGCTTTCCATAAAAGCTGAGTTTCATCCATGTTGTATATATTATCTTCATTTATACTGCCATCTTCCAATAATTTTGTAAAATTATTGCAACACTTTTTCGCGGAATCTTCATCAACACTTATACTTTTCCCATACACTTTTTCTAAACATACATTATGTCTTTTTTTGAACCCATCTAACCAGCCCTTACTAACTTTAAAATCCGATGGCAACTCCATACTGTCTTTTAATTCCCTTGCTTTTTGCACAAGTACGGCATTCGATATGAAATCACCAAGAGTTTTTCTTTCCATGAACCAAGCCAGCAAATTTTGCTCCATTGCGTCGTATAAGGATGGTCTGATTCTTCGTCGCTTTTGCTGCATCTTTCCTTTGTCAACGAACTCCATAACTTTTGGTGCGTTATTTTTTATCCTCCAAATCGTTGATGTATGTACCTTGTATTTTTTCGCAACGGTCGAAACACTGAACATTTTCAAGTCATCTAAGACCATTAATCGTTCCTCCACGGATAAAGTAACTCTCTTTACGCTAGCCATATCCAACACTTTAAACTCTGACTTAATGTCGATAGTTCGATTGATTCTGGTGCCGTTTACCAATTTGATTGTGGCGGGTGTGATCCAAGCCCTCCAAACTTCAAACTCTACTCTTGTGATTTTGATGCAAATTTTAGATTTACGCCTCACTACCAGGAGGCGCTGATGTCACTTCTCTACATGCATACCTTGTATCACGCGTCATGTTCCCGCGAAATTTGTCGCCGCGTTTTTCAATTGTTTCAAAATTTAAAGAGACAAAAGAGATATGGTGCGCATGGTTGTACATGGTGGCAGCGTAGGTGACTGAATTTCCAGGTTCGTGAATTCCATTATTATAATTATTACTATTATTATTACTATTGCTATTATTATTATGCCTATTCTGCTGATGAGATGCAGCAACAGGAGTAGAAGATAGAAATTAAGTAAGTACAGAATTTTTTAAAATTGTTACTGAAAACATAACTGTTTTCATTGCTATTTTAGTAATATATTTAATTTTAATTATTAAAATGTATCTTTAAAGAAACAGGAAGAAAATATGCATCATCAGAGGGTGTATTAACGAAAACAGCAGGATGTTCTCCTTCCCCTAAGAGAAAAAGGATAAGAAGAGGATGGCACAGTGGGTGGAAGTTTGTGACAACCCAAAGTCAGTGCTTCCACCTGAAAACTGAAATTCCGGGTGATCTGTAGTAGCTACTTTAAAGAAAAATACTTCATGAGGAAAAGATTAACAACATCAGCAGTTCCAACACTGAACTTATTTGGTAATAACTTTTATATATACTTTTTATAGCATATGTAAATAATTGTTAATAATAATATTTATTACAGTGTCAGAAGCTACCTCTATTAAAATAGAGCAATGAGACACCTGGATGCAAATGAAAAGAAGAAAAAGAAGATTGTAAGTATTCAGTTTAGATATACAATATATGCATAAAACCATTAACATAGTATTAATACACTAAGTATACATAATAATACTTCTTGCATGAAGTGTATGTATAATATTATATAATTTTGTTCTTATAGTTAAACCTGACTGCACCAGGGGAGTGGAAAACGTGATTTTCGATTGTATATTATTATTGATATATATATATATATTTATTATATTTCAGTAAAAATTTAATATATTTCCATTACTGCACATATATTGTTGTAACTTTTTCCTTTCCTTTATTTTTATTTTTCAAAGTTTTGAATAAGTAACACCATGCACACGTATATAGGGCCCATGTGCTTGTGTGTGTATCTTACCGATATCATTTATATGGGTTTGTGGCGACACCAGCGATCCTGGTAGTGAGGCATAACACTAATTTTCGTTACAGCATGAAATACGGGAGTTTGGAGGGCCTGGTGTGATCCACTCGGATTGGTCGAATTGGTTTTCGCTGATTTCTGTCATTGGTTGAACAATATCAATCATAGTGTCCTTTCGTCTAGTGAAAAAGCACTAAAGGGTAAGGTGCCCCTACCACCGGGTCACGCGCGAGCGCGCAGCTATTATACCTCGTTCGCATGAGAAATACCTTTGTATTTTAGGAGAAAAGAAATTTTTTCAAGTAAATGCTTAATCGGAGGAGTGAGGCGGTTCATTCCTCAACGAGTAAAATACATAACCAGCACCATTAAAAACTCGCTTGTCGAAATAATTAATTGCGTCGAGCCTCGGACGGCGAAGGTGGCTCCCTCCGCCCTATAGGATGGTGCACGAAACTGCGAAAGCAGACCGTGATTCCATACCGAACCGGAAGCTGCATAAGAGCCTCTCTCTCGCACTGCTTTCGCAGTTTTGTGCAGTTTCATTAATCCGTTTTCATGGAAAAAAAACTCCTATTGATATTATACCTATATTAATGGGATTGTAAAATAATTGAAACATAGTTTGTGTCATGAACAGCATTTAAACGATTTCCTAGAAGTTTATAAAAAATATTCACTAGTTTATTTAACATAATTAATTTATAAAATATAAATGTAACCTAATGATAGATTCTAAATTAACAAACTAAATGGAATAAATTTTATTGCCTCCTATTTTGCGGTTATAGTTTGTTATAATGATCAGTCAGTTAATAATACATCAACTCCGAATATAATTGATTATTAATTTAATTTTTCCTCTGAGATAATTATTTAAAAATGATGCAAAATTCACACAAAATATTTATGTCGTATACCGAGCAAAATTTGTCACGTCCAAACAGGACGTATTTTGAATTGGACGTATTCCAAAGCAGCCGTATACCGTTTATACTACTGTTTATCAAATAAAATGTTCTCAAGTAAATTTTTCACGCAAGTGATATGACATGGGTGTCCAACCCGTGGCCCAAAGCACGTATCAATGTGGCCCAAGAAGCGAAAGAAATATCAATAGCCCACCCCGATGATTTATTTTACTGTTGCATGGTTACTATTGCGATTAGACGATTATTAGCACAGTCGCGCATCGCTCGATATGTCGTTTGTATAAAACATGTATACAAATGTATAAAACAGTGTCAAATTAATTACATGTTGTTGCCTTTATAATACAAAAAATCATAAATTAATAAAGTTTAAATTACTTAAATATGTTAACTATATATTTTGTGTAGCCCAAAACAACTCGTCTTCTTCCAATGTAGGCCAGAGAGGCTAAAAGGTTGAACATTAGTGATGGGCGATACAGTATCGATATTTTGTATCAATATTTAACATGACGATATATTGCAGTATCGATACTTAATATATTAATATCGAAATTTTGATACAATGTATATACAGTAAGGAGAAAATTAGATAGAAAAATATTTTGTAGCAAAAAGTTTCACTTATATGTTTATTTATATATATAGAATGTATGCAATATTGATCTCAATGTATAGTAATGCATAAGTTAATAAATAATTATGTAAACGTAAATTAGATACAAGCTGTTAACAGAAGATCTGTATATAGATTCTAAATAATCCTCGTAATGGATGCACGTCCAAAAAAATTAAAATATTAATTATAATAATATATTTATCATATATAAAACAAATATTTGAATAAATAGTCAATTTTTTACTGAACTTCACTTCTAATTTAATTGTATGAATTGATATCAATATCAATACAATTCAGAAATAGGCCCATCACTATTGAACACCCCTGTGATAGGATCTCCTTCTTCACCGCCATTTTACTTATTGTTAGGGAAACTTACAGTGTTCGGTACTGTATGTATGCACCACGATATCATATTCAATCATAATCTTTTAACCACTTATTTTTTAGAAGAGTTTGTACCTACAAATGCAATTGAATGTCAATTGTTGTTGTCCAGTAATTAAATTTTTGTTAACGAACCGCTCTATCAGAAGCATTCATTATACATATGTTTGAAGTGATTCGCGTGAGAAATGTATCCTCAAACCTACGCTTACTTTCAGAACACTGCATACAAACAAATATTTACTTTTGCCTTGAACGACCTACCTCAGAAAAAACGCTCATCAAATAAATGATTCTAATAGAATGTCGTATAATAAAGGAATAATTCTACAGAGATAATATGTATGTAAACCGATAAGATAACACACGTTGCATATTTTGCATAAAATTTGTACCAAAATCTTATTTTAAAGGAAAAAGGAATTTGGAATGAACAGGTAAATTCTTGCCAAGTGCAAACAGATTGTTTCTTTGTAAAATATGATTTGTGGCCCTGAAAAGGGCCAATTGGTATGTATTCTTCAACGAATTACTTTTTCGCCGTTGCTCTTGCGATTTTCGGCGACCTTGCTGTTTTTGGTTTTGGAGTTTTCGTCTTTGCTGCTGGCGCTTTTGTGGTTTTCTTCGCTTTCGACAAATTCTTCGGTGGTGGTGTTGCCTTTTGTTCCACAGATTCTGCTTTCTTAACAGTAGCAGCTTTAGCTTTTTTAGGAGGAGGTTGTTTTTTGGCTGCCGCGGTTGGTTTCTTCACAGTGGGTGTTTTCTTTGGGGCAGCCGCTTTCTTAGGACTCGCTGGCTTCTTCTCTGCAGCTTTCTTTTCAGCTGGAGCAGATACGGCCCGTTTCACGAGGCGTTTGGATTTGCTCTTTGATTCGGAACCCTTCGAAGATGTGGATAGCTTGAACGAGCCAGAGGCACCTTTACCCTTGGTTTGCACCACCGCACCGGCAGTTACGGCACTTTTTAAGTACCTCTTAATAAATGGCGCCATTTTTTCACCATCAACTTTATACGTCGTTGCTATGTATTTCTTGATAGCTTGAACTGACGATCCCTTGCGATCTTGCAAGGCCTTGATAGCAGCATTCACCATATCCGCAGTTGGTGGATGTGACGATTTAGAACGCTGCGATTTTGTCTTCGATTTTGCAGACTTTTTCGCAGGCGATGGATTTGCCGTCGAATTTTCCACTGTTGCAGTATTTACAGAGCTGTTTTTCTCCTCCATCATACACAAAATATACAATAACCGCGTAAATGCAACTTTCACGATCAGTTCACAGAGTGCGCGACTAACTCAGAAATCGAGCTACTAGTAGCAAAAGCGCGGACCGGGAAGAAAGACCTCTCCTCTGTTTCCAATATCACGTTGCTGAGAATCCTGGACTAACACGGAAAGATTTATGATTTATGCAATTATTTGTTCGATTCAAAGCACATATTAGACATGTAAAGTTTCAGTTATTGTCAGTAGTTTTCAACGGTGTCGTTAAATGACAAATTTACCTCGATTTTCAGCTATTATATTCGACTGAAGTGACATAATCTCACCGTTGTTCTTATTTAGGACTACACCAATCTGGAAAATTAAGTAAAAAAAGGAGAATATTTAATCCAAAACGATTTCTCTTGTTAGAATAAATGTCCTAATATTAAACCTATCAATTTATGTACATCAGTTGTTAATGGAGTTTAGATATTATCAGAAATTCCAAGAATTTTACGCGGAAAGAAATACAATCATCAAGAAGATTCGACGCAAATGGTTGACATTACAGTAATTTATATAATACCATTAATCTGATTAATAGTACTCAATTATGAACGACAATGTAGACGAGAATATAGAAGTGGATTTATTTAACAACTTATCTCGCATTAATTTAGAATATCGCACACTCTGTTCGAGAAGTTCTGGATCACCATACTTCGATGCTTTGAAATGATATTTCAGTTTTATAAAAGTCCTTGTACACTGTTATACATAATGCAATTTCAATTTTATCTAATTTAAAGATTAATACTGTTCAGAAGCCTACTTGTTGCTGATAAAATATGACATTTAATTGTGAAATATAATACCACCACAGGTACTTTGAGCATAATGAGCTATGCCTGCCATTTATGTTATCAAATGCTTCAACGTTGAATACAGATGATGTACCATAAATATTGTATAAAACAGAACTAAACAATGTAAAAGATTAGTTAACTAAATATTTATAGAGAAAAATTAAATCAATGATTTTGGACATATACTTAACTGGATTGTAGAAAGTTATTGATGACTCGACGATGTTGTTTCGATATTGTGATATTATACAGTGATGAAGCCAAATGAGTGTATCGTACGAATAATTATAAATGGAATACAATATTAATCATGATATAGACCTTAACTTTGACCAACAACAAGAGAACATGTCGGTTGGGATTTAAAAGCTTTGAAACAGAGTATTTTATTTTAGTTTGAAGAAATACTTGAGGATTTGTCTTGTAAAAATTAAGTTTGTTTTCACTATTTTGTTTATTTACATACTAAAATAATTACAGTTCCTGTTTTGATAATTTCCTACTTTCAGGTTTCTATAGGCGAATCTTTCTAACTACGAAGCAGGGAATATGGACCATAAATATCATTCTACGTTCTTCACAACTCATTTGTTTACACACATATGTGACACAGATACTCGTTCATTCGGTATTTATTTCTTCATTTGATTGGCTGTTGTGTGTTGTAGCTAATAGAGGTGTGCGAGTACTCGATTTATTCGAGCCGAGTCAAGAGTTTGAATTTGCCGAGCTACTCGAAATCGACGAACTGCTTGAAACAAAAGCGAGCTGCTCGAAAAAATCGAACTACTCAAATATTCGAGCTGAAAATTCATCTTCAAGTAAATCGAAGTTTTACGACGGCTCGAATATTCAAGTAGTTCAATTGTTTCAAGTAACTCGCTTTTGTTTCAAACAGTTCGCCGATTTTGAGTAATTCGGCAAAATCAAGCGCTCGACTCGGCTCGAACAATCGAAGCGAGTTCAGCTCGGCTTGTAAATTACGAGTACTTGCACACCTCTAGTAGCTAAACATTTATTGACTATTCATTTGTTTATATGAATCAGCTATACATAGTTGGCTATCTGGACAAAGGAAGGGAGTGTATCCATGGCTGTGAATAATGCATGTGGACTGACAGCGTTTCTAACAGGGAATTATATACAGCATGAAATTAATGAGTAAGTGCCATATATTAATTTTCTTCATCCTAAAATAAATTTTGCTTTCAATTTCTAAACTATACTATACTAACATTTTTTAAGTGTTCGCCTAAGAATGATTAATAATTTGGTTAACTGTATATGCACTGAAGGTTTTAAGTAATTATTGTATTCAGTATTGTAAGCGTCCTATGGTGTGGAAGATGGTATCCCCGAGTAGCAAGTCGTAAAAGTGGCTTTATTATTGCGGTAAGATACCATTCTCCAGACATAGGGCACTTACTGCTACAATAGGGCTACTTTTGCGACTTGCTGCTCGAACCAAGACATCGCCGCTGAAAATCGGTAAATTTGTAACCGTTATATCTTGAAAACTAATTAAAATCAGGTGTATACATTAAAGCTCAATAAATTCGTCTTGAAAAGCACTATCACATGATCTGAAAATAGTTCCATTTAAAAAACAAAACTTGACTATCTCTTAAACTAATAATGCAACTTTTTTATTTCGGCCAAAACATAGTTCCTATTTTACCGTGTAATTTCCATGTCAACAATTTTTTGTATCATTAATAGTTACGGAATAACGGGTCTGTTACACTTTAGCCTAGACACCCTGTATATAATATATGCAAACACAAGGCGCAACTAATAGGAAATTAAACGGTAGGAAATTATCGGGCTGTTACTCTAGCTACGAAACAAAAATACTGTTACCAAATGTTCATATTATTATAATATACACTGTTACTTCTATTGGCATTCTTTTTGTGTCGAGTAAAGTGTTATTGCAAGTTATTAATAGTATCAAAATAATGTGTATTTGATAATAATTAATGGATAAGTTGGAATGATAGAAATTTCATGTTTAAATTTTTTTATGGCCCTAAAATGGGCCATTTTTAAGTAAGAACTTAATCGCAGTGATAACAATTTAGCCACTAAAACCATAAAGGGTTCTACCCTGACGTTTCAAAGCATAAACCACATCCATGGCAGTAACAGTCTTCCTTTTTGCATGTTCAGTGTAAGTGACGGCATCACGAATAACGTTCTCAAGGAAACCATTGAGAACACCGCCATGGCGGGTAACTGGACGGATAGCTGGCTTCGTGATATCCTAAATGTTATCACGAAGAACCTTCCTATGACGCTTTGCCCCTCTTTTTCCCAATCTTTTCCTCCCTTTCCACGACCGCTCATATTGACTAATACACATTGTTTCATCAAATTAACAGAATCAACGTGATATTTCTCCAAAGTAAAACTACCATATAGCAGTACCAGCTGTCCTTTTCCCTTAATCGCGTCATGTCCAGCAGTAACCCTGTCGACAAGCGCTACTGACCTCTCCCCACCACACGTACTTTAACCAATCAGAGCAGAGGGGACTCTGCTCTACAAGTATATAAGAGAAGCAAAAGGACCGTTGCGTCACTGTAGTTTCGGAGTTTGACCAAATCGTACTTTATTCTTAACGACATGGCTCGTACTAAACAAACTGCTCGTAAATCTACCGGTGGGAAGGCTCCCCGGAAACAGTTAGCTACCAAAGCTGCTCGTAAAAGTGCGCCTGCAACGGGAGGAGTGAAGAAACCTCATCGTTATAGGCCTGGAACTGTAGCACTCAGAGAAATTCGAAGATACCAAAAAAGTACGGAACTCTTAATCCGTAAATTACCTTTCCAACGTCTCGTACGTGAAATAGCTCAAGACTTCAAAACCGATCTTCGTTTCCAAAGTTCTGCTGTAATGGCTTTGCAAGAAGCCAGCGAAGCTTACCTTGTTGGACTTTTCGAGGATACCAACTTGTGTGCTATTCATGCCAAACGAGTTACAATCATGCCAAAGGACATCCAACTCGCTCGTCGTATTCGTGGAGAAAGAGCTTAAGTTTTAAGGCGCTCCGCCTTTTACACAACAATCGGCCCTTTTCAGGGCCCCATTTTTTTTAAATCGAAGAACACTTTGGTGATCATTTTATTAAAACTTCAAATATACTATACCCATATCATTATAAACTGTAATTTCCACCTTTCAAAAAGAATCATAAAATTAGGTTCAAAAAGATATTTTTACCATGAAAGTGAAATCCTGCATGTATACTATAATAAACTCAATTTGGAATTTAGTTCGAAGGGATTTACACGTCTTAAGTAAAAAGTATTGAAAAAATAATATGTAACTAACTTCTAATTTTTTATAAAATTGTTGTAGCTGCAGGGAGCCGAGATTTTCTAATATAAAGTAGATCCTAAGTATTCGGCAGAATGTCTGTAACGAATGTTGCGCAGCTACGTTAGTGCTGTTCTTTGTTCGTAGCTATACAGTTTGCCTTTGAGTAAAATCCCGAACATGCCGATATTTGTCCGGTCGTTGTAAAATACCGTGTTCATCGTAATAAATTAAATCACCAACGGCAACATCTTCAGAGAATTAAATCTATTCCGTATTATATTCAGTAATAAAAAATAAAAAGTTATCCCGAATTCATATGATAACAATATACACTAACGCATAACCAATGCATCCCCAACTTTAACATTTTTATTTATTGCACTAGTACACTAATTAGAATTTAACGATTATAGATTTTGTGGCATACAATTCCTTAAACCTGTAGCGCCGATTTTTTTCAGGTATAAAAAATAAAACCGTTAAATTAACTTGTACATGAACTTATTGTTAGTTACGAATTCGTATATTTTGGGAAGGTGTTGGATTATTACTAATAATATATGCGTCAGCTAGTACACAAAAATGAATTGTGTTATACAGGGTATCACAGTTAAAGGAGGCCACCTAAATATTTCCTTTATTTTTAATGATACAAAAAATAACTCTGGTTTAATTTAAATGGGATCGGTGGAGGAATACCGTAGAGGATAAAATTTCGTTGTCCGATTATGTTTCATAGTTTTTTCAAGGTTATCGTTATTTTTTATCAGGAAAACTTCTATTTTTCTATATTCCATCTTGAGGCGGCTGAAAACATACATTTGAATATGCTTAAGTTATGACCTAAAGGGTGATCTTGAGTACCAAAAATATGATAAACTTGTAGAGTAATATTAAAATCACATTTGAACTTCCTGTTTATAATTCAGTGTTATAATTCTCAACATATAATGTTATAATAAGACTCCAGATCATAAGTTAAGCATATTAAGTATTTTTTCAGCCGCCTCAAGATGGAATATAGAAAAATAGAAGTTTCCCTGATCAAAAATAACGATGACCTTGAAAAAACTATGAAAAATAATCGCACAAAAGAATTTGTCTGCTACGGTATTCCTTCTCCGATACCATTTAAATTATACCATATTTTTTGTACCATTAAAGATAAAGGAAATATTTAGGTGGCCTCCTTTAGCTGAGACACCCTGAATATTAGAAACACTACTTTTAGTCAGAATAATATAATAGACGTCATCGGACCCATAGGCCTGTAACTGTTTATACCTAAAGGCCTCGATAATAAACTGTATGCAGTCCTAGTCTCTTTTGTTCTTAATTGGACAACCGACTTCTGTCGTGTCTTTCGAGTCTTTTTTTCTGAGTTCGATTTTTAAAGTGTGAAGACAGCCTTCTCTTCCAAGAAATAACGCAAAGTTACTAAAAAATTCATGGTGTTTATTATTTATTGGAACTCACTTCCAATAGAGATCTTGTGCAATTCAAATTTCCTGCATAGGATATAATTCTTTTATGAACTTACATAAAAGGTAATGCACGGTAGTATCACTTACATGGGGGTAGAAAAATGTTAGGATTGTAATATGGATCAATGGAACTGAGAATTCATACGCAAGAAAAATATGGTGGCCCTGAAAAGGGCCGTTTTTATTAAACAAAAGTGAAGAATGACACTTTAACCACCAAAACCGTAGAGGGTTCTTCCTTGCCGTTTCAAGGCATAGACGACGTCCATAGCCGTAACGGTTTTCCTTTTAGCATGCTCAGTGTAAGTCACAGCGTCTCGGATAACGTTTTCCAAGAATACTTTCAGAACACCTCGCGTTTCTTCGTAAATCAAACCAGAAATACGTTTCACTCCACCACGACGAGCCAGACGACGAATGGCCGGCTTGGTGATACCTTGAATGTTATCACGAAGAACTTTCCTATGACGTTTTGCTCCTCCCTTTCCCAATCCTTTTCCTCCTTTTCCACGACCAGTCATGATGTACTTCTCTCACAAACGACTTTAACTCTACGATTAAATGTTTGCAACTACATTGTGGAACCAAGAACATGGCTCTTTTATACAGCGGCAACCCTGCTTTCCCCTCCACCTTAGTTCTATCCAATCAGAAATCCGCTGCGCATTCGTACGAACTACGGGAGCTATGGAAACTGCATAATAATTGTCTCATCACATTACATACAGTGAGGTCATAACTTGAACTTCCAAGTAAGTATATATGTACTTACTTATCTATGAACGCATATCGCGTTCTGTTTTACGTTCGGTTTCAATGCACTACTTAGAACATTCAGACTTATCGTTAGACTGATAACTGACTAGGGAGTACAGTAAAATCTCTCTAGTTGAGAAGCGGAAATGGATAATGTAGGCAGGATAGATGCGATTTATCGAGCCTGGCGGCTGTTTTTGATTTCCGACGACAAGCCGTAGAAGAGAAGGGTAGCATGAGAGCCGTAGCAGCTCAGAAATTAACAACAGTTTAACTTTCTTATTTTTAGATTTTTCTGGATGCAAATTGTTTTAACATATTGGTACAATTTTTCTGATTCAAATGAGACCAAACATGACATAATTTGGACTATATAGACGAAAAAAAAATTCACATTGGGGATGTTCCCCTGTATGTACATAAACTAAAGTAAATATGCTCCAACTTATATCGTGTGTGGTCTCATTTTAATCAGAAGAGTCTGGCTAATATGTTTAAAAAATTCGTAGGTAAACAAAATTAATATTAAAAAAGGTACAGTGCTTTATTATAAACTATAAAAACTCTAACTCTCATCAAAGAAGCCGCATTGCGTATCGCGTGACTGACTCGAACGAACAGAACATAGGCGTCGGGTGAAAAATACATAGGCGTAGGACGAAACCAACGGACACTGTCATCAAGGCAACAAACGGACAACTAGAGATGTTACTGTATAGGTACAGTATAGGAAAGAGCAGTAGGATCACTCTGCCAAAAAGCGTACCAATAATTGTCGCTCGCGCATGACCGAATCGCACAACCAACAATATGGCGGCTGTGAATATATATGATAATATGTAGTTTCTTGCATTTTAACCTCTGTTACTTCTAAAACATTCCTGTTGCGATAAAATTCAGTAAATTTTATACAGAGATATAAAATATGAGTGAAAGAGGTGGATACCGTTGTTCCTTCAAAGGGTGCCAAAGTGCAAGCAGTGACAGCAGTAACAGGCGTTCTGGGACACCCTATATTTTATATCTGTCAAATGATATTTATCCAACGTTTCTTGTACATTTTAGATACAGACATTATTATTATTATCATCATTGTTTTATCAAAATATTACCACTATGGGTTGTTTATTAATTTCAAAGATATGCTGTATACATTATACATTTGTATATAATTTATTAGGACTTTATTAATTGAATAATTGTTGTATATAATAATTGTATTGTACAGAGATTTCAATAAAATGTGTATTTTAATTAAATGTAGATATTTAATAGTCTTTTTATGGTATTCTATTATGAAATCTCTTTTTGATTGCACCGAGTGCTTTTCAAATTAGAGCCCGCGCACAACCAGCAATATAGCGACCTACTGGTCATGAGATCAAAGGTGCCGACACGGAGTGAGCCTATTGTTCTTTCCTATACTGTGGTATAGGCATGTAACTAATTCGACCATTTGGGTTTCTAGCCTTGCCTGTACCGGCAATGTAGCTTAGGTAGAAAAGGAGCCATTATTTTTCTTGGGTAAAAATTCTCGGTGAAAGCAAATCCAAAAGTCCAGATTTTCGTGCTAGTTACTTAATACATATATAGGCTGTGGACTTCATAAAAATAGTTGAGATTGAACAAAGAGAATTAGAATAATAGTCGTGGTCAAGATTGCCACCTTGACGGCATAATATGGCTGATATTTTTATATGGTTGGAAACTTGGTAGAGAGAGAGAACGAAAGCGAGGATGTAAGAAATCAGAATAGACTGTAGGAATTAGATTATTATTAAAAATGTTCCAACTACGGTTTTTACCATGCTAGTCGTTTATTCTGTGGCATAGTTGCGCGTCCACAGTCAATACGAGAGTGCCCTGTTGGCAGTTTCTTAGTCGTAAGGATGCCAACGTAACCATGGCCTTTAGCGACCGTTTTATGGCACCCTGGCCTTGAAGTTTCCCTTGTGAGAGGAGAAACGCCATGACAAAATACACATGGCCCACTTTAACCGATACATCTATTGTTGGATACCCCAATGCTCAGGCCACCTTTCTCCAGAAAGTTGGGCGTACGTGACGAGTGGAAAACTATCCGATTAATCACGTCCCTTAAGGGCCTAGCTTTTCCGAGGCTCTTAGGACCAGGACCTCTCCCAACGTTTGTTTTGTCACTCGATTGCTAGCCTTCCTAGAGAGCACTTCGTAGTGGAACCTCTGTACACGTTATACGAAAATACATTGTATACGTTTGCAAACTCTTTAAGTACTATTTTATTCGCGGGGTCACAACACTATGCTAAATTTTGAATTTTCTAATAAGCAGTAGCCCTAGTAACGATGAATATAAAGTTAACATGTAAATATACAGGGTGCTCTAAATTAATCGTCAAAACGCCGGGAGCGTATAGGAGACCAATAAGCTAACAATAAGAGAAAAGGTCGAGTAACTTACCTGAATGAATTATAATACTTTACAATCTTTATTTATACCATTTTATATAATTACTGTATTTATAGAGAATATAATATACACTAAAATTTAAAATGGAAAACACACAACAATGACACTTTCTTCTTGATACTATAAGACTAACAGAGCGGATAATTAAAATGTCTGGTTTATTCAATAACTGTGGGCGTATTTTAAAATAAGATATACTCTTTATTCAAATTCAAAAGCAATCGTACACGACGACGCCGTGTCTCACCCCGGTGAGAATAAGAATGCTCTGCCGTCCCAAATATCCTCGGTCGTGAGAACGACTTCGACAGTATGCCCTTTTGTTTATGACACCCCTAAGTTGGAGAACTTTCCTTTAAGAAGGGGAAACGCGCTGACAGAACGCACATGGTCTTCCTCAACCGTTTGTCTATTTCGATTTTTCTAACAATATGCTCTCTCTCTTTTTTAAAAAGCTTTTCAGCTTTGCCATAGTCACTTTAACAATAACAAATATCATTTGAATTTTCATTCAGAGACTAACAAAGTAAGAACTTCGTAAGCATTATTACTGTAGATTTTAAATACATGTTGCTGTCGGATGCACTTACAATTTTTAAATACAGTGCATTAAAGTAAAGTTAAGTATATACAGCAAAGCATACCTTATTTAAGTATTTTCCTTTCAGCACAGAAATTTTTCTGATAAGAACAGCTTGAAGGTATCTTTGAAAAGCCACAGTTCTCTGCCCGAAAACCGAACACGTATATCGTAACTCTGCTTGCGTGATAGCAGTTTATTTATTGTCATGCGAATTGGTGGAGAGCATCGTATGCGTGCGAGATTCCATCCTCCTTGCCTGACGGACGCTTGCTTTCTCCAATCCTCGTGATGTGTGAGTGAGAGGTCACCGCTACCGGGACTACCATTGTCTTTCGGTATTGGCTCCCTTGAAATAAAACATCTGCTCCAACCATGTGGGCCAGATGTTGGAATGTAGAACTTTCTGAATAGTATAGCTTTACCTCTCAACTTTCATCTGTTCTCAAACCGTTTGAATACTTGGGTATTTTATTACCAGAATTAAAAAGTTATTCTAAATAGTATTGTATTATTGTAAAAATATATTACTACTACTTCCTTTATAACGTACGTACGTTAAGGTACTTGGTAAGTTCACAAATTGTAAAATAAAATAGAAAATAGATGAACAGTTAGTGATTCTTTCGTGTTAAAATGTTTTGTGGCCCTGAAAAGGGCCATTTGTATGCTGGAATCCTTTATGGAGTTATGCCTTCTTGTCGGTTTTCTTTGGCAATAGGACTGCTTGAATGTTCGGTAATACACCACCTTGAGCGATAGTAACGCCAGACAGTAATTTATTCAGTTCTTCGTCGTTACGTATGGCTAGTTGAAGATGACGAGGGATGATTCTGGTCTTCTTGTTGTCACGAGCAGCGTTGCCAGCCAATTCCAATACTTCAGCTGCTAGATATTCCATAACTGCAGCCAAATATACTGGTGCTCCTGCACCAACACGTTCCGCGTAATTTCCTTTCCTTAGAAGTCTATGAATACGGCCAACAGGAAATTGGAGCCCAGCCCGATTGGAACGGGACTTCGCCTTTCCCTTAGCTTTTCCACCTTTACCACGGCCAGACATTTTCTCGATAACTTGGAAAACAACAAGCGAATTGTACTTGAAGAGATTCAAAAGTAATGTGAGATTTCGGAGCGAGAGCTTCGCTTATATAGCTGTCCGTTGAGGTTCGGACCGACCAATGAGGCGGCAGCTCGCACGTGATTGGTGCGCCCTCGGCTGTCCTTTCACACCATATATACAGCGCCTGCACTCCGTTCCGACATTCAGTCGTGAATTTCCGCTGCTATAGAGGGTGTCTCCAGTTTATGAAATCGTTAGGAAAATGCCTCCTAAAGCAAGTGGAAAAGCTGTAAAGAAAGCTGGTAAAGCACAGAAAAACATCAGCAAGACCGATAAGAAGAAGAAGAGGAGGAGGAAAGAAAGCTATGCAATCTACATCTACAAAGTGTTGAAGCAAGTCCATCCTGACACTGGTATTTCCAGCAAGGCGATGAGCATCATGAACAGTTTTGTGAATGATGTCTTTGAGCGGATTGCTGCTGAAGCCTCACGCTTAGCTCATTACAACAAGAGATCGACCATCACATCTCGGGAAATCCAAACGGCCGTCAGACTTTTGTTGCCTGGTGAATTAGCGAAGCATGCTGTTTCTGAAGGCACTAAAGCTGTTACTAAGTACACCAGTTCAAAGTAAATGCTGCAGCATATTCTAATCGGCCCTTTTAAGGGCCAACAATTTTTATTACGTAGACCAGCCTCCTTTCTAACATTTTCCTTATTTTTATCCCATGATTGTATGTAATATAAATGATATTTTTTTTATACTAAAGGTAATCATACCAGTTACATCATTTACAAAACTACTTAATAATTTTATTTCAATTTAAGACCTAAACTTTTAATGCTTTTCCGCGATTTCTATTTGACTTGCGCAGTAGGTATAGTGTTGTAACCAATGGAACAATCAATGATGGAGATTCTTTCAATTTATAAAATTGTGTCCATCTTATTTTGCAATTCAGAACAATACATCGATATAAATCAACAATTTCGGCATCAATAATACTGAAGAAAGTATTATACATATTATAAGTGACATACTCTAAAATACGATTGTTTTAACCTAAATTTATATCATTGAAAAGTTTCATATATTTAGTATTTTTTTCTTTTTAATTATTTAATATTAAAATTTATTTTCGAGTTATGCAAGATACTAATGTTTGTCTTATATCAAATAAAATGTCATATGAACCTACCACCTAGACTTATTTCAGCAACATATACAATTTTAATTATGTGAAAATAAATTTTGTGATAAAAATATGAAATTTGTTGCAATAATTGTTTTCAAATTACTAGCAGAAACATTTCAACAGATGTCCCCACTATACAGATGTTTGTAGGTGTGGCGACCTCTCAGGCGCTCGCGAAACCTCGTCGGAAAATTAGGTTTCCTTCAATTTTTATTTTTCGTGCAGCGACTTCTACTTTCGGTTTGGGAGTGGCATTTTCCCCGAAAAAGGGGAAAGCAACTTTTTTCTTCCTCGAACCACCGAGTAGTCAACATGCGTGTAATCAGAGTTTTCTGTAGTTAGATTTAGCGATTTTTGTACTCATTTATACATATTTAATTATTCGATTAGGAATTACAGAGATTAATTATAATATTAGTTTTAGTGACTTAATTTGTGTTCCTAGTTTATTTATTAACATTTATAGTAAAATTAATTATAAAAACTTATGTGCTAAAATGTTTATTTAATCACTTCCCGGATAAAACATAGGGAAACTTATCCACACCTCTATATGGGGACGTTGTGAGAGAGACTCTCTCGTCGGTGGTGGGAGTTAAAACAGGAAAAGGCAAATTATCTCACTACTTTATCGTCCCTCTAATGGTAACGCGTGATAAAGTTAAATAAAGTTGGCTGTTCTTCCGAAAACCGTCATGCTCTGATTTAGACCAAATTTTGCGGTGTAAGTTCCTTTTTGGGAAAAGAAACATTTGTGAGAATGGTTTTTGGCGACTCGATACGCGACCTTTGGTGTGTGTACTTAATTAATATATTGGTTACCGACTACCGATACTATAATACATCATATCATACTATTATCACCGACGAGATACTGTTAAAGACTGCCATTCTTATGGGAGTTTGCGGCGGCGAAAAAATTCGACGTTTTCTTACGCCCTCTAGAATATATTGCGGCCGCAGTAAGAAACAGAACCAGAATCAGTGAGTTTACCAACGACGAGGTTCGGTGTATCATGAGACATGAGATGATATTTTATCTGGTCGATGCTATTATTATTTCTTCGGTAATTCGAGTTAAGTTCGTTTTACAGACCTTTCGGAGATACTTTTTAGGATGAAGTTCCGAATACGACCGGTCGCCAATCAAGATGAAATTTTGAGGGGCAGGGAGGAGGGGGAAGGGGACCCCAAATATAAAGTGGTATCTTCGGCTTCCTATTAGTTTCCGAGATATTAATTAAAAACTTTCGTTTTTGCAAAGGAAAAAGTTGTTCAGAATCACCCTAGCTACCACCCCTTCACAGGACCAACGCGAATTCTGGAACACCCTGTATAGTGGGGACATCAGTTGAAACGTTTCTGCTAGTAATTTGAAAACAGTTGTTGCGACAAACTTCATATTTTTATTACAAAACTTATTTTCACGCAACTAAAATATATAAGTATTGCTAAAATAAGTCTAGATGGTTCATAGCTTCATATGACATTTCATTTGAAAATAATTTTCAACATTAATTAATTAAAAAGCAAAACACTAAATGTATGTAATTCTTCAGTGATACAAATTTAGATTAAAACAATTGTATTTTAGGTTATGTCACTTATAACAACCATAATACAGTAAAGACTCGATATGTAAGTGTTTGAAAGGTTCCCCCTCGGAGCAAGCCCGGGAGCAATATGACACCGCGCGGCTTTCCTTTGAAGATGTCGCATTTGTATCGATAAATGCAGCGATGAAATTTTTTTATTTTTCATTTTTTTTTAATAACAATTTCATTACCATATTGGTGAGATTTTCCTGATTAAAATGAGACCAAACACGATATTCTTATAATAATTTTAACTAATCTGAATAAACTTAAAATAATTTACTTTCTGTGAATGCTCACTTTATATGCTAAATTAACGGCGAATGAACAGTTAACGTTATATGTTAGATATTGAATACAAAGGACGGCTAGCAACAATGATTAAAAAACATAATGTATTATTGGAATATGGGATTACTTTAATAAAAAACTCAGTAATTCTATTAAACACGATATTTATTTTGAAAGCTTGAAGAATGTCTTTACTGTGCTGTGAACGAGCAAGGAATGAAACCTCCTGAAAATGCACGCAGAAAACTAGCCCCCACTTTCAGAAAGAAAAATAACGGCCCCGGGCCTTCAATGTGTTTATTGCCCCAGACCCTTAGGTCTGGTACGGCTTGAAACCTATCGACTCTGGTGACAGAGCTAGGCCTTTGTCTGATGGTCAGTGTCCCTCAACATAGGTATTCGTTTTTGTATACACATTATAATATTATTCCAACATGTATAATGTAAAGTCGCGGAGTTCTCTCTCTCACTGAGTCCTCGGCGTACTTTATGTAATTTTATCTGCGTTGTCAGGTAGATAGAGGTTCTCACTTACCTTTCGCGGGATGAGTAGAACCTATCTATGGACGGACCCTGTGGTGATGTGTCGTCCAGGTGTTGGAACGGTAGGGTAGATGTTTCGAGTGAAGATCACGCACTTTCGATCACAATGAATGTTTATTCGTTACTGGTACAGTTCTTGATTCGCGCACGTTTACAATCGAGTCTTACAGAATCTTGCTCTGTCGGAGCCCTGAGCTTCGTAGCAGAGTCATAAACGCTAGACTTGGTTAATTTATTGATATTACCGGAATCTTGCTCTGTCGAAGTACTGAGCTTCGTAGCAGAGTCGTGTAGATTCTAGAGTATCGAACTCTGAGCGGTACTTCGCGGATTATCTTCGCGGATTTAATGATTTACAGATGGTCTGAGTGATCTAGTCTGATCGCGATACTTTCGGTTTCGTACTATGTTGATAAGTCGATGAACCGTTAAATGCACTGATAAGAACTGCGCCTATGAGGACTTCTTACGAGAATGATTGGTAAAAACTGACTACGTGCGGGCGGGCCCGATCGCGTTATTTTATATTGATAAATGAGGTCGACATTTGATTTGGCAATTCGGGTGAACCACCTCGTTCGGATCGTCAGCGTTCTCGCCGTACGACGACCCGGCTGAGTTGCTCACTCAGAATTTGCGGAACGATGAATTTGGATGGTGCAATAGAAGTTTAAAGAATTTGGGTGATGAAATAGAAGTTTCAAGAATGCGTCGCAGGACGTGACAATACATATATTGTACTGATTTTAATTGTGAAATCAATCACAAAATTAAGGAAACTTATGTTTATTTACATGCATATAGAATGCATCACAAGACGTGACAATAAATAAAAAAATGTTGTTGCATTAGTGTTGTTTTACGAATATGTAGGCATTTAATTTATTAACTCTCCCAGTCAGCAATCTGCATGGAGATTGGCAGCAGATCCTGCAACTTCACTGTTCCCTTTAAAATTTAAATGGCTGAAGTTACAGGATCTGCTGCCAATCTGCCGCAAATCTGCCATCATAGTCTGCGCGCAGACTCTGTTCTGTTTCTGTCTCCAATTTGGCAATAGGTTATGATAGCAGGATCTGCTCGGTTTGTGAGGCAAATCTGCTTTAGCAGGATTTGTTACATTTCTGCCGCTAATCTGCTGCAATAACTGGATTTACAGATCCTACATCAAATCTGTAGCCGTTCTGCTTACAAAACCTTGTAACAGGAATTCGATTCGATCAGGGCTTATGTCAGCCCGAATCCATCTTCTCCTTTTACCTACTGTCTCTTCCCATGTTGACGTCGCGTCGACAAAATACGAACAGTTAGAGAATCGATTCTTCTGTTCGCTAAATGTTCCTCAGCGATCTCGAATTGTGATCACTTATAGGAACTACGGCTCGCTTTTCGAACAGTAACGTGGAGAAGACTGTCGGGTTTGATTCGCTTCAAGTTCTGGATAAGTGTTCGCCTTCATCACATTTAAGAAAAAGATGCTTAGACTCTTTATATTTTGCCGACGTCGACCAAAATAGAAAGACAGCGAGAAAAGAGGAACATTTACAAGCCTAATCATCATAACCAATTGTCATAACAATATCGTGTTTAGTCTCATTTTAATCAGGAAAATCTCACCAATGAAATGGTGAAAGTTTTATTAAAAAAAAATAGAAAATAAAAAAGTTTGTTACATTAGTATTGTCTCACCGATATGTAAGCATTTAATTTTCTACGGCCACCTCGACTCTCAGTCCCTCTTTCTTCTTTATCAAACTGTCTCTTTCTACGTTCATCGACGTCGGCAAAATACAAACGGTTAGCAGAATCGAATCTTCTGTTCGCTAAATGTTCCTCACCGGTCCCAAATTCTGAACACATATCGAGTCTTTACTGTACTTTCTTCAATATTATTGATGCTGAAATTGTTGATTTATTTCGATGTATTGTTTTTTACTACGAAATAAGATGGACACAATTTTACAAATTAAAAGAAACTATATCAGTGATAGTTCCATTGCATTGGATATAACACTATATGTACTGCGCAAGTCAAATAGAGTTTAAAAGTTTAGATCTTAAATTGAAATAAAATTATCAAGTAGTTCGGCAAATGCTATGATAACTGGTATGGATACTTTTAGTGTTAAAAATGTCATTTATATTACAATCGTGGGATAAAAATAAGGAAAATGTTAGAAAGGAGGCTGGTCTACGTAATAAAAATTGTTGGCCCTTAAAAGGGCCGATTAGAATATGCTGCAGCATTTACTTTGAACTGGTGTACTTAGTAACAGCTTTAGTGCCTTCAGAAACAGCGTGCTTCGCTAATTCACCAGGCAACAAAAGTCTGACGGCCGTTTGGATTTCCCGAGATGTGATGGTCGATCTCTTGTTGTAATGAGCTAAGCGTGAGGCTTCAGCAGCAATCCGCTCAAAGACATCATTCACAAAACTGTTCATGATGCTCATCGCCTTGCTGGAAATACCAGTGTCAGGATGGACTTGCTTCAACACTTTGTAGATGTAGATTGCATAGCTTTCTTTCCTCCTCCTCTTCTTCTTCTTATCGGTCTTGCTGATGTTTTTCTGTGCTTTGCCAGCTTTCTTTACAGCCTTTCCACTTGCTTTAGGAGGCATTTTCCTAACGATTCCGTAAACTCGAGACACACTCTACAGCACCGCAAATTCACGACTGAGTGTCGGAACGGTTTTTTTTTTTTTTTTTTGAAGGCGGGGAGCCTGTGATTATCTTGGTCCTTTATGGGAGAGTCTCCTGGATATTATTCCTTATACTCTCAGATGTAGATTATAGTAACGACTGAGTGTCGGAACGGAGTGCAGGCGCTGCATATATGGTGTGAAAGGACAGCCGAGGGCGCACCAATCACGTGCGAGCTGCCGCCCCATTGGTCGGTCCAAACTTCAACGGACAGCTATATAAGCGGAGCTCTCGCTCTAAAAACGCATACTACTTTTAACTCTCTTCTAGTTCAATTCACTTGTTTTCAAAGTTATCTAGAAAATGTCTGGTCGTGGCAAAGGTGGAAAAGCTAAGGGAAAGGCGAAGTCTCGTTCCAGTCGGGCTGGACTCCAATTTCCTGTTGGTCGTATTCATAGACTTTTAAGGAAAGGAAATTATGCTGAACGTGTTGGTGCAGGAGCACCAGTATATTTGGCTGCAGTTATGGAATATCTAGCAGCTGAAGTATTGGAATTAGCTGGTAACGCTGCTCGTGACAACAAGAAGACCAGAATTATCCCTCGTCATCTTCAACTGGCCATACGTAATGACGAAGAACTGAATAAATTACTGTCTGGCGTTACTATCGCTCAGGGTGGTGTATTACCGAACATTCAAGCAGTCTTATTGCCAAAAAAAACAGACAAGAAGGCGTAACTCTACAAAGGATTCCAGCATACAAATGGCCCTTTTCAGGGCCACAAAATATTTTAACACGCAGGAATCTCTAACTATTCATCCATTTTCTCTTTTATTTTACAATCTATGAACTTAAGTAGTATCTTACTATTTTAACGTACGTACGTCATGAAGAAAGTGGCAACAAATTTTAATATATTTTTACTACAATACGGTACTATTTAGAATAACTTTTTAATTCTAGTAATAAAATATCTAAGTACTCAAACTATTTGAGATTAGATGAAAGTTAAGAAGTAAAGCTACACTATTCAGAAAGTTCAACATTCCAAACATCTGGCCCAGTTGTTTGGAGCAGATGTTTTACTTGAAACGAGTCCCCATAGTCTGCGCGCTTGCGCTGTTACGAGAGAGTAAATCCAACAGCGAAAGACAAAGGTAGTCCCGGTGGCGGTGACCCTCTCACTCGCACATCACGGTGGTTGGCGAAAGCGTCTAGCAGGCAAAGAGGATGGGGCCTTGCATGTATATGATGCTCTCTACTAATTCCCATGACAGTAAACAAGCCACTATCCCGCAGCCAGAGTTACGATCTATGTATGTGTTCGGCTTTCAGGCGGAGAATTGCGGTATTTCAAAGAGATCTTCGAGCTCTGTTCTTATTAGCAAAATTTCTGGGCTGAGAGAAAAAAGCATTTGTATGCTTTGCTGTATGTATTTAACTTTGCTTTAATGCATTGTATTTGGAAGTTGTAAGTGCATCAGACAGCAACAGGTTTCTAAAATCTACAGTAATAATGTTTGGGAAGTTCCTACTTTGATAGTCTCTGAACGAGAATTCAAATGTTAATTGTTATTATTGAAGTGGCTATAGCAAAAATGGAGAGCTTTTTAAAAAAGCAAAGAGTATCAAGAAGAAATTGTCATTGTTGTGTGTTTTCCATTTTACATTTTAGTGTATATTATATTCTCTATAAGTGCAGTAATTATATAAATTAGTATAAATATAAATTGTAAAATATTATACTTCATTCGGGTAAGTTATTCGACTTTTTTTCTTAGCTTATTGGTCTCCTGCACGTTTCCAACGTTTTGACGATTAATTTGGGGCACCCTGTGTATAATATCAATGTTAACTTAATATTCATCGTTACTCGGGTTACTGTTCGCTCTCATCCACCCCCTCTCTCTAACAGATTTACAACAGTATAAAAATAATACCAGCCGTATTATGCCGTCAAGGTGGCAATCTTGACCACGACTGTTGTTCTCATTCTCTTTTTTCAATTTCAACTATTTTTATGGAATCCATAGTCTATATATATTAAGTAACTGGCCCGAACATCTGGATTTCTTTACTTGCTTTCACCGAGAATTTTCACCCAAGAAAATTAATAGCTCCCTTTCTATATAAGCTTTATTGGTACAAGCAAGGCAAAAAGCCCAGATGTTCGAATTAGTTACGTGCCTATAGTTCTTAGTCATAACGTGACGAGCCAATTACGCATTCCCTTTGCTCCCGTAGCTCGACTGTCGTATGTGCAGCGAACTTCTGATTGGGTAGAAGTAAGGCGGAGGGGAAAGCAGGGTTGCCGCTCTATAAAAGAGCCATGTTCTTGGTTCCTTACCGTAGTTCCAAACATTTTATCATTGAGTTGTAATCGTCTGTAAGAAAAATACATCATGACTGGTCGTGGAAAAGGAGGAAAAGGATTGGGAAAGGGAGGAGCGAAGCGTCATAGAAAAGTTCTTCGTGATAACATTCAAGGTATCACTAAGCCGGCCATTCGTCGTCTGGCTCGTCGTGGTGGAGTGAAACGTATTTCTGGTTTGATTTACGAAGAAACGCGAGGTGTTCTGAAAGTATTCTTGGAAAACGTTATCCGAGACGCTGTGACTTACACTGAGCATGCTAAAAGGAAAACCGTTACGGCTATGGACGTCGTCTATGCCTTGAAACGGCAAGGAAGAACCCTCTACGGTTTTGGTGGTTAAAGTGTCATTCTTCACTTTTGTTTAATAAAAACGGCCCTTTTCAGGGCCACCATATTTTTCTTGCGTATGAATTCTCAGTTCCATTGATCCATATTACAATCCTAACATTTTTATACCCCCATGTAAGTGATACTACCGTGCATTACCTTTTATGTAAGTTCATAAAAGAATTATATCCTATGCAGGAAATTTGAATTGCACAAGATCTCTATTGGAAGTGAGTTCCAATAAATAATAAACACCATGAATTTTGTAGTAACTTTGCGTTATTTCTTTAAAGGGAAGGCTGTCTTCACACTTTAAAAATCGAACTCAGAAAAAAAGACTCGAAAGACACGACAGAAGTCGGTTGTCCAATTAAGAACAAAAGAGACTAGGACTGCATACAGTTTATTATCGAGGCCTTTAGGTATAAACAGTTACAGGCCTATGGGTCCGATGACGTCTATTATATTATTCTGACTAAAAGTAGTGTTTCTAATATTCAGGGTGTCTCAGCTAAAGGAGGCCACCTAAATATTTCCTTTATTTTTAATGGTACAAAAAATATCTATAGTATAATTTAAACGGTATCGGAGAAGGAATACCGTAGCAGACAAATTTTTTTGTCCGATTATTTTTCATAGTTTTTTCAAGATCATCATTATTTTTGATCAGGGGCACTTCTATTTTTCTATATTCGATCTTCAGGCGGCTGAAAAAATACATTTGACAAATATCGGGATGTTCGGGATTTTGCTCCAAGGCAAACTGTACAGCTACGAACAAAGAACAGCACCAACGTAGCTGCGGAACATTCGTTTCAGACATTCTGCCGAATACTTAGGATCTACTTTGTATTAGAAAATCTCGGCTCCCTGCAGCTACGACAATTTTATTAAAAATTAGAAGTTAGTTACATATTATTTTTTCAATACTTTTTACTTAAGACGTGTAAATACCTTCGAACTAAATTCCAAATTGAGTGTATTATAGTATACATTCAGGATTTCACTTTCATGGTAAAAATATCTTTTTGAACCTTTTATGATTCTTTTTCAAAGGTGGAAGTTATAGTTTCTAATGATATGAGTACAGTATATTTGAAGTTTTAATAAAATGATCACGAAAGTGTTCTTCGATTTAAAAAAAATGGGGCCCTGAAAAGGGCCGATTGTTGTGTAAAAGGTGGAGCGCCTTAAAACTTAAGCTCTTTCTCCACGAATACGACGAGCGAGTTGGATGTCCTTTGGCATGATTGTAACTCGTTTGGCATGAATAGCACACAAGTTGGTATCCTCGAAAAGTCCAACAAGGTAAGCTTCGCTGGCTTCTTGCAAAGCCATCACAGCAGAACTTTGGAAACGAAGATCGGTTTTGAAGTCTTGAGCTATTTCACGTACGAGACGTTGGAAAGGTAATTTACGGATTAAGAGTTCCGTACTTTTTTGGTATCTTCGAATTTCTCTGAGTGCTACAGTTCCAGGCCTATAACGATGAGGTTTCTTCACTCCTCCCGTTGCAGGCGCACTTTTACGAGCAGCTTTGGTAGCTAACTGTTTCCGGGGAGCCTTCCCACCGGTAGATTTACGAGCGGTCTGCTTAGTACGAGCCATGTCGCTGAGAATAAAATGTGCTTCGTTTATAATCCGAAACTACAGTAAGGCAACGATGATTTTGCTTCTCTTATATGTTTGTAGAGCCGAGTTCCACCTCTCCTCTGATTGGTTAAAGAACGCGAGGTGGGGAGAGCTCTGCAGCGCTTAACGATAGGGGCAAGCGTGATGGAGGGGGAAGGACAGCTGGTACAGCTATATAGTAGTTCGACTTTGGACAAATATCACATTATTCTTTTGAATCTGTTGACTTTACGAAGCAGCGTACATTAGTCGAAATGAGCGGTCGTGGAAAGGGAGGTAAAGGATTGGGAAAAGGAGGAGCAAAGCGACACAGGAAGGTTCTTCGTGATAATATTCAGGGTATCACGAAGCCAGCTATCCGTCGACTTGCCCGCCGTGGCGGTGTAAAACGTATTTCTGGTTTGATCTACGAAGAAACACGTGGTGTTCTCAAAGTTTTCCTTGAGAACGTTATTCGTGACGCCGTCACTTACACCGAGCATGCAAAAAGAAAGACTGTTACTGCCATGGATGTGGTTTATGCTTTGAAACGTCAGGGTAGAACCCTTTATGGTTTTGGTGGTTAAATTGCTATCACTGCCATTAAGTTCTTACTTAAAAAACGGCCCTTTTTAGGGCCACCAAAAAATTTAAACATGGAACTTCTATCATTTCAACTTATCCGTTAATTATTATCAAATACACATTATTTTTATTCTATTGTTGAGTTGCAATAACACTACTCGACACAAAGAATGCCAATAGAAGTAACAATGTATATTATAATAATATTAACATCTGGTAACAATATTTTTTTTCGTAGCTACAGCAACTGCACTTAATTTGCCACCACTTAATTTCCTGTTACCTACGTCTTGTGCTTCCATGTATTGCATACGGTGTGTCTAGGTTGAAGTGTGACAGACCCGTTATACCGTAACTATTAATGATCCAAAAGTTGTTGACATCAAAATTGCACGATATAATGGGAACTGTGTTTTCGCTGAAATACAAATTTTTTTACATTATTAGTTTAAGAGATATGATGGTCAAGTTCTGCTTTTTAAATGGGAATATATACATGTATATATTTTTTCAGATCATAAGATAGTGCTTTTCAAGATGAATTTATTAAGCTTTAATGTATACACCCGATTTTAATTACCTTTCAGGATATTACGTTTATCAATTTACCGATTTTCAGCGGATACGTCTCGGTTCGAATAGCATTGAGACTGCTATTGTTGCGTTGAGACCTCCAAACCATTGGACACTTAGAATAATGAATACTATAATTACGTAAAAACCATCAGTGCATATAGAGTTAACCAAATTATTAATAATTCTTAGGCGAACATTTAAAAAATGTTAGTACATTACAGTTTAGAAATTGAAAGCAAAATTTATTTTAGGATGAAAAAAATTAATATATGACACTTACTCATTAATTTCGTGCTGTATATGTATAATTTCCTGTTAGAAACGCTGTCAGTCCACATGCATTATTCACAGCCATGGGTGCACTCCTTTTCCTTGTCCAGATAGCCAAATGTATAGCTGATTCGTATAATCAAATGAATAGACAAATAATGTTTAGCTATAGTACACAACCTATGAATGAAATGAAGAAATAAATGTCGAATGAATGAGTATCTGTGTCATATGTATGTAAACAAATGAGTTGTGAAGAACATGGAATGTTATTGATGCTCCATATTCTTTGCTTCGTAGTTAGAAAGACTCGTCTATAGAAACTTGAGAGCAAGAAATTATCAAAACAGGAACTGTAATTATTTTAGCATGTAAATAAAGAAAATAGTGAAAATTAACTTATGTTAATTTTCACAAGACAAATCCTCAAGTATTTCTCCAAAGTGAAATAAAATATTCCGCTTTGAACCTTTTAAATCCTAACCGACATGTTCTCTTGTTGCTGGTCAAAATTAAGGTCTATATCATGATTAATATTGTATTCCATTTATAATTATTCGTACAACGATACACTCATTCGTCTTCATCACTGTATAATACTACAATACCGAAACAACATCGTCAAGTCATCAATAACCTTCTACAGTCCAATTAAGTATGTGCTCGAAATCATTGACTTAATTTTTCTCTATAAATATTTAGTTAACTAGTTAATTTTATACAATATTTATGGTACATCATCTGCATTCAAAGTTGAAGTACCTATTTGATAACATAAATGGTAGGTATAGCTCATGACGCACAAAGTACTTGTGGTGGTATTACATTTCACAATTAAATGTTATATTTTATCAGCAACAAGTAGGCTTCAGAACAGTATTAATTTTTAAATTAGATAAAATTGAAATTGCATTATGTATAACAGTGTACAAGCACTTTTATAAAACTGAAATATCATTTCAAAGCACCAAAGTATGGTGATCCAGAACTTCTCGAACAAAGTGTGCGATATTCTAAATTAATGCGAGATAAGTTGTTAAATAAATCCACTTCTATATTCTCGTCTACGTTGTCGACCATAATTGAGTATTATTAACCAGATTAATGGTATTATATAAATGACTATAATGTCGACCATTTGCGTCGTGTCTTCTTGATGATTGTATTTCTTTCCGCGTAAAACTCTTGGAATTTATGATGATATCTAAACTCCATTAACGACTTCTGTACATAAATTGATAGGTTTAATATTAAGACATCTATTCTCACGAGAGCAATCGTTTTGGATTGAATATTCTCTTTTTTTTACTTAATTTTCCAGATTGATGTAGTCCTGAATAAGAAGAACCGTGAGACTATATCACTTCAGTCGAATATAATAGCTGAAAATCGAGGTAAATTTGTCATTTAACGACACCGTTGAAAACTACTGACAATAACTGACACTTTACATATCTAATATGTGCTTTGAATCGAATAAATAGTTGCATAAATCATAAATCTTTCCGTGTTAGTCCAGGATTCTCAGTAATGTGATATTGGAAACAGAAGAGAGGTCTCTCTTCCCGGTCCGCGCCTTTCCTACTAGTACGCCAATTTCTGAGTTAGTCGCGCACTCTGTGAACGGATCGTAAAAGTTGTATTTACCCAGTTATTGTACATTTTGTGTAAGATGGAGGCGAGAAATAGTTCTGGAAACACTGCAACAGTGGAAAATTCGGTGGCAAAGCCGTCACCTGCGAAAAAGTCTGTAAAATCTAAGACAAAATCGCAGCGTACTAAATCGTGGCATCCATCAACTGCGGATATGGTGAACGCTGCTATCAAAGCGTTAGAAGATCGCAAGGGATCGTCACTTCAAGCTATCAAGAAATACATAGCAACGACGTATAAAGTTGATGGTGAAAAAATGGCGCCATTTATTAAGAGGTACTTGAAAACAGCCGTAACTGCCGGTGCGGTGGTGCAAACCACGGGAAAAGGTGCCTCTGGCTCGTTCAAGCTGTCCACATCTTCGAAGGGTTCCGAATCTAAGAGCAAATCCAAACGTCTCGTGAAACGGGCTGTATCTGCTGCAGCTGAAAAGAAAGCTGCGGAGAAGCCAGCGAGTCCTAAGAAAGCAACTGCCCCGAAGAAAGCACCCGTTGTGAAGAAACCAGCCGCGGCAGCCAAGAAACAATCTTCTTCGAAGAAAGCAGCTAAAACTGCTGCTGCTAAGATAACAGAATCTGTGAAACAAAAGGCAGCACCACCACCGAAGAATTTGTCAAAAGCGAAGAAAGCCACAAAAGCGCCAGCAGCAAAGACGAAAACTCCAAAACCGAAAACAGCAAAATCGCCGAAAATCGCAAGAGCAGCGGCGAAAAAGTAATTCGTTGAAGAATTCATATCAATTGGCCCTTTTCAGGGCCACAAATCTTATTTTACAAAGAAACAATCTTTGTTTGCACTCTGCAAGATTTACCTGTTTATTCCAAATTCCTTTCTCCTTTAAAATAAGATTTTGATACAAAGGGTCTAGCCGTATAAGCCTAGTGAATTGGCCCCAGCAACAATTTCGGTTGATATTTATACCACATAATGCTTTTTGTCTAAACAACAATTGTAGGCAATTTCAACCCCCTACCCTCTCTGACAAGGGAGATATGAGGGTAAAACTCCAAAACTTTACTATTTTTTTTCTCGGAAACTATTTAAGATATTTAAACACATTAAAGTGCAAATAGTAGGTATTCATTAGCTATATTTCATTTTTTTTTCAAGATTTTTATTCGATGATTAAGGGTTGAAAATTAATAAATAAATTTTTGAAAGTGATTTTTATAAACAATCCCTTGAGTGACACCCGCCGAAAAAATTAAGAATAATCCTTTACTATTTAACTATTATCTGTAAAAGTTTCAAGAGTGTCGGATTGGTACATCATAGTTAAAAAAAAATAAAACCAATGCAACGCCTTTTCATAAGGCAAAGCCAGGCTGAACGTTAGAGGCGCTCAACCGAACCGACCTATAGGGGAATACGTTGCGCCGCGCCGCGCCGACCCGGCACGTTTCTCATACCAGAAACAGCTCTCACAAGAATTACTTGGATGTAATCAGCCAGGTTGAGCATGAGACAGGGAGGTTTCAGCCTCACCGCTGGCACATTTCCTCACAGAGTGCGCGACTAATTTTTTATTTTTTTTTTTATTTAGTGGGGATGAGTCATGAAAATAGCAGCGGCTGGGAGGGAATGAGGCCTTCTGCTCGCTGGGTTTGTGTTGCGTGCCTAGAAGCGGGTAATGTACAAGACCTCCGGAAGTAGTTCAGGAAAAAGTTACAAAAAAACCTGAAGCCTGAAAGCAACTCGAGGTTGACCTGGGATGTAAATAGTAAGTTATTGTACCAGAAGTTCGATTAGGTGTCTTTGATGAATAATGGGAATCTGTATCTGATCCTGTAGGGGATAAGATCAAGTGAGATGGGATTTGTGCTTGAAATTAAGATGTTAGAATGAGTAGAAGTGTCGTACCTGGCATTGAGTGTGCGAATAACATCCACGACTTTTGATATTTTAGCTTCAGCGTGAAGGTTATTATAATCGCGGGGGCGTCCGTAGATGAATTTTAAGGCTTTGTTTTGGAGGATTTGTAGTTGGTGGAGGTTTGTTGGTGCGGCTGCACACCAGATTTGCGAGCCGTATAGAATGACTGGTCTGATGCACATGGTATAAATTTTTAAACGGAGATATTGGTGGAGTTTTGATGAACTGGCTAATAGTTTGGAGGCGGCGCCGATGGCGCTGCTGGCTTATTTGGCGCGGTCTTCGATGGCCTGTTTCCAGGTTAACCTGGAGTCAAGAACGATGCATAAGTATTTGACTGATGATTGCCATGGTATTGAAGAGTCATTTAGAGAAAGCAGTGGTGGTGGATGTAAGTTGCGTTTCCGGGTAAAGTAGATTGCTTGAGTCTTATTAGGGTTAATAAATAGCTTCCAATCAGCAAAGAAATTGTGAATAGCAATTAAGGCTTCTTGTAGTTTGATCTGAAGCAGTTGGAGGCTCCATGATGAGGCTAGAATGGCGGTATCGTCAGCGAATAGCGAGAGGACTGTAGAAATAGGTTGCGGAATGTCTGATATGAATAGTATGAATGAGATGGGACCCAAGATGGAGCCTTGGGGGACACCGGCTTCAATGGTGGTAAGTTGTGATTTGGCGGTGCCAATTTTGACGAAGAATTTGCGGTCTTGGAGGAAGCTTCGAAGAATCTCAACTAGCCAAAGAGGGAATCCTCACAGAGTGCGCGACTAACTTTTTTTTTTTTTTTTTTTTTTTTGAAGGCGGGGAGCCTGTGATTATCTTGGTCCTTTATGGGAGAGTCTCCTGGATATTATTCCTTATACTCTCAGATGTAGATTATAGTTGTTGGATTGATCCTGGATGTGGGTTGTCCTACAGGTGGTTGCTCTTGCGGGGAAAATTTTCAAAAAACCCTGCGTCAGAAAAAAGGTAGAGCAGTTTGTTGCTCTAAGCAGCGTAATTATATTGGTAGAGGGGGGGGGGGGTTTAGGTTAGGTTAAGGGGGTGGTGCTTTCGCCATTGTTAGGGGGAATCGTATTTTGGGTGTGTAGGGGATTGTGGTTTCATTGTATGTAGAAGTTGCGGCGACTAAGGGATTACTGTGATCTTCTGTATTATAGTTATCAAGGAGTTTTTGGATGACAGTACTAATTAGCGGTATTTTGGCTCTTGTGTGAATTTTATTAGTAGGATGATCTGAGGGGAGGTTATAGATGATTTTTAAGGCTTTATTTTGGAGTCGTTGTAGTGTTTTGATGTAGGAGAGGGCAGCCGGTGACCAAACCTGAGCGCCATAGAGAAGGACTGGTCTGATGCAGGTTTTGTATATGTGGAGTTTAAGGTCGGTTGGGAGTTTTGATGCATTTCCTATGAGGGGTCGTGATGCTCCGATTACGGCTAGTGCTTTCTGGTATCTGTTGAGGATAGCTGGTTGCCAGGTGAGTTTGGAGTCTAGAGTGACGCCTAGGTAAGTGAGTGTGGATTCCCATGGGATGTTAGTGCCGTTCAGGTTGAGGTTTGGTGTTCCATTTTTTAATTTTTTGGTTTTCCTGTGGAAGAGTGTGGCCTGAGACTTGGAGGCGTTTAAAGATAGTTTCCAGTCTTGGAAGTAATTATGTATCAGGTTGAGATGGTGTTGGATCTTGGATGTAAGTAGTTTGGGGCACCATGATGCGGCTAATATGGCTGTGTCGTCTGCAAATAGGGTTAGGGTTGTGCTGTTTGTTGTTGGGATGTCGTTTAGGTAGATGAGGAATAGTGGAGGTCCTAATACGGATCCTTGGGGGACTCCGGTGTTCGTGGATAAGAGTTCTGATTTATCTTGGTTAATTTGGACGAAAAACTTTCTGTTGTTAAGGTAGTTTTGAGTGAGTTTAATGAGATGAGGATGGAAGTTGAGTTTAATAAGCTTGTAAATTAGTCCGTCATGCCATACTGAGTCAAAGGCTTTTTGTATGTCCAGGGATAGCATAGCTGTTAGTCTAATCACAGAGTGCGCGACTAACTCAGAAATCGGGCTACTAGTAGGAAAGGCGCGGACCGGGAAGAGAGACCTCTCTTCTGTTTCCAATATCACATTACTGAGAATCCTGGACTAACACGGAAAGATTTATGATTTATGCAACTATTTATTCGATTCAAAGCACAAATTAGATATGTAAAGTGTCAGTTATTGTCAGTAGTTTTCAACGGTGTCGTTGAATGACAAATTTATCTCGATTTTCAGCTATTATGTTCGACTGAAGTGACATAGTCTCACGGTTGTTCTTATTCAGGACTACATCAATCTGGAAAATTAAGTAAAAAAAAGAGAATATTCAATCCAAAACGATTGCTCTTGTGAGAATAGATGTCTTAATATTAAACCTATCAATTTATGTACAGAAATCGTTAATGGAGCTTAAAAAAATTTGTATTTCAGCGAAAACACAGTTCCCATTATATCGTGCAATTTTGATGTCAACAACTTTTGGATCATTAATAGTTACGGTATAACGGGTCTGTCACACTTCAACCTAGACACACCGTATGCAATACATGGAAGCACAAGACGTAGGTAACAGGAAATTAAGTGGTGGCAAATTAAGTGCAGTTGCTGTAGCTACGAAAAAAAATATTGTTACCAGATGTTAATATTATTATAATATACATTGTTACTTCTATTGGCATTCTTTGTGTCGAGTAGTGTTATTGCAACTCAACAATAGAATAAAAATAATGTGTATTTGATAATAATTAACGGATAAGTTGAAATGATAGAAGTTCCATGTTTAAATTTTTTGGTGGCCCTAAAAAGGGCCGTTTTTTAAGTAAGAACTTAATGGCAGTGATAGCAATTTAACCACCAAAACCATAAAGGGTTCTACCCTGACGTTTCAAAGCATAAACCACATCCATGGCAGTAACAGTCTTTCTTTTTGCATGCTCGGTGTAAGTGACGGCGTCACGAATAACGTTCTCAAGGAAAACTTTGAGAACACCACGTGTTTCTTCGTAGATCAAACCAGAAATACGTTTTACACCGCCACGGCGGGCAAGTCGACGGATAGCTGGCTTCGTGATACCCTGAATATTATCACGAAGAACCTTCCTGTGTCGCTTTGCTCCTCCTTTTCCCAATCCTTTACCTCCCTTTCCACGACCGCTCATTTCGACTAATGTACGCTGCTTCGTAAAGTCAACAGATTCAAAAGAATAATGTGATATTTGTCCAAAGTCGAACTACTATATAGCTGTACCAGCTGTCCTTCCCCCTCCATCACGCTTGCCCCTATCGTTAAGCGCTGCAGAGCTCTCCCCACCTCGCGTTCTTTAACCAATCAGAGGAGAGGTGGAACTCGGCTCTACAAACATATAAGAGAAGCAAAATCATCGTTGCCTTACTGTAGTTTCGGATTATAAACGAAGCACATTTTATTCTCAGCGACATGGCTCGTACTAAGCAGACCGCTCGTAAATCTACCGGTGGGAAGGCTCCCCGGAAACAGTTAGCTACCAAAGCTGCTCGTAAAAGTGCGCCTGCAACGGGAGGAGTGAAGAAACCTCATCGTTATAGGCCTGGAACTGTAGCACTCAGAGAAATTCGAAGATACCAAAAAAGTACGGAACTCTTAATCCGTAAATTACCTTTCCAACGTCTCGTACGTGAAATAGCTCAAGACTTCAAAACCGATCTTCGTTTCCAAAGTTCTGCTGTGATGGCTTTGCAAGAAGCCAGCGAAGCTTACCTTGTTGGACTTTTCGAGGATACCAACTTGTGTGCTATTCATGCCAAACGAGTTACAATCATGCCAAAGGACATCCAACTCGCTCGTCGTATTCGTGGAGAAAGAGCTTAAGTTTTAAGGCGCTCCACCTTTTACACAACAATCGGCCCTTTTCAGGGCCCCATTTTTTTTAAATCGAAGAACACTTTCGTGATCATTTTATTAAAACTTCAAATATACTGTACTCATATCATTAGAAACTATAACTTCCACCTTTGAAAAAGAATCATAAAAGGTTCAAAAAGATATTTTTACCATGAAAGTGAAATCCTGAATGTATACTATAATACACTCAATTTGGAATTTAGTTCGAAGGTATTTACACGTCTTAAGTAAAAAGTATTGAAAAAATATGTAACTAACTTCTAATTTTTAATAAAATTGTCGTAGCTGCAGGGAGCCGAGATTTTCTAATACAAAGTAGATCCTAAGTATTCGGCAGAATGTCTGAAACGAATGTTCCGCAGCTACGTTGGTGCTGTTCTTTGTTCGTAGCTGTACAGTTTGCCTTGGAGCAAAATCCCGAACATGCCGATATTTGTCTGGTCGCTGTAAAATACCGTGTTCATTATAATAAATTAAATCACCAACGGCAACGTCTTCAGAGTATTAAATCTATTCCGTATTATATTCAGTATTAAAAATAAAAAGTTATCCCGAATTCATATGACAACAATATACACTAACGCATAACCAACGCATCCCCAAATTTTACATTTTTATTTATTGCACTAGTACACTAATTAGAATTTAACGATTATAGATTTTGTGGCATACAATTCCTTAAACCTGTAGCGCCGATTTTGTTCAGGTATAAAAAATAAAACTGTTAAATTAACTTGTACATGAACTTATTGTTAGTTACGAATTCGTATATTTTGGGAAGGTGTTGGATTATTACTAATAATATATGCGTCAGCTAGTACACAAAAATGAATTGTGTTATACAGGGTATCACAGCTAAAGGAGGCCACCTAAATATTTCCTTTATTTTTAATGATACAAAAAATATCTCTGGTTTAATTTAAATGGTATCGGTGGAGGAATACCGTAGAGGATAAAATTTCATTGTCCGATTATGTTTCATAGTTTTTTCAAGGTTATCGTTATTTTTTATCAGGAAAACTTCTATTTTTCTATATTCCATCTTGAGGCGGCTGAAAACATACATTTGAATATGCTTAAGTTATGACCTGAAGGGTGATCTTGAGTACCAAAAATATGATAAACTTGTAGAGTAATATTAAAATCACATTTGAACTTCCTGTTTATAATTCAGTGTTATAATTCTCAACATATAATGTTATAATAAGACTCCAGATCATAACTTAAGCATATTCAAATGTATTTTTTCAGCCGCCTCAAGATAGAATATAGAAAAATAGAAGTTTCCCTGATCAAAAATAACGATGACCTTGAAAAAACTATGAAAAATAATCGCACAAAAGAATTTGCCTGCTACGGTATTCCTTCTCCGATACCATTTAAATTATACAATATTTTTTGTACCATTAAAGATAAAGGAAATATTTAGGTGGCCTCCTTTAGCTGAAACACCCTGAATATTAGAAACACTACTTTTAGTCAGAATAATATAATAGACGTCATCGGACCCATAGGCCTGTAGCTGTTTATACCTAAAGGCCTCGATAATAAACTGTATGCAGTCCTGGTCTCTTTTGTTCTTAATTGGACAACCGACTTTTCTGTCCTGTCTTTCGAGTCTTTTTTTCTGAGTTCGATTTTTAAAGTGTGAAGACAGCCTTCCCTTCCAAGAAATAACGCAAAGTTAGTAAAAAATTCATGGTGTTTATTATTTATTGAAACTCACTTCCAATAGAGAAAATCTTGTGCAATTCAAATTTCCTGCATAGGATATAATTCTTTTATGAACTTACATAAAAGGTAATGCACGGTAGTATCACTTACATGGGGGTATAAAAATGTTACGATTGTAATATGGACAATGGAACTGAGAATTCATACGCAAGAAAAATATGGTGGCCCTGAAAAGGGCCCTTTTTATTGAACAAAAGTGAAGAATGCCACTTTAACCACCAAAACCGTAGAGGGTTCTTCCTTGCCGTTTCAAGGCATAGACGACGTCCATAGCCGTAACGGTTTTCCTTTTAGCATGCTCAGTGTAAGTCACAGCGTCTCGGATAACGTTTTCCAAGAATACTTTCAGAACACCTCGCGTTTCTTCGTAAATCAAACCAGAAATACGTTTCACTCCACCACGACGAGCCAGACGACGAATGGCCGGCTTAGTGATACCTTGAATGTTATCACGAAGAACTTTTCTATGACGCTTCGCTCCTCCCTTTCCCAATCCTTTTCCTCCTTTTCCACGACCAGTCATAATGTATTTTTTTTACAGACGATTGCAACTCAATGATAAAATGTTTGGAACTGCGTTAAGGAACCAGGAACATGGCTCTTTTATAGAGCGGCAACCCTGCTTTCCCCTCTGCCTTACTTCTACCCAATCAAAAGTTCGCTGCGCATACGACAGTCGAGCTACGGGAGCAAAGGGAATGCGTAATTGGCTCGTCACGTTATGACTAAGAACTATAGGCACGTAACTAATTCGAACATCTGGGTTTTTTGCCTTGCTTGTACCAATAAAGCTTATATAGAAAGGGAGCTATTATTTTTCTTGTGTGAAAATTCTCGGTGAAAGCAAGTAAGGAAATCCAGATGTTCGAGCCAGTTACTTAATATATATAGACTATGGATTCCATAAAAATAGTTGAAATTGAAAAAACAGAATGAGAACAACAGTCGTGGTCAAGATTGCCACCTTGACGGCATAATACGGCTGGTATTATTTTTATACTGTTGTAAATCTGTTAGAGAGAGGGGGTGGATGAGAGCGAACAGTAACCCGAGTAACGATGAATATTAAGTTAACATTGATATTATACACAGGGTGCCCCAAATTAATCGTCAAAACGTTGGAAACGTGCAGGAGACCAATAAGCTAAGAAAAAAAGTCGAATAACTTACCCGAATGAAGTATAATATTTTACAATTTATATTTATACTAATTTATATAATTACTGCACTTATAGAGAATATAATATACACTAAAATGTAAAATGGAAAACACACAACAATGACAATTTCTTCTTGATACTCTTTGCTTTTTTAAAAAGCTCTCCATTTTTGCTATAGTCACTTCAATAATAACAATTAACATTTGAATTCTCGTTCAGAGACTATCAAAGTAGGAACTTCCCAAACATTATTACTGTAGATTTTAGAAACCTGTTGCTGTCTGATGCACTTACAACTTCTAAATACAATGCATTAAAGCAAAGTTAAATACATACAGCAAAGCATACAAATGCTTTTTTCTCTCAGCCCAGAAATTTTTCTAATAAGAACAGAGCTCGAAGATCTCTTTGAAAAACCGCAATTCTCCGCCTGAAAGCCGAACACATATGTACATAGATCGTAACTCTGGTTGCGGGATAGTGGCTTGTTTACTGTCATGGGAATTAGTAGAGAGCATCATATACATGCGAGGCCCCATCCTCTTTGCCTGCCAGACGCTTTCGCCAACCACCGTGATGTGCGAGTGAGAGGGTCACCGCCACCGGGACTACCTTTGTCTTTCGCTGTTGGATTTACTCTCTCGTAACAGCGCAAGCGCGCAGACTATGGGGACTCGTTTCAAGTAAAACATCTGCTCCAAACAACTGGGCCAGATGTTTGGAATGTTGAACTTTCTGAATAGTGTAGCTTTACTTCTTAACTTTCATCTAATCTCAAATAGTTTGAGTACTTAGATATTTTATTACTAGAATTAAAAAGTTATTCTAAATAGTACCGTATTATAGTAAAAATATATTAAAATTTGTTGCCACTTTCTTCATGACGTACGTACGTTAAAATAGTAAGATACTACGTAAGTTCATAAATTGTAAAATAAAAGAGAAAATGGATGAATAGTTAGAGATTCCTGCGTGTTAAAATATTTTGTGGCCCTGAAAAGGGCCATTTGTATGCTGGAATCCTTTGTAGAGTTACGCCTTCTTGTCTGTTTTTTTTGGCAATAGGACTGCTTGAATGTTCGGTAATACACCACCCTGAGCGATAGTAACGCCAGACAGTAATTTATTCAGTTCTTCGTCATTACGTATGGCAAGTTGAAGATGACGAGGGATAATTCTGGTCTTCTTGTTGTCACGAGCAGCGTTACCAGCTAATTCCAATACTTCAGCTGCTAGATATTCCATAACTGCAGCCAAATATACTGGTGCTCCTGCACCAACACGTTCAGCATAATTTCCTTTCCTTAAAAGTCTATGAATGCGACCAACAGGAAATTGGAGTCCAGCCCGACTGGAACGAGACTTCGCCTTTCCCTTAGCTTTTCCACCTTTGCCACGACCAGACATTTTCTAGATAACTTTGAAAACACGTGAATTGAACTACAAGAGAGTTAAAAGTAGTGTGTGATTTCAGAGCGAGAGCTCCGCTTATATAGCTGTCCGTTGAAGTTTGGACCGACCAATGAGGCGGTAGCTCGCACGTAATTGGTGCGTTCTCGGTTGCCTTTCACACCATATATACAGCGTCTCCACTCCGTTCCGGCATTCAGTCGTGGATTTCCACTGCTAGAGAGTGTCTCGAATTTACAAAATCGTTACGAAAATGCCTCCTAAAGCAAGTGGAAAGGCTGTGAAGAAAGCTGGCAAAGCTCAGAAGAACATTAGCAAGACCGATAAGAAGAAGAAGAGGAGGAGGAAGGAAAGCTATGCAATCTACATCTACAAAGTGTTGAAGCAAGTCCATCCTGACACTGGTATTTCCAGCAAGGCGATGAGCATCATGAACAGTTTTGTGAATGATGTCTTTGAGCGGATTGCTGCTGAAGCCTCACGCTTAGCTCATTACAACAAGAGATCGACCATCACATCTCGGGAAATCCAAACGGCCGTCAGACTTTTGTTGCCTGGTGAATTAGCGAAGCACGCTGTTTCTGAAGGCACTAAAGCTGTTACTAAGTACACCAGTTCAAAGTAAATGCTGCAGCATATTCTAATCGGCCCTTTTAAGGGCCAACAATTTTTATTACGTAGACCAGCCTCCTTTCTAACATTTTCCTTATTTTTATCCCACGATTGTAATATAAATGACATTTTTAACACTAAAAGTATCCATACCAGTTATCATAGCATTTGCCGAACTACTTGATAATTTTATTTCAATTTAAGATCTAAACTTTTAAACTCTATTTGACTTGCGCAGTACATATAGTGTTATATCCAATGCAATGGAACTATCACTGATATAGTTTCTTTTAATTTGTAAAATTGTGTCCATCTTATTTCGTAGTAAAAAACAATACATCGAAATAAATCAACAATTTCAGCATCAATAATATTGAAGAAAGTACAGTAAAGACTCGATATGTGTTCAGAATTTGGGACCGGTGAGGAACATTTAGCGAACAGAAGATTCGATTCTGCTAACCGTTTGTATTTTGCCGACGTCGATGAACGTAGAAAGAGACAGTTTGATAAAGAAGAAAGAGGGACTGAGAGTCGAGGTGGCCGTAGAAAATTAAATGCTTACATATCGGTGAGACAATACTAATGTAACAAACTTTTTTATTTTCTATTTTTTTTTAATAAAACTTTCACCATTTCATTGGTGAGATTTTCCTGATTAAAATGAGACTAAACACGATATTGTTATGACAATTGGTTATGATGATTAGGCTTGTAAATGTTCCTCTTTTCTCGCTGTCTTTCTATTTTGGTCGACGTCGGCAAAATATAAAGAATCTAAGCATCTTTTTCTTAAATGTGACGAAGGCGAATACTTATCCAGAACTTGAAGCGAATCAAACCCGACAGTCTTCTACACGTTATTGTTCGAAAAGCGAGCCGTAGTTCCTATAAGTGATCACAATTCGAGATCGCTGAGGAACATTTAGCGAACAGAAGAATCGATTCTCTAACTGTTCGTATTTTGTCGACGCGACGTCAACATGGGAAGAGACAGTAGGTAAAAGGAGAAGATGGATTCGGGCTGACATAAGCCCTGATCGAATCGAATTCCTGTTACAAGGTTTTGTAAGCAGAATGGCTACAGATTTGATGTAGGATCTGTAAATCCAGTTATTGCAGCAGATTGGCGGCAGAAATGTAACAAAACCTGCTAAAGCAGATTGGCCTCACAACCGAGCAGATCCTGCTATCATAACCTATTGCCAAATTGGAGGCAGAAACAGAACAGAGTCTGCGCGCAGACTATGATGGCAGATTTGCGGCAGATTGGCAGCAGATCCTGTAACTTCAGCCATTTAAATTCTAAAGGGAACAGTGAAGTTGCAGGATCTGCTGCCAATCTGCATACAGATTGCTGACTGGGAGAGTTAATAAAAATTAAATGCCTACATATTCGTAAAACAACACTAATGCAACAACATTTTTTTATTTATACATGTTGGTATAATATTATAATGTGTATACAAAAACGAATCCCTATGTTGAGGGACACTGACCATCAGACAAAGGCCTAGCTCTGTCACCAGAGTCGATAGGGTGAAAATACGTTACGGAACACCCTGTATGGATGTAAATCGGTGGTTCTGCGCAGCAGTGTTGCGCCATTGTAGGGGGTAAACGGTTAGAAGGAAACCGGCACGGCAGTCTGTAATCGTTGTTTGGTTCTTCGCGTCTGGTGCGTCTTTCTAGACTACCTGTTGCATCATTTTATTCATACAGAGATGGTAAGAATAATTTTTGATTTGTGTAAAATCACAGGTTTGATAAAAGTATTTCTATTTTGCTAAAACGCACAAATATAATTTCAGTGCGAATGAAATTGAGAAAAACTCGATTTGAAATGGGAGGAAAAACAACACACGAGGTCGGACGACATCCTGGATTTATTCAAGGTAAGTACAAATGTGTACTTATATTTTAGAAATGTAATTGTTTTGATGTATGTTAGGTAATTTTTTTTATACGCTTGTTGAATTGGAATTGCGAAATATCAAACCAAATAAATGATAAATCGTCATTAAGAAATTACATATGTATATCCTTCATTTCTGTTGTACGTATTTTTCCATGTATTAGGTTAGTGTATCTGAAGTATTCTTTTGTAAAGTGAAATCTTAAAAGTACATGATCTTTTCCCTTATAAAAACGATATGTTTAATCAAAATAATTTGTGCATTTGTAAAAGTGTATTTTTTTGATATTTTTGTCAACGATTATTTGCTCTTTATTATTTTATTATTGTAAATCTCTTTATAAGTTTTTTTTAATGAAGGATGTCCATTTCTAAATTTTGTATACTAATGATTGTTAGCTTTTACAGTTGCATTACATTCTTCTAATGATAAATTAATTCTTTTCAAAACAGTTTTCATTGTATTGTTACAAAGTTAATATTCACTTATATCTATAAAAAATAGTTTGCTTGAAGATTCAAGCCATTCGTAGTTACAAGAAATTATTTTTTACAATTAACTGTAGGTATTACTGGTAGATAATGCTTGTATATTTTAAAAAACTGCTTCTTATTTAAGATAATGCATAACTATTATTTATCAAGCAATATTTACTACCTAAGATCTTATGAAATTCAGACTTTGGAAATTCATTGCATTCTGCTGTAAGTGTAAACTGATTTGGATCCATTTTTCCTTGTATTATCCAGTAACAAATCTGGGTGTAGCAAAGTATAGAACTAGATTAGACTTTTCCGATTATCCTGAAATTTGATTTTAGCAAGCTACCCACTAAAACTCTTAGTACGTTAGTATTAAAACTCTTGCATCCAAATTGTAGTGTCTCTCCCACAACCTTACTTGGGAAAAATAGATACAGCTCACACAGTGGTTAGGATAGACCTCCATAGATAAATGACATTTTATATAAGCCAACTTAACACTTTGTTGACTGGCAATTTTACAATAATAACATAGGATATTGTAAAAGTTTCACAATATGCCATATTATCCTGGGTTTTGAAAATCAAAGTAGTCAATGCAAGTGCAAACACAAGTTAACTCGTGACAGGTCAACAATGTATTGTTCATATGCTATGTAATGTCTTGTTAGAATATAGATACATTGCATGTACAATGGATAAAAAAAGTATTGGTATACTTGCTTATTTAAAAATATCTTTATATCTCTAAGTGATATATTAATATGAAACATATCTTTTAATGTCTTGTAACATGCAGAAGTAGTGTACCTATTCTTTCAGAACACTGAATAATGTAATTTGAGGAAGTCAGGAAGAATAAAAGAAAATTTCATAGTCAAAAAAGTAGTGGTGCGCTTGCAATTTATTTAAAAATTCCATTACGTTCTCATTTAGCGAATACAAACCAAATGTTTAATATTTACATTTCTTTGGCATTAATTACTGAAACCATTATTGAAACCATACATAGATGTGATAGGTTAGGATGTGAAGCGGCCGGCATCGCTTTCGTTATTATTTAAACAACACTATTGTCTTATGAAAGTGTTGCCGGCCGCCTTACGGCGCGCCGCGGCATGTATTCTGTATAATGATCGGACATTTTATAGATTGACCGAAACTTGTTACGGACATTTTGCACAATGTCTTTTCGAACGGGCATTCTACACAATGCCCGGTCATTTTACAAAATGCCCACGTTAAACACATTGCCCGTTACAAACGGTTTCATCGCGATTGGTTCATTCCTTGCAGAGTAACAACAAGAAATAAGCTTTTTGCTATAACAATAGTTATTAACAATAATAAATTCCATACATTTCTGGAAGCGAGATCATCACGAAAATATCTCCAATTAGATTGGAAAGCTTTCATCGCGAACGGTACATTCCTTGCAGAGTAACACCAGCGAATAGGTTTCTTGCTATAACAATAGTTATTAACAATAACAAATTCCACAAATTTTTACAATTGGAATCATCGCGAAAATATCTCCGATTAGATGTGAAAGGTTTCATAGCGATCGGTACATTCCTTGCAAAGTAGCGCTAAAGAATAGGAGTTTGCAATAACAATAGTTATTATATATGTACAGGTAGGTCTCGATTATTGCGAGTAATAAATCCCAGAAATTGTTCGCATTATTTGAATTCGTACTATTCGAATATTTGAAATATAGGAATTGTTTCTTAGTTAAAGAAAATGTACGATTAAAATTTTGAAATATACCTTTCATACGTATACATATTATGAAATTATAATAGCATAAACATGTTTATTATTTTTTAAAGTATTTTAACAGTGTTGATTGCTGATGATATGGTTTAATAAAGCTGACACAGGAGTGATGTAAAAGAAACTGTACTTTATTTAATGGAGGACTCTGCTTCCGATCTCTAGCAGTCCCTTTTCGAGAATGATCATAAAAAAAAAAAAGAACGCGCTAGGCGACGCGAGAAAAACGCGCGAACATAGAATACGTATGTGAACAGAGAAAGGAAAACTATCATGCATAAAATCAGTAAGCGCCATTATACATTGCCTCTATTCTGACATACTATTAAATAAAAGATTATATTGAAATACATTTCTCTTCTTTTCGACACCTGTTACTTATTATATTATTATGATTATTACATTATTATTATTATTGATTATATCCTACAGAACCCATGTAATATTTTCTATTCATTATTTTTTCTAAATGAATATTCTTTTACCTTAAACACACATACCCTAAACTTAGAACTAGAGTTCGTCATTTATTAAAAAAATAATTTCCAATGAACTAAAGAGGGTTATTAAGTTACCTTCTTTAAAATATTTTACGTCTTAAAAAGTATCTCCGAAAGGTTTGTAAAACGAACTTAACTCGAATCACCGAAGAAATAATAATAGCATCGACCAGATAAAATATCATCTCATGTCTCATGATACAGTTCAGCATCGAACCTCGTCGTTGGTAAACTCATTGATTCTGGTTCTGTTTCTTACTGCGGCCGCAATATATTATAGAGGGCGTAAGAAAACATCAAATTTTTTCGCCGCCGCGAACTCCCATAAGGATGGCAGTCTTTAACAGTATCTCGTCGGTACTTTAACACAGGGGATGGCAGTCTTTAACAGTATCTCGTCGGTGACTGGGGCCACTTGGCGTGCCGAACTTTAACACAGGGGATGGCAGTCTTTAACAGTATGTCGTCGGTGCCTTAATGCTGTAACTAAAATTAGTTTGGCGCAGAAAATCCAGGCGGCGCTGGTGTCGATACAACAGATATAAATGATATCGGTGAGGTACACACACACACAAGCACATGTATTTGATAGTAAACTAAACTGACATGGAAACTTGCAATAGAAAACCGACGCGAAAAAGCCAACAAGGCCATAGGAGCAGCCTCCTCGCTCTTGATGAGCTCCTCCAAACTAAACGTTGCACTCAGAGTCGCGATTTATTTAATGTGCATCCGTCCGACTCTCCTATACGGCTCTCAAGTCTGGTGCGCCGCCGCTCCAACTCACATCCAGTCACTTCAAGTACTACAGAACAAGGCTCTTAAATTCATCTTCGGACTTCCGCGAGACTACTCCACAGACAAACTCCACCGTAAAGCTAAACTACCCAAACTACTGGAAGTAATTAAACTATTTAATAAACGCTATGACACATCCTCGCACAGCAATCCTCTAATCAGTGGCACCGACCCGAATCGATGGGAACAAACCCCCTACCAACTCAAAATCCGGTTTCCCCTCTCCCTTCGCGAATAAACATCATCACTAATCACTACTAATCGCTACATATCACACTACCTGGTCACATCCTCGCTTTGTAATGCCCCCGACCCCTATGGGGTCGGGTTCTTTCATGTTTCAGGTTTTTTTGAAAATTTTTCCCTGAGAAACCTCAAGACATCATCTTCAGTCACCACTACAGATACCTGAGGAAAGTGCGCAGCAGGCGACCCAGCCTCTCAGCCGCTGTCAGATCAAGCCTCATCCCAATATAAAAAAAAAACACACACACACAAGCACATAGTCCCTATATTCGTGTGCATCGTCTTATTCAGTCTTATTCAAAACGGTGATAGAAATAATAATGATAAAGATAAAAATAATGATAGGGAAAAAATTACAATATATAATGGGGGAATGGAAATATATTAAATTTTTACTACAATATATGTATATATATATATATATGTATATAATATAAAAATATTATAAAAAATAGAATTATAACTAATATAAAGAAGTATAATTATAATTCTAATTATAAATAATATCAAAAGTAGAAGTATACAATACATCATACATTCTGCTCGCAGATTACATTATTATACATTAATTTACATACATACAATACGAAACAAACATACAATACAAAACATACATTCAATACAAAACATATTTGTTAAACATACCAGTCTATAACTAAGAAAGATAGTAAAATCAAAAGTAATATTTTTTTATGATAACAGACTAATCTCCGGATGGTCCAAGAAGTGCTGTGAAGTCTACGTGTCCCATGATGCCACTCTTACTGTCTATTCCCCCAGTGCAGTCAGGTTTGCCTGTAAGAACAAAATTAAATAACATTATAGATACATTTCATGCTAGAAGTATTATTATGTATTTTCAGTATACAGGTATAACAGAAAACTTACATTCTTCTTCTTCTTCTGGTATTTCCATCCGGGTGTCTTGCTGCTCTATTTTAATAGAGGCAGCCTCTGACACTGTGTAATAAATATTTTCATTAACAATTATCTGCAAACGCAACACAAATTATGTAAGAGTATTACGTGGTAAGTTCAGTGTTGGAACTGCTGACATTGTCAGCTTCTTCATCATTATATATTTTTGTTCGAAGTGGCTGCTGCAGATCACCTGGGATTTCAGCTGTTCGGGTGAAAGCAGTGACAAATTAGGGTTGTCACATGCTTCCACCCACTGCACCATCCTCTTCATGTCCACAGAGGGAAAGTTGAATGTATTCAGAAGTTCACTTCTGCATCCTCGGACACTGCATTTTTTCTCCTTCCTTCTTTAAAGATACATTATAATAATTACAATCTTATCTTAGAAACTGCTTAAATTAAAGCAAACAATATATTATTATAACACCAATGTAAACAGTTATTGTTTTCAATAACAATTTAAAAAAATTCTGTACTTACTTAATTTCTATCTTCTTGTGCTATTGCTGCATCTCATTGTCCGCAGAAATATTGAAAAAATCTGAAATAAATTAGAAGAAACCTGAAAAAAACCTCAAAATCTCTTTTTAATTAATAATAATAGTAATAATAATAACAATAATAATAACAATCAAAGTAACAATAATAATAGTATCAATAACAGTAATAAATTGTATTAGTATCACTAATTGCTTGGTCCACGCTGTCGCTTTACTGACCGTTATCGTGGTTAATCGCCATATTTTTTAAGTCTCTTTAAATTTTGAAACAATTGAAAAACGCGGTGTTAAATTTCGCGGGAACATGACGTCACGATATCTTTAGTTGTGTATGTTGAAATCAGTGATACAAGGTATGCGTGTAGAGAAGCGACATCAGCGCCGCCTGGATTTTCTGCGCCGAGTTAAAATTTGCATCAAATTCACAAGAGTGGAGCTTGGAGGGCCTGGTTTTCTACTATCTGTAGTCACTGTACATACGTGGCCATTGTTACCCTATCTTTGGCAACGCTGGTTCTCGCTTCTTCAGTACAGTTGCCGGTTGTGCATGGTCTTTTTGTGTTCTGTCTTAGTTTTATTTTATTTGGTTTACAAATCAGTTATGGCAGAAAATAAGGAACGTACCTTCATTATGATTAAGCCTGATGGTGTCCAACGTGGTCTTGTTGGAAAAATAATCCAACGATTCGAGGAAAAAGGTTTTAAGCTTGTAGCAATGAAGATGGTGTGGGTAAGCATCCTCGCATATTGTTTAAAAAAAAAGAAAAAAAAAGAACATGCGTATTTTGCTTCTCTGTACCACGTGGATATTTCCAGATTGGCATATTGTCTTTAGCAGGTTTTCATAAAAAGATAACTAACGTTTGTTTTCATTTTAAAAACACCTGTCCGGCTTTATCGATCGAGGTGTAAGTATTAATTATCGTAACTTTTGTTACAAGTTCCTATGACCTTGAAATTTTGCGGTATTAAGGTAAAACTGGTACATTGTTAACATAACAAATTCTATTGCAAATTTTACACATAATGAGTTGTTAAAGAAGTTAATTTGATGTATTGTTAAGGCACTAATTTAATTACTGTTTTCCAATTTAATATTGGCACGAATCCTAAAGACAAATCCATTATCTTCTATATATTGAGTGCTTTATTTAACAATGTAATAATAAGTTTAGTTGAATAATATAGTAACAGTATTTAATGTTTTTCTTTTAGCCAACAGAGGATTTATTGAAGAAACATTATTCAGACTTGGCATCTAGACCTTTTTTCCCTGGTTTGGTTAAATATATGAGTTCAGGACCAGTTGTTCCCATGGTAATTATTTTTATACAATATCAGAATATACTGCTTTATTTAGTAATAAACAAAAAACAATAGGATGGTTTATTCATGAATATATTATAGGTATGGGAAGGTTTAAATTCTGTAAAAACTGGTAGAGTAATGTTAGGAGAGACAAATCCAAAGGATTCTGCACCTGGAACAATTCGTGGCGATTATTGTATCCAAGTCGGACGTAATATTATTCATGGATCTGATTCAGTTGAATCTGCCACCAAGGAGATCAACCTATGGTTTGGAGAACCAAAGGATGTTGTTGATTGGGCAACTTGGGCTGAGAAATGGATCTATGAATAAAATATTTGAATGTTATCAGAAAATATCTCTGATCTAATAATGGTACAGTTATTGATTTAAATTCATATCCTTTCACATTGTATATTGAAGAGCCACTGTATATAAGTTTGCCTGAGAAATAATAAAACACATTCTTACATAAATTAATTAATTAATCAATTTTTTTTATAAATTCACTGTTAAATTTTGCGATTATTTTACACTTCATAGTGCACTGTTACTTTGTGACCAAAGTCGATACAAAGATGGTGTCGGTACATCTATCCTAATAATAGTAGTGATATTTAAATGATATATTATTAATATAAAACATTATTTCAAATGATCAGTAATACATATAACTTAATATAAGTTTCAAACTATTAACCTAAACTCCTTACTATAAGAAATAAGGACGTTGGTTTTTCAATATGATTGGGATAAATGCTGTCTGATGTAGTAAAAAATTATTACATGTATCTAGATCATGTAACAAGTTGTACCAATACGTGTTTTAACACATAGTATGTATGTACAAAAATCGATGGCAATATTAGATTCAATTAATTATTGGGCTGATTCTCCTAAGTATGCTTTACAAGCTGGGCAGTAGTGTTTCTTTGTCTGACACGAGTCTATACAATAAGGGCAAGGGGCACAGCACCATAATCTAAAAATTAAGATTAATACAATGAAATGTTTTCAAAGTAACAGGATAACAAATTACATGTTTAATTATAAGTAAATATATGTTTTAAATAATTACCCAGTCACACAAAGTAATAACGCAAACAGATGAGTTTTCGAATTTGCTTGTGTTTGTATCTCTGTAGAAATATTTGCGTGACAATGAGGACACGTTAATCGTTGCGATTCTGAATCAAATTGCGGCGCACCTACGACAACTATGTCTGCAAGTTAAAAGTCATTTTTTCAATTATCTTCCTGTAAAAAAACTGGTTTTAGGTACTAAATATATATAGATCAATATGTTTCACTCAATCATTTTCTTTTAAAAAGCTATGCAATTATTAAAATACTAGGTATAACCCGCTCGTTCCTTGCATATCTGTAGCCCGTGTCCGAATAAAGAACAGCGAATGAAAAAAAAAGAGAAGCCGCGATCCTGACAATCGGCAAAGATCAAACCTTGATCGCTTCTTCCTTTTTTTCACACGCGGTTCTTTTTTTCTTCTTCCGGGTTCAGTGCCCGTGCCGACACGTGTATCGTTGAAGGAATGCGCGCCCAGCTAAAATGTGGGACCCATAGATTTTTTACAGAAAAATTGAAACCTGTTACATTTGACTCTGGCCACTTAGCCGCACAAACGTAACGGTTTTAAGCTAGTCTCGGCGAGACCTAATAGTTTTCAAGTTGAAAAGTGATACGGACGGACGCCTTTGTGCTTTATAGATATATATTTGGAAATCTTTATTCGTATCTGTTTACAAAAAAAAATGTCACTATCGGATGAACGTATCGAAAGTTTGCGTTATATAAATTGTAACGCAAATTTTGGTTAAACTTCGTCTTAGGGGACCAAAAATTAACGAGTCCAAAATATTTGTTCTTGTAGTTTTTGACCTGAAAAGTCCGAAAATGCAAGTTAAAAGTCCAGGAAACCAATAGTTTAAAAGATACGAGTACGATGTCACATTGACTCTTCCCCGCATCCAATCCTTTGTTTGGACTCTATTTGTTGGGTGTGAGTACCTTCAGTTCCTATCAAATCCGAGGGGATATTGTTTATAAAAAAAAAAACTTAACCTTAGGTATACCGGGTTTAGGCCACCACTTATATAATTCTGTTTTACCGACGGCGACTCCACTCATTGGACCAAATGGCGTCGTACTGACCTGTCAAAGTACGCCAAGTACACACATTTTCATGTAGTACTCGTATCTTTTAAACTATTGGTTTCCTGGACTTTTAACTTGCATTTTCGAATGTTTCAGGTCAAAAACTATAAGATTTGATACTTTTCATCCAGAAATTTTTGGTCCCCCAAGACGAAATTCAGCCCAAATTTTTAACCCGCCAGGAAATTGGGTCGTCTATGTCCAAACGTAATTTTATTATTGTTTTAGGCGTTTAATAACCGAGAAATATGAGTTTTGATTATAATCCCCTGCGTTTCATTAATTCAGTTTATGTGCCAATGCACTTTGCCGACTTCTCGATTACTGTCAAGTAACAAAGTTACGATAATCTAATCTTTTACGCACTTGGTTGTCCGTCAGTATAAGATGGTGGTGCTGGCGGCGGAACAAATCCAGGTGTTGGCGATGGAATAAATCCAGGTGCTGGTGGTGCCGACATTTCTTTAGACATAATATCTGGTGCTTTCCTTACAGACCTAAAATATGTAGGTATCATTATTATTCTTGACTTCATTCCCTTGGATTTATGAAGTACAATTACGATATTTAATAAATAAATGTAGAAATATAAATATGCCGGTGTAACGACGTAAGTAAGGGACTTATTTTATTAGTATTGTAATCTGTAATTGAAGAACTTTTTATTTGCAATTTTATTAGTGTCCCTGATGGACCGTGAGAAGCCAGGAAATGGAATAGGGGGTTGATAGCGATCTTACAATTAGATATGAACGTTGGTTACCAGACGAATATGAACCGTGCGTTATCGTAGAGTTGAATTGCACAATCTTTTGATCTTTAGATATAATGATATAATAATAATTCCCGTAAATCTCCAAGCCGTATCATCTATTGATTACAAATGTATAATCAAAGTTGAATTAATGGTAAAATTATGATTTTTTTCGTACTGCCAGTACCAGGTACTCTTCTATTTTTCCTCAAATTAAAAAAACTTATCAGTGTACACATATACAAGATATTCTCCAACAAATGTATGTACACGATTTCAGAATTACATTTGAACATCACGTTGACAAACGTATGTCAAGCAAAATGATAAAACTATTATCGACAGGCTCAACGATAACTAGTGCAAAACAGGAAAGAAAAGATTAATTGTTTGTAAAATTTCCTATAATTTATCGTCAGTATTGTTACACCGGGGATATAAATGATAAACGATAAGAGGCTGATAAAGGTGAATCATTACCTTAGCAACAAGTCCCTATGTGTTTTTTACAGATATCATGTGCAAAGAAAACGGATAAAGTTACGCCGATATATATAAGTACCTACTATGCTGTATTTTAAAAGCAAGTGGAATTCCCCGTAGAATACAATGATAATTATCGATCGAAAGCAAACACGCGATTTGCTTAACATCGCAGTGTGGCTGTGTTTGATATTTATTAACATGATCTCCGCACTAAAATCGATAGCACTCGAAAGACGATATCTTCAGAGAAAAAATCGCTATAAATAACGAAAGGGTTTCGATTTCTTCTTAGCAGAATCAGTATCGAATGATCATTCTAATATTATTCCCTCACGAATAAAATGAATGTTAAGATATACAAATTTTTCTAGTATTTTACATGGTACTTTAATGATATTTCGAGTTTGAGTGATATTTAAATGTTGACTGGAATCAAATAATTTGTTTAAAAAAAAAAAAATGATCATATTTTAAATGAACAAAACAAAACTATGTAATAATGATGTAAACGTAGCCTCGGAAATGGGAATAATATTATAAACACAGAATGAAAGTTTTGTATTCTGTATGAAGTCATTTACATTTTAAAATGTTTTCATTACAGAAACGAAATAATTTTATAAATGAATAACGAAAAATGATTAAGATACTTGGCATAATGCGACGTCACAGGGTGAGACTTTATGCGTCATAGACACTTGTATTTGAAACGAAGTCGGTTAATTATGAGTTATTGCAATTAAATATGTAAGAATAATCCACGTTAGGTATACTACCAACTGTTTAAATTAAGGTGACTAAGTACTTGTGAAAAAAAGGAAACAAACAAGAAATCATCAATATTGTTTTGCAAAAATCGAAATACTAATATATAAATTAAAGAAAATCTTCTTTAGATAATGTATGTACTTACATACATTAAAAACAGAACACTTCACAGTTTTAACTTTACAAATGTCACTCTAAGTATTATTCATCTAATATTTATACATTTAAAAATAAACATTTTTTTACTAGAAAGTCGTTCTCGATAAGGCGACTTGGTAACCGTAATTATTCTCTACTAATTTCCATACATACGAACCTATTGTATTTACAGCAACTATACACATATGTAATGTCAGTGCCTAACGTTGAATGTTCGATATAACACTTTGAATTTCAGCAGTCAACTATAGTTCACGTTGCTTTTGCTCCTAAAATTCTCTACCCGTATAAGTATCAGTGAATCGAAAGAGGGAGAAACTCGAATGGGGGATTTCTACGAAGTGACGTCGTAGGATACGTAATATGATTTGAACGCGTTTATCAGACAGTTTAAGTATATTGTTATTATTATATATATTGTTACACCGGATGGTATATTTATTGATACTTTTCATAAGAATTACGATAAGTATCTAATCTTTTTTCTCTTTACATCCGTTTATAAATTAAGAAGGTAGACTTTTCTAATTTGGCAGATCAGTTCAGTCAAACCTGTTTTTATACGGTAGATAGGGTCCGTAGAAAAAAAAACCGCACAAAAAAATATTCAGAAACTTCATAAATAGCTATAACAATCATTATAACAGTTTTTTCGTTGGGCCTGATAAAGCCACTAGCGTATTTTGTTATAAATTTGAAAAAACTATTCTCAACTATCGTGCCATATGCCATAATGATATTCTAGGCCCGTTTTCGCCGATAATCTCACTTCGCTGCACTACTCATGCCTACCCTTTCAAAGAAATGCCTGACATTTCCTGTGAAAAAAAATATTTGGGGCTTCTAAATATGTATTTTTGGTTCATGACTATTCAGCTTATAATATCTGAACGAGGAAAAATGACCAATATTTATCATTATCTTTTTAGTACACAGAAAAGTCAAGATGATTAAAATATCTCTGAAGTTCATTTTGTAATTAACGTTTTTGTTATAGTTTCAGTATATGTGGAACGATTTTATTTTAATAAACAAAAATCCGAAAGAAAGCAAGCCCTCTCATTTTTAAATGTAAAAACAGGAAATTAACGTATTACGTAGATAAAAACGCATTGAAAAAATACATTTTTAGGACTTATATGTTAGTGTGTGCTAAAAAATAAAAATTCTAAATAAACAATACCAATATGTAGAATTTTTTTTTCAAATTTGCTTTCGTTTATTTAGTGTATGGCCGTTTTTTTATTTTTGGTTAACAAATTTGATTAATAACGTTTGTTGCTTATAAAAATTAAAACACCATCCAAATCATTTAATTTGTCGCTTAATGCAAAAATATTAGGAACTTCTATGGTAAATGATGAATTTCAAAACTGAATGAGATACAAATACCGATTCATTCAACATTTTTATATTCGATGTTGTATTTATCATGAAGCTCCATAATTTGTGCATTAAACTTAACAAATATTCAGGTAATTATCCTTAAAATTTGTTTCATGAATTTATAAAGACTGTTAATCGTAAATCATAAATATAATATAAAAAAATATATACAAAATACGTAATAACTTTTTCGATGATAATTTATAAAAGGAACCCAGCAAAAATAGCTATCGAAAAAGATATCCGTCTAATAATTAAAACGATCTTGAAGTGGAATTTCTAGGAATAAGATAATATTAAGTTACTAATTACCCTGAACGCAATGTTTTCACGTGTTTGATAATCAATTATCAATGATCTCATCTTTATAAATAGATGTGCAATCAAGAATAGATTAAAAATAAAATACAATCAATGTCTTCTTTTACATATTTCAGTTCCGATCTAATTAAATTAAACTTATTTTGTTTTCTTCGTTTAATTACGTATACATTATAGAATAAGTTTTAAGAGAAACTCGTTATCCGAGTTAACGTTGTCTATTTAATTTCGACGTACGCGTATACCGTCGTATACGAGAGAAAAAAAAAAGAAATACATTGGACATTAAAGTGGATTGTAGTTTTCAACACTTGTAATTCTACGATCTATCTAATGAGTCAAAGAGAGCGATCGATCGATCGAAGTGTTCGCTTCTATATAGAGTACTACGTTCTTTGGCTAATAAGACAACAATCACCCTAACAACAACAGTATAAATGACAACAGAAACACGTCGCAAACGATAACGATCGTTCTACTTATCCAATTGGAAACAAGTCGTTTAAAAAATTTACTATTCAACTCCCAATATTCATTAACACGCTTTTTTTTTTTTCAAAACTTATATTAACTCGATCGATCGTTTATATTTGTAATAAATGTTTAAACTTCAATTTCTATATAATGTTACGAGTTTGGACGATCGAAAAATCAGGGGTCAATAACTACGAAACACGGGTAAAGTGAACTACAAATATCGATTTTTCGAGGAAAAATTTTTCATGTTTTAGCTCCGAAACTTGTGGTCCTCAACGCGTTCTTTAAATTGGATGTTACCTGATAGAGGAGAATTCTTCATAATTATAATATAATATAATATCAACGTGTTGGCAGTTATAATGTATGATCGAATTGATTTCTATCTCTGAAGGAGTTCCTTTGGAATGTTTTACCGACCGAGCAAAGGATTTCGATAGATCAATGACGCAGCCGAAAAAGGGCGGGAGCACTAAATTTCACGGTGATTTCGCACTACGTGTTTCGTGCACGATGCCTTTCCTTGATATTATGCTCATTCATTTCTCAGTCTTCGTTTCTTCGCGAGGTACGGTCGGGCGTTGATTTGGTTTTCGGTTTTCGCCCTAACAACTTGCGAAACGAGGAGGTCCATCTTGACCGAGTGAATCCTCCTGTACTCTGTTCGTCCGGCTCGCTGCAGCTAAGCGACTCGCTGATCTTTCTGCTCTTACCGCTGCTGCTACTCGTGCTACTACCCCCATTTTCATAGCATCGTGATCTTCGATCTCCAATCTCCGACGAAAAGCTGAAAGAACATGTAACATTTTTGTGTAATTTATAGCTGACCGATTCCACTCAATTTTCGCAATGAATTATTTCGAGGTAGTAAAATCTTCAAACGAACCCTGAATCGGAAGAAAATGCTCTAGCTGTTGGCGGAGCGCTTGAATTGGCTGACGAAAGCGAGATTTCAGCCACTGGGGTACTTGGATACGCCTCATCGTCTGAAGCACTATTGCTACTGCTGCTACTGTTGCTCACATTGCTTCCGCCAGCGCTACTGTCGACGCTGGAATCGTCGATAAAACTTATTTCTCGATCGGCCAACGGTGAGTTGGTTCTTTGTCCCCGTGATGTTGGTGTTGTCGACGTTGCGTTTGGACGTAACCAGGTGCGTAGGTCCTGTAGCGGAACTTGAAGGCACTTGAAAAGATTGCCACTGAAAATTTCAAAAACAGATGGTACATTAAAGATATCTTGAGAATATGGAGGTTCACGGTTATCGGAAGATAAGAAAATCTGATGGGGAAGGAACGAATGAATTTTCTTACTCGTCGCGATAATCATCGATCTCTGCAAAAGTACGTCTTGCGTACAGACACACGGAACATCGTCGACGACGGCGGCAAGCTGTGGCGTGAAGAGTAGCCGCACGAAGGTGTCTTGCAGCGTGTCTCAACGTGATCGTTTCTCGAGTCAGTGCTGCTACGCCTTCTTCTCGTCTTCGTCTTTCCTCCCCTAATTCTCCTTGTTCTACGCGAAGTTTCTCCTTTAAAACTTCATTCTACAAACAGAGAACATATTCCATGCCGATATCATCATAATACATCACAGCCACATGCAGTAATGAAAGGAAGCGTAGGGGACGACGGTCCCCCATTATTTATCCGACATAAAAGATCACCCCTTCCCCATTTATATTATTATTTTTATGTAGAACTATACTACATGTATTTCATACGCTATTCGCTGAATATTTGCCAATGGATTTTCACCTCTCTTTCAAGAGCATCTCGCTCGGCGCGTATAACAGTAGCCTGTCTGACGACATCCTGCCGTGCTCGTTCAAGCGTTTGCCTTGTAATCTCGTTTTGCGCTAGTTGCATTTGCAGACGTCGCAAAGCTACCTCGCGTTGCCTGTCCAGACGATCACGGGCAGCTAGGCAGCTGTCCCGTTCGTTCTTTGCTCTTTCCACCTCTTCCTCCAAACGAAGGCTTCGCTCTAGCTGAAGAAACAATTCGTCTTCCTTGCCACGGAGCTCTGCCTCGCATCCTTCTAATCGTTTCTCCAAGTTTCGCCGGGCCTCCTCCAATTTATCTCTCTCGGCCTTAAACAAACAAAAGAATTTTTATTAGTTAAATTATTTGAAGATAACAAAAGAAAATAAAAGAAATTATGAACCGTACGATAATTACACTAATAATACATTTAATTGAGCATATAGCACTCTGATAACTGCATTGCGCTCTTTCTTTATAGAAGCTGCCTCAGAAAAGGTGTACACAGTTTGCATTTATATTGTTTTCATTTTTCTTTGGAAAGTATCGGAGTACACTTATCAGTGAAACGGATATAAATCCATAGGCTATCAGCCAGTAGCAGAAACAATAGGTGGCAGGGTTACATTCATGGAGATAATAAACCTAATTAAAAAAGAGAATGGAACAGAATGCCTTCCAGAGTTGCATCTAATTTCATGGCCACTGCATTGGGACGCATCTATTACGTTCGTTCTTTGCAAACGATTCGCCAACTTACTTATAGATTTACAAGCCTTACTTATACATTTTTATGTACAAAAAAAAGAACCGCAAGCGTTATTACTTACTGAATCGGTTTCATGAATTTCTAATTTATTCAACGCAAGGCAAGGTGCAAGTACTTAAACACTTGTAATATTTGCATAACGTGTGAATTTTCACCGGAGAAGAATTAAAATGATACGGTTTTGATTCCTTATCCTCTATTCTACTATCGTCTTCGCGAAGAACTTGTCCAACTGATTGCGTAACCGATTAATCATAAATCATTGTTCGATGCGACGAGTCGAATACTAACGAGTATCGTGTCATTGAGCATTTTAATTCTGCTCGACGAATAGGTGACGGTCATCGACGACCTACGTGTAAAGCCCGACTTATTCAGGGTATAATTCATTCAGACCACATGTTTAACCGTTATACGAACAAGTACAGTTGTAAGTATTATAGTGAAAATTCCGAATCGTTCTAAGGTAGGCTCCGAGTGCATCGTCGACACTTTTCGAGAGTAACACGACCCGCTACGTGCCACACGAACTGTTAATATTCAATCGAAACGTAAGTTAAATACTTGTAAAAGCTATCTATCGTTTGACAAGAAAGCTCATCCATTGTTCCCATGTTTAGACTCGAGTAGCTATTAAAAAGAACTAGACTTAATGGATTCTAACGCGGTCTAATCGCGATCGTGTGACGTAGTTTGTCGTTGCTCGCCCAACATGCCAGATTGTAGGTCAACTTAGCCAGCTAAGCTAGACTCGAGAGGTTGATGAACGCCATTATAGACCAGGCTGAAGCATGTCGAGGCTTCTGTCGCGAAGGAAGAGGTGGAAAGAAACCGAAGAAAGCTGAGAAGAGAAAAAAAAAAGAAGATAAACAACAATGACAGGCAGAGAAAACGAGCAGGAAGATAAGATGCAAAACCGCAGAAGAAAAAGCCGGTGTAACGAAACGTAACCATTTCTGTTGCTCTGCTTTTCGAAGGGATCTCGAGACACGGTTCTGTTTCTGCGGTTTCCTTTCGGTACACGATCACGATCGATCCTGCGGCGAGAAACGGACAAGCAGCAGACATACAAGTGGTCGGGCAGCCAGTGGAAGGCCAAGGGGAAAACCTGTGTCTATGGCCTATGGGACATGGGAGAAACCAAAGAACGTGGCCTTCCTTCCTAACCAGCCCCCTCGAAGACCGTCGTTTCCATTCTTCTCTTTGCTACACCTGCTTTCTTCACAACGCTTCAATCCTCCACTCCTCCAGTATCCTCCGTTGCTTTTACTTTCTTCGAAGATTCCAAACAGTTTTACAAGGGGTACATCTTGATCCTCGACTAATACGGTATAAGGTCTAAGTACAATATTGCTGCTGTCCCTTCTTTTAATTCTTCAACGTGGTTTATGAGGGTGCGTACTAAGCTTGGACTAGCGCAGCCTAGGGTCCAAGTACAGTATTGCCTTTCTATCTTTCTACGGTATTACATCCTAATCCGCCCAGCATAGGGCCCAATTGCAATATTTCCACTCTCTTATAATAGACACGGTTGTTTCTACTGTCAGTCAACGGGAAACATTGTCCTTAGCTTTTACACGTTTCTACCAATGGGAAATTATTCACAATGGGAAGTCGCTATAAAATTACCTCCTAAAGAGTGTGTGAAAGCACTAGAAACGGTACGAACACTCGACATGGGAAATCCTAGTTATTAATGTCTACCTTGTCCTGAATTAACGTACCATTCAAACTGAGTAAGAACGAAACTAGTAGACATACGTAAATATTTAAAAAAAAAGAAAGAAAAAAGAGACATGGAATACGAAATGATTTATAAGAGGAATTGGAAGCATCTTTTCTCTCGCTGGCAAATTTTCTCCTCGAGTCGACAATGGGAGTGGCATCTTATCGGTATAGGTACATATTTCTTTCTTCTTTTTCAAGCAGTCTCTCGTGGTAGAAGCCTGTTTTCTCTTCCACATTTTTGCGGATAATATTGCGAGACTTGATTTCACTCCGGGAGAAGTAAACTCTTACAAGGCAGATAGCATCAATGAGACTAACAAAATCGCGGAAGGACTTCTCGTATCTCTCTGTTGCGATCGTCTCGAGAATTAATCACGCTGATACACAGTACTTGTATAAGTTAATATTAATTATTTATGACAGTGGTTCTCAACACGGACTTTGCTGATCGTATAAGATTACCGAAGATAATTTCAATGAATATAAATCCAATTAGAGTCACGTTAAATCTTATTCGAGTTTACGAAATACCGAAGCAAATTACATCACACGCTTTCTTTACGTGATACTATGCGGGGATATACAGTTCGACGATTCTTTTACGGCTTCGTCGCGTTTCACCGTTTACAACAGTCCCGTGTTCAACAGTTTACGCTGTCTTACGTATTATTGATTGCTGAAAAGGTAGACGGGTTCGAGTGGCTGTAACTATATCTTATCATATAATTCTACGTACCTTAACCTCGTGATAACGTTCTTCCAAGTAATATGCGACACCCTTAGCTTCCTCGTACTTGGCGGCCAGGGCGACGTACTTGTCGTAGTGGCGTTTGAACAACACGAACCTGTAAATATTTCAAATCTATTAGTTTGAAATCTGGCTTTTATCGTTTTATTACTCGAAGTAAATTTCAAAAGTATTCCATGCTTGTTTCATAAAGTGATGGTATAATAAAGTTTCGAAATTTAAGCACAGTGATTAATACTAATAGCAGGCAATAAAATCCCGTAATTTGTGTCCATAAAGTCACCCTATTGTAACCTGCAATTTGAACATTTTCAATCCAATTAACAGTTTTCTACGAACTTTACAATTTACATTCCAAACATTTTCAACTAATTTCTCTTCGGGCACGTAACAAGGGAGATTAATTAGACGATTCACACCCTGGCTGTAACAATTCCTGAAACAACGCTCGGCATCTTATCTCATCTAATTCTCACTGTAATCCCATTTGCTTATCAACCTCTCAACTTTCCCAATCTTTCGTTAGAGATGTATCGCGTTGGAAACCGGAAACCGACTCAACTCCCACGCGGGCCTAACGAACGCGACGAGGACTGGGGACGAGCGAATACGAGCGAGTACATATCGAAATAATGTAACTAGGAAGACGACCTCTCGGTCATGGTGTTGCACCCTAGAGTGGTACTCGTTCCACGTTTCAATCGATTTCTCTTCGGCTCTCTTCTGGATCTTCTTGGTTATAATCCCGACTCTCCGAAACTTCCTCTGTCTGCCTCTTTTTCTCTTCGAACGAGACTCAATGTTTCACTGATACTCGCACACCACAACCAGATAAACAGACAGCAACTCGTCCATTCTCTTTCGAATACTTTCGCTTTCACGATTCCTCGATACCAGCGTGTTCTCTCCTCGAGATCCAACAATGATCTTCTGTTCGACTGCACCTTCCGGGTCAGTTTTACCAACTACTCTCCGCCACGATCGTCACACCTTCCTGGACCGAGTCTCCTTTAGGTGACACTAGCGAAACCTGATTAATATTAACTCGATTGGTAATTCTAGATCGGTAGCGAAGGTGACGCGATTGCGACTTGCAATCGATAGCAATGCAACGATGGATCACGTAAATTGATCGAATTCGAAAAAAAAAAAAGAAAAAAAAAAGAATACTTGTTATTTTTACGAAAACTATTGTAACGCGTATATTTCAAATACTATTTTAAAAATTGCATCGTAAAATCCTCTCGGTTAAAGGTAAGTAAGTGCAAGGGGAGCCTTTTCCCTGTGGCCTCCGAAGAATTTCGGGAGAGTCTAAGTTAGGACCTCCATAAAAGATCTGGACAAAGCGCTATAGAAATAATTTTCCTTTCTTATAGAGTCTACTATTACAACGCGTTTCAGATTTGCAAACAACTATGTATCCCGACAATAGTTTTGTGGAGCACAACTGCCTTTAATCGCATGCATCTGATTATTTAACCATACAGATCTATAGGTTATTATACAAATAACTTCCTTCTAATCGTAAACAGAGATCTCGAATAAATCAGGCAGCTAACATTGCATGATTCGAAGTAAGGAACGCGCAATAGCAATTATTTTCCGTCGTTATTCATGAAGATTTCGAGGCCGTCTCCGTTCCTTTAAACGGGACAATGCATTTTCATGAATGAACCAAACGATAATGGACAATGCTAGCACACATATTATTACACGTGCATCTATAAATAAATTCAAGCCTAAATCTGGAGTCTGGGAAATATGGAACAAAGGCTTGCAACAAGAAAAGTGCTTTTTATGGACGAAATTGAATTTGTTGAACATACATAGGGATCACTTTAGAGCAGTGGTTTTCAACCATTTAGATTACTAATTTCTAATGACCTATAAGAATTTCTCTTTTCCAGCCAAGACTAAAAATAGGAATCCATATTCTATCGATCTCTGTCATCTATACCAGGGGTGGGCAATTGTTTTGGCTCGGGGACCACTTTGTGGAAGCAGAGGTTAGCGGAGAGCTGCACCTTTTAAAATGATTGCATTCATTAGTTAACTTTGCAATTCAGAAAGGTATAAATTGTACCATAAAAATCAATATATTTAAATATGAAACGAATCTTCGGTCGCGTATAGGAAGGAAATCTCGGTTCAAGGCGGATTTTTCTGACTGTCTTGGCGGGCTAGAAAAAAACTCTTAGAGGGCCGTTATTTGCCCACCCCTGATCTATACAGTAGTCGACAATCAAGGAGGTTCCTGATGCGTGACCACTGTACTTTACTATCGAACCATGCCAGTCCCAGCTAAACTGGTCGACTATTGTGAAGCAAAGAACAGAGCTAAAGATAGCCCCGGCCCGATGACCAACCCTTCTTCCTTTTTTCACCCATTCCACCGGTTTGACCTCAACCGAAATACAGCGATGGACAAACCGCCCCGATTTTCAGCGCCGCTTCCCTTAACCTTTCTGCTCGAAACGAGGAAGCCTCACGGTCGTGTCGCGTGTCTTTATTTAGAACAGCGTGTTTCTCAAATACGCGTCCGCTGTCATATATACGCGAATGATTTTGACCCGAAAGCCTTTCAGACGTCCTTCTCAACGGCGCGAAACAATTTTGTAAAATTAGACTGGACACGCAACAAAAATATCAATTATTCAACATTGTTCGAATGACGTCCAACAACGAACCCCTAGCTATCGAATAGCAATTTGTAAAAAATGAAAGCTTATTTATAGATTATTCGCAACTTGTATTTTTACCCGTTCTACGTGCATTATTCTTCGCGTGTTCGCCTCGCAGAATCTTAACCATCAGACGGGAATAAAATATTAAAATTTTCCAACCGTGGTATCGATTCGTTTTACAAATAACAACGATAACCGTCTCTAATTATAAAGAGAATTACCGGCAGGTTGATTAATTGCATCGATCATATCGCGTTTCGAGTGGCTACGAAGCTGCTGGTAATTTCCTACGAAACACCATTTTCATTGAGAACGCGGTTCGCGCTCCTACGGAAGCCGCTCCTTCTTCATTAAAAAAGAAATGCTCCTCGCTTTCCGTTTTTAAATACACGCGCTCGCTCGCTCGCTCGCTCGCTTGCATTCGTCAGCCAACTCGAATAGTTTGTCAATGATTCAACGTCATCGACTAAATCGAACTTGTCGCAACAGAGCCAACCCGGAAACGGATTTTCCAATACTCTCTGAATAATCGAGAAACTATAGGTACTTACTTCTAGCTTACGGTTCGAAAGAAGAAGTTTAATAAGAAAACAGGCATGCAAATTTACAGCAATCGGAATAATCGGATTGAAAATATCGAATCATCCTACTGCAATTCTCTTGCCACGTCGAACTACCTTGACGCGTGTCCAATCGTTTATGAAATAATCAAGCATGCATCGTTCGAACCGTGCATACCTGCATGCTCGTCTGCGTTCCAGCTGCAATCGTAAAAACGCGGGAAATCTAGCGAGGCTGCGTTAAACTGAACCTTCCTCTCCTTCGTCTGCCTTTACGATCTCAACATACATATTAAAGTGCCGGATCTCCGTAGCACGACTTGCAAATCTATAATATCAGCTTCGAAAGGAGCTCTCCATGTTATAAATTACCGAGAAATGGTACATCTGCGTTTTATTCGTTTCCCTCTACTTTACCGTTCATTTCAGCCGCTTTTATTGCGACGTTTACGCTTCAGAGGATTACTTGTACACTGAATATACAGGGTGAGGCGTCTGAAAGACCTCCAGCCTAAATACGTATGTAGATTCTTTAGAAAGGTTACATGGTTTTCTTATTAGCGGTGGTGTAAAGGTCAAACGAAAATAAACTTCTTTTTCTCTGAACACCTTGTACATGATTTTTACCTAATATCAATGAGCCTTATCTTGGAGCTGTTTGGACAGCATAAGCGGTCCGATTGCGGAAAAGATAAAAGAGTTGCAAAATGTAGGTCTAATTTCGACTCGAAGCAACTTACCCGAGGAAGGTGCGTTTGCTGTGATAAATATCGATAACAATCGGTGATCTCATTAGTCGGACGCGTAAATAAAAAGCGCTACGTCAATCGGTAAGGTCGAAAGATCGTTTACGGAAAAACGAGATACTTACTATGACGCGTGGAAGAAGAAAAATCGAGCGATTAGAGAAGAATGGCTACCGATGACAAAGGAAATAATCGTTAAATAGAAACTAGGAAACTTTTTGATCGTCTTTGAGAAAGGAAGTAATCTCTCTGTTGATAAAACTTGACACGCACGAAAGCGATTAACTTGTGAGCGTTAAAAATTACGCAAGCGAGTGTAAATACGAGTGGAAGAAAGAGAAAACTGATAGAATTTCGTACGTACCTGTACAGATCGTTCTCCGTGACGATATCCCGGATAGAATCCTCGGGATCGATGCGATCTGCCGGGATACCAGCTGCTCCTGCGACCCTCGAGGATAACAAGGGACAGGCAGGTTTCACGGTGGTGTCAGTAGCCTCGTGAAGGGCGCTGGCCGCGATAAGGTCGTCCTCGGAGGCCGTGCTCGGCAAAGCCACGCTAGGACTCGGAGATCGCGAACCACCGATCACACCGAGGAGATCCTCGCTTTTTGAATGTCTCATCTCCATAGCACCGTATCTACCGGTTGTTGTCGCCATCGTTCGACCGACCACTGCACGCTCGATTTTTCCACGGCCTGGATAGACGGCCGTCCTCTTTTTCCTCCTTCGTTCTCGTTGCCACGACCTCGACAGCCCGAAGGAATCGACAAAGATGATCTACCGCTTCTCGCTACTCCCATGCGGACCAATCTCTTACTACCTCTTCTCATTCGACACTTTGAATTCTTGCGATCCACCGATTCTCATATCGAGATTCACCTCCCTCGAACGTCTACGAAGATTCCTTCTTTTTCTCCGCTTGTTCGCGGCAAACTAGAATTTCTACTCGCCTTCTACGTTCTAGTTCATCGCTCGATGTCTCTGCCTCGATTTCTCTTCTTACGATCGACGATCTTTAGAAGGACAACCGTAATCGCCGCGACGCGTTCGATTAATCGATATCTTTGTTAAGTCGACGCTGCACACTCTCTTGATTTCAAGCGGCAACACGAGCACGTTGACGTCTCACGAAACACCGAAGGTAACGGACCTCTCAACGAACCACCCGTTACGTTCATTCGTGCGTTGATATGCATTCCTAAGCGTATCGCGGATCATGCCAGCCTTTCGGTTTCTCCTCTTTCTTTAATCGGCTTCGACTCGGAACCTTTTTTTTTTTAGCAAAATATCGTAGCGCGATCCGCGAGTAATCGTGCCGGCTTCCACCATTCAACAGAATCAACAGAACGTATCCTTGCCATGGACGAAGCCACGTTTACGCGAGCAGCTAAAGAATCCGTTCAATCTACCGCCACGAAAACGATCGACGAGTTCAATCACCGATCAGATTTAGGCCGCCATTTTCATTCGATTCTTATACGCGAACAATATCTACCTTAAACACTACACCTCTTCGGAAACACCGGATACAGACTGTGCACGTCGAATAGGCTCGTCTTTGTAATTAAAGTAATTAGGAAAAGCAGGGTGGTTCTTCTCGACGGACCATGCGCGGTGAACACGATTGTACACCACTACCTGGAATCGTCCACTTCGTACGAGAACAGCACACGAGACACTGATCGCCAAAGATGATTTTAATTTAACCGAGATCCTTCCGCGCACGCTTCCACCAGATTTTTCCGCCGTTCCGCCTTTCTTTTGCGAGCCACAACCGAAGTCTGCCGTAACGGGAACCAACGAAGCCGCTTTGTCCTGTTGCAAGGAAGGGGCATGCGAGAAAGGATATACCTATACCTGCGCTACTGCGCGTTCGCCGCAGGTATACACACCGACGTTGACCAATGAATGTCCCTTGGATGGAAACAGGTCACAGGTAGATCCTTTAGCCTTCTCCCTTTGATCTTCGTCCGGGAAAATAGTTGCCGTTTTTGAAACCACTGCTTCGAGGAATGACGAGCTGTTCTTTTACCGCCATTGGAATAAACACCGCATCACATCCGACACTTTCAATCCATTCTTTGTTTGAGAAATAACGATATTTTTAATAAAAGAGAGGTTAGTTCTCTTTCAACGAGAGCAAATTACTTTACACCTTTCGATGATACACTGCGACAAACGAATAATTGTAATGAGAATACACTTTCTTTTAAAAAGAATACTCTAGATACACTGTAATGCTACAAATATCTGTAACATCAATTAAAATCATCGAACCGGTACAAAGTTTTGACAAGGTGCAAAATTTTAATCCTGATTTCCCTATATTTCCTAGAACACTGATCATATTGTTGGAATACCTACCTATTGTATTGCATAGATGGCATAGCAGTAGCAGTCGTGTTTTCAAGCATTATTTGAACTGTAATGATGGTCGTTCCCGCTATTTCTCATTGAAATAGAAATCAATTTAAAATTGTATAAAAGAATAAGTAAATCGCAAAGCTCTATTATTATTTTTATTTTTACTTATCTCATATCCAGCCAGTACCTCCATTATGACGAGTTCTGTCAGTACAAATCCATCGACGCTATTGCCCTTAGGTAAGATCCATTTTATTTACGGCATATTTCTAACCTCACTTCTTTTGAATCCTACATCGTTTTGCAATATTAATTTACAGAATTAGTTGACAAATGTATTGGTTCTCGTATACACATTATTATGAAAAATGATAAAGAAATTGTCGGCACATTGTTGGGTTTTGACGACTTTGTAAATATGCTTTTGGAAGATGTGACAGAAAGCGAAGCAACTCCTGAAGGCCGAAGAGTAACTAAACTTGATCAAATTTTGCTCAATGGAAGTAATATTACAATGGTAAGTAGCCGTTTGAGTTGCTTAAACATTTTATTGTTCCAGCAAGTTTAATATAACTTGAAAATGTATATTTCTATCATCAATCGTTTTTTATTGCAGCTTGTACCTGGTGGAGAAATGCCTGATACATAAAATAAAACATTTGCTATGTTTTGTACAATAAAAATATAAGCATTAATTTAAACGTACATACTAAAGATAAGAAACATGGGAGAAAAAGATATTATTTAAATAAACAGCACTAAGCAATCATTGTATTGATCTTACTTATTATTTCATTAGTTGTGGGTCTGTCAATAGCATTCTGTGACCACATTTTCCTGTACAGTGTTTTATACACACCATTAAATTCATCATCACTGTCATCATCTTTGGGTCGGCTTCCCTTTGCAGAAATATATATAATTGTGTGACTGTGTAACCCAGCAAATGGTAATTTTCTAGATATCATTTGCCAAGCTACAATACCTAAAGAATAAATATCTGCTGCAGGAGTTGGTCTATTTCCTTTTAACACTTCTGGAGCAGTATACCCTGGTGTACCCTAGGGTAAAATTTTATGTAATAAGCAATAAATATGTTTAAATCATAGACACATACATGAAATTCTGTAATTTCACTTGGTTCTCCTACTGATACAGAACTACCAAAGTCAGTAAGTTTTGATAAACCATCTGCAGACATTAAGATGTTCTTAGGCTTAACATCTGCATGAACAATGCCAGCATTGTGACAAAATTGTAATGCACTAGTCACATCTCTTAATATGGAAACTCTTTCAAATTTAGTTAATGCCGTTTCGTCTAAACGATCTTGTAAAGTAGGACCACATAATTCCATTGCAATTAAAGATAAAGAAACACCTTGTTCTACTATCAATACTTTTACTATATTAGAATGTTTTAAAAAAGAGGCATGTTTTTCAGAGCTCAGGGCACTGGAACACTTTTCTGTTTGCATCATTTTAGCTGCTACTTGATCACCTATTAATTCGATATTAAAAATTGCCTTAAATAAAATGCTCAGCAGTAATTTACTCGAGAAAATGAATATATTCTACCTTTGTAAAACGCCTTATACACAGTACCAAACCCACCGCTTCCGAGTACTTTACCACGTTTGGCGGGAAGACCATCTTGTAATATCTTTCTCCTATTAGGGGTATCAAGATTAAAAGGAGATAATTGATCCTTGTTTTCGATATTTCGTTTATAAGTATTTCTAGCTGGAGTTGTTGGACTTAAGAATTGTCTATAATGGAAAAATACATAAGACATTTCTGATTTATTGAAATTAAGTTTTATATTTCTTCAAAATTTTCATTACCTTTTTTCCACATTCTTTAGCAAACGGGGTGATATATTATACAACTTAGTTGCTAGCCTTTGTGGTGAAGCCATTTTGCAACTGTATTTGTAACAGGAACAATACATATTTGTCTCATTTCTAGTGGATTAATAGACACCATAATGAAAACAAACATTTTTTATATGGTGAATGGTATTAAGTAAGAGCCACAATTGTACACAGTTACTAAGCAATAGCAAATAATATACCAAAAGCATGAAATTACTGTAGATTATTATATCTTAATGATAATTAAATGTTTTAATTGTAAGGATATAATTTCAGAAGGTTACAAAAATAGAGGGGGAATTAATACGTTTTATTTCTCTGTTTTCTAATATAAGGCATAAAGTTTGTCTACTAAGTTCCTATTACTAATTATTACTCTGTAATACTGTATGATAACTAGATTATGTACAACTCTTTAATGAACTCATAACAATTGATACTTATTTAGATAATCTCTCAGTAATAAGTAATATCAGTGGTATGTATACAATAACATGTTAATATACTAGATATAATTGTTGTATCTAATAAAATCCTGTGTTAAAAACTTCATGCTAATAGTACATGCACATAAGTACTGCCGATATTTTTTATAGCAGCCATGAATTTCTATCACAATTATGCAGCAGAATGTTGATTTGTAACTAATATTGGTATATAAATAAGTAGTAATAAGTAATGTGATTATATATTTTGTTCTTTTGTTTACAATAATAGTAAGATTAAAATTGATAATTATTTGATAAAGTACCTAGCAGATTAGCAAAATATGTTAACCAATTAAAAATAGAATGTCTTTTTTCTTTGTAACAGCATCTAAAATATTCATTCCCTTATTTCTTCTTTTTTTCTTTTATTGCACGGATTTAACATACAATGATGTATTATTATTATTATTACAGCTTGGTCTCATTTAAAGTGTAGAAACTTTACATTTGAAATACCGCACTACTATTGTAAAACTAATATAGTTACCGAGGCAAAATACCTACCAATACTGATCACTTCTTACATTGAAAATAAAGTATAAGGTAAGTATTTAAAGGAGTTTTATCACCTGCACAGTTTAGTTTCATTAACTTTAATTTCGCTTATATACTATGTTTAAATAAGTACACGACTGAGTTAAATAAAAACTGCATATAGTAAACGTGACTTAAAGGCGACCCAAGTTTTTTCGGAAGTAGTTCTTTAAATGCTTCAACCTTGAAGCTGTTTTCCTCTGGGTTTAATAATGTTGTCAGGTACTTTTCTAAATGTTGTTGATAGTACCTTTTCTGCAAATTGCTGCGGTTGTGCAACAAAACGCGTATTTTTTAAATTAAAAATCAAAAAAGAATATTCATTTCCTGAATATCGTTTGAAATTTCAATCTTCAAAATTATCGAACCAATAAATGTTCATGTAATATAAACGAACAAATAAAACGTACGTTATTACATGATGATGAACTGCTTTTCTTATATAATATAGAAAATATATCTATAGCAATTGAATGTTGTAAAAGTATTGCCAAGAAGTTTGTAAAAGAACCATTAATAGAAGATTTTATTTATGAAAATAAATTTCAGCGACAGATGAATTGGTTTGTAATTGGCAGGACAATAAATCTGACCTATCAACTATTTATAGTTGAAACACGGTACAAACTATATCTTTGTTTTTTCTTTTTTCTTTACATTCTCCTAACATTTAGGTTCATTTCTTAAGTTGTTATAAAATACCATCTTCATCTAGATATAGTAATTTTAGAGCACATACTCAACGGATATTGCTAAATGATTGTAATTTTTTGCACGCAGTGCTAATGAGTTACGGTCCCAAAGAAATTACAGATATATAATATTCATCGACGAGAACAGTTAATGAGAACTATTCGGATATTTCTTTATAAAAGACTTAGTTTCATTCGCCTATGTTACCTCCGTGTAGACGGACCAGCACCATTTAAGTAATTTACCATCTTTTGATTTGGCACTCTTGTATTCCGTGTGCCTATGCGCGATAAATTTTCCTGAGCAACGTGTCGTTCATCACCATTCTATTTTTTTATTTTAGAGGCACTCTGAGGCACCTTTTTCCCACCGAATTAAAGAAAGATGAAACGAATCTCAAGCATTCATTACGAATATATTAGATAACGTGTAGGCGTTTAATAGTTTTTCTGTCTTTTATTATCTGCAAGTGAGCCTTTTATTGATTTTAGTATATTTTTTAATCAACCATGCCTTTTATCGTTTATAATCATGTACGATCAACAAGATTTGATAAAGTTTAATGTCAAGTACCAACACATATCTAAGATACACGTAACAAGAAACGCATTTGCAACCGTTTCATCTCGCGATATCGTTATCGATTATTTACAAATTTTGTAGTAAAAAATAAATTTTTCGAATTTAACGAGTTAACCCAGCTCTGGGAATTAAAATTCCCCCGCTTATCTATTCCCTTATCTACGTCCCTTTTCTTAATCCTCATCGGTATAGATATTTGCTCTTTCACGAAAATAGACTTTCCGAGAAAATTCTTCACGCTATAGTAATTCAAGTGTCGTTCTACGATACGTGATAGGAGTGTATGTGCACGTGACAGAAAGCACGAACAGATCTGAAAACAATGGAGAATAAAGGATGTGGAAAGGGTAGAAGGAAAACCAATAGAGGTAGAAGGAGGAGGAAGGAGAGGAGAGGTGGTGTATAATAAAGGAAAGGTTGAATAAGGCACTATCTAACCAGGTAACGGAGCTTCTTCGTAAAAATCTGGCTCGTCCTCTGTGCTCTCGTGTTCCGATCCTTTGCTGTCGAGTGCCCGTAGCTCGGCCGCGGTAAAAAAGTAGCTCATCTGAGCCCTTAGAGGTATCATAAGAATGAGGAAGAACGGAAACGCCAAGGCCGCCCTGGTGCTCTTCACGATCCACAGTATAGCCAGGCACAGAATCTGTACGAGGGTGAAGATGTGCATCTTATAAGTTTGCACGCGTCGAACGTAATTGGCCGTGCCATGGTGTTTAACCGGCATGAAGAACAGCTTAACGCGGTCGAACAGTTGTACGCCGGTTGTCGAGGATATACCCATGTAGAGAAACACTCCCAATAGGACGGACATTGGTACACGGCGCAACAGTGGCGCCATCAACACGCTCACGCCGACCAATATAGCGACCAATAAAGCGCTCACTCTTTGCTCCTTTACCTCAACAATGTGCGGTTTGTCACCAGGAGCGTGAGTGCGGGACATCACCGTCACCGCCGACACGTGTGTCAGTGATCTGACCGAGGCAGCGCAACACCACGGGGCGCCCATTAAACCACAGCCAACGTTCATCAAACACACTACCACTATATCCATGTGGTAGCCATTACCCTTACGAAGTTTTCGCTCTTTCTTGTCGATGATTAACCTGTAAAAGAAAGGAAAATATTACTTTGAATTTCGTAACAACTATGACATGTGTATTATACCTAGACGATATTGTAACAACGAAAAAGTATTTAAATCTTACTCGGAGATCTGAGTTTCCATGAAAACGAGAATGTAAACCAATAATGCTGGAACGATGCAAGCCATGGCCATCCACAGTGGTATTGGTTTCTGCATTCCAACGGGTGAGACGATCCAATCTCTACCAGGTACAGTCGGTGACAGGCCTTCTGGAACCAACAGCTTTTCCGTCTTCACTTTGGCCAAGTAATCTATCAGCACAAACACGATGATGCTGATCGGTACACCAAAGTCACCGAAAGCTCTCCTGGCGCTTCGTCCAAGATAATGACTGTTACGGAAAATACGCAGGTAGTAAGCACCGAGAAATGTCCCGAGACATAGGATAGTGCACATAAGCGCGGTGTTCGGTTGATTGATCAACAATCCGGCGGCATTATAGGCCGGTATCAGAGTATCAGGTTTTTCTAGTGGAATGACTATCGTGTCACCGGTTTCGGGAGAAACGACCTTCATCTCAGCTACGTTCAGTGGTTCTTGATATGATGTCAGGTTATTTTCAGGAATGAAACTGTACTCGTCGAGAAGTGGATTCTTCACAAAATAATTGTAAAGCTTGATAAAAGTCTCGACAATGTAGAGGATGGAAATTAAACCGGTGAAGATTTCCTCGGTGAAACGGGTGAATAGTCTGACCAAGACGGACCCCTCGACGCAAGCAATGGCCAGGGCTATGATCCCCATCCACGCACCCACGTACACCCTTACGGTTAAGAACTCCAGCTCATTGGCCAGACAGAAGTTGTACAAACTTTCGTCGAACAGTAAGAGAGGACCGGTTGTACCGATGATGACCAGAGGTTGAGTCGAGAATAGAGCCATTACTATGCCGGTCCAAGATCCAGAAATCAGGGTCTCCGATATACCGATGATGTTATGCGTCTTGTCGCTCATCAGACCACCGAAAGTGATGGCTGTACAAAGAGCAGCAAAATACATGAAGATGGCTGCTGCCAGGCAAGACGAGTTCAAGCCGTCGGTAAGGTCGGACAAATAATAGGGGTAACGTCTTTTGATGTCGTTGATCAGGCCACCGAACGGACGTTTGGTTCTGCGTAAGGGATCAAGATCGTCGGGAGGTTTTTTTTCTTCTTCGCCGGCAAGAAGAGCTGTGGAAAAAGAATATTTTGATAATGTCTTGAAATCATGTTACACTTATTACGTTTCGAAATCGGTGATTCGATGGGCAGCAACCTAACATTTATGACAACGAAACTTACCCTTCTTGACAGCGGCCTCGCTTTGAATTGGTTTGCTCTTTTCCTCGAGCGCTTTAGCTTTTCGTTGCCTGATCGCTTCGCTTTTCGCCTTCAACTCGTTGAACGGCAGCAACGCTTGTCGTTCCCAATCCCCGGGAGGCAAAACGATCGAGTCGTCCAAGAACTCGTTGATCGCGGACAGAAGTTCACGCCTCTCGTTAGCTTTGTAAGCGACTTTATGGAACGACGTATTGGCCATCAGCGTGGCGATCGATCTACCGATTTCGTGATAATCTAGATCAGCGTTCCTTGGCCCCAGCAACGTGAACATGAATCTTACTGGTATCGTGACTTCCGTGATCGATGGCATGAACGCACCCTCGGCCAGTCTCACGAAAGCGATCGTCGGCTGGTCCAGAAAATCAACAGCACCGACCAACACGACCGTCGCCTCGGCACCAGCTGGGATCCTTTTCAGGATGTAATCGTTATGGCTCCTCTTCAAGTCTTCGTTGCTGCTCGTAAACGTCAGCTCTTCCTTCATGTCTACCACCGTGTGATTGGTGTCCAGGGCTAAATTCGACGACAAGATCTTCGGTTTTGTGTCGTTCAAGTTCTAGAGGGGAGCAATATTCAGATGTTAGACGATTTTTTTTTTTAAACATTCATCGATTTACGTACGTATGCGATACGTATGGATCGCAGGCAAAGAGGTTTCAAAAGATTTACATGTCCCTACGTGGACAAGCGTGAGACCGTTTTTTATAATCAGAGGCGGATGACAAAGCGTTTCTCGGATAATGTTTGATGTTAATTCTAGAGGTAATCGGCTATTCGTTTAACTTATTCAAGAGGGTTACCGAGTTAATCAAACATCATCTCTCTACGAAAAAATCCGCCTCTGCTTTGCGGTTAGCAAAAGTTAAATACCCGTAGCTGAAATACATATGTACACTGTATGAAATAAAAGTTCAACAAGTGGGGTGCACATAAAGCAGAAATAAAAACGATCAAACGGATCGTTAAACGGGTCTACGTAATACAAAAATACGTACACGAACGAATGGCAAAAGAAAATATAGAAAAAAATGTAGAAGGGTAAAAAAAAAAAAAAAAAAAAAATATCGATTTAAACGGCATAAAATTTCAATGAACGAAAGTGCATTTCTAATTAGGACATAACGATCAAGCTTACACCTTATTTCGGATGCTTAAAACGGCTACTAAATAAAATTTGTAAGTGCTGAATATAAAAAAATAAAAATTGCAAGCTATGGACTTACAGGTGTTGTGCTACAATACAAGTCATAGGGTGTCTATTTTGATAAAAATGATGAAAATATTTAAATTTAGCACACGTATTCAATGAAAAAGTGACCACATAAAATAAAGGTACGATAGTGAATGTGTTAATGTAATGTCTCGATAATGTGTTTGAATTAAAAGGAATAGAAAGAAGGAAGTGATCAAAGATTGGGTAAACACATTCATTCCCCTGTAAGTTCATGCCGAATGATGATCGTTATGATATCGATGATGAGGGAAAAAGCCGTAAACTAGCGATAAGATTGAAAATTCTGCAACTTTTTAGTCGGGAAACGAGAGATTTACATGTTGGGTTACATGGTTCTCAGAGGCTTCCCGCGCAGCTTCTTCTTCCTCCAGACCGACGGACTGTGGAAACAACATTAGGACACACCGTCAGTCACAGGCCTCCCGTCTCTACGGATTTCTATTGATTATTTCACACGATAAACTTTCTCTATAGGATGATACTCGATCAATCGACAACTTTCATACGCGAATTTTCAAGCTGCTACAGTTTTATCAAAGCACACTCATTCAAACGATTCTTTTTTAAATGTCGTTTCTAATCATCTCGTTTCGGTAAGGTTGCGTTTACTTTGATCAGGGAACCAGTGCATCACAGAAATAGAAAACTGTACGATACTCCAGTACCGAACGAGACAACAGCACATTCATTTAGCATACTTCTCTGTTAACAACGATTGTGATCGAGCAGCTCGCACAAATACGGTGAGATCTGTTTTATACTCTGACAAATCGGGATCGAGCGTGGATCTGTAAAGGTTGACAAAATGATAACTAACCGGGACAAGGAATCTTCACCAGCTGTGCAAACTAATTGTGCAAATCTATCAGAAACTTCATTTCAAAACTAAGGATCAGGTGAATGATCACCGCTACCTAACGTTCATTCTCGATTCCAGAATCCAGAAACCCGAATCCCGATTCCACGATTAAAAAACATATCTTACAGCATCACGTTAAAGAAGCCAGTTTCTTTGCAGACATCGAACATTTACCTGAAGACTGGTGTAACTGGAGTAATTCCGTTTGCCGCCAAACCGGAATCCACGATCGTGATCATGGACGTGTCTGTGCCTAAGAAGAAGAGCCCTCATCACCACCGGTCTGTCCTCCGGTAGTATCAGCTCCTCGATCACCATCTGCTCGACCACTCTGTACGCCAAACCAGGCACATCCTTCTCCTCGAGATCCAGAAGAACCACACCGGTCTCCAAACATCGACGAAGATTCAACAAAGAATGGAAGCTCAAGGAGGCGACGTGGGGCCTGCCCCATCTGTCCGCACCCTCCTCGACATCCTCCTCGTACTTGATCCATCTAGCCGTTTCTCTCCACTCCCGTTCCTCACCCAAACCGTGCAACTCGTCCAGCTGGACGAACACCTCGTGAGGCGAGTGATCGTACATCTTCTTGAAGGTGTCATGGGGTATGCCACCCTCCTTTTTTCGACCGATCTGCACGGTCAAATGAGCCGCCTTGTGACGCCTCATTCCCCGAGGATCGTCGCTTCTGTGCGACTCTAGATCGTCGATGTCCAGCTCCTGCAAAGTGCTCGCTTCTTCCGGTTGCACGCTGACTCTCCTGGTCAACATGCCCGCGCCATCCGGGAGACCCGCTCCCGACCGCTTTCTCCATTGCGGATCCTCCTGCAACGAATACTTCCTCGACTTGTGGTGATGTCTTCTGTAAACAAAAGAATTGCAATATTCTATTATATTATCAATCTGAATATTTCTTGACACACGTGGCGGTACTGTTGGCAACAGGCTGTGTTAGGAGTACATTTGTCGTAATCGTTTCGAAGGTTAGCGATTTTGACAGTGGCCCAGACAGACACGGTAGCGAGTCGATTTGACGCGAGGTATTCGACCACGTGCCAGGGAACTGTTTCTGCAATTTCAGTCGAGCTATTTTGTCTGTTCTGTCGTGCAATAAAGTCGGCCGAGCCGTGCTCGTATGAAATTAACGCGTCACGTGTGCTCGCGCTAAGTCGATCGATGAGCATTTCGCGGTGAGTCCAAGAAGTCACGATATTCGTAATGATCGTAAAGATCTTTTTCGACCGCATGCTGTCGAGTTGAAGAGAGAAATTTGTTGAAACGAAAGCAGCAACTGCTATCGTTTGGATACGCACAAGTGACAGAGTGTTTCACGTGTCGACACTTGATTTAACACGTTGAATACTGCCGGGGGTCATCGATAACCAGTATCCCGGGCTCGATAACCGAGAGAAAAAGCAATTTAAAATTATTATTCCATTACTTACGCCAGGTGGAAAGAATATATTAAAAAATCAAACGATTGTATCCTGAACAATTGCGATTCACAATGTCATTCAACGTATTAACAGAAATAGAAAAGAAAAAACCTTTCAAACCGCCTGAGCCGACCAACGTCCATGGTGTACCGGTCCTGACGATAATCACGACCCAGTGGCATGATTGATAAATAATAATGGAAACAATCGTCGCGTTTGTCACACCGGGATCAAACTAATTAGAAGAGCGCGAAGACAGCGGCCTCGTATAACACAGACTGTTTGATGGGCTCCGCAAAGGCAGCGTGAATCTCTGGCCGAAGGCCATGACATTAGACAGCACTTGCGAACTGCTTCGCAATCTCTTCCGCTAAACAATGTGCAATTATTTAATCCATCTCAAACCACCGCACATCAATTATTCTTATTGTATTAATACGTTTTTTAACAAATTCCATTAAATGAAATATGGATCATGAAGAATAGAACGCGTAGTTTTTGCGTGGGGAGGGATATTTAACGCAATATTGGGAAATTAATGCGATAGAAAAATGTTTAAAAATATATTGTAGAAAAATAAATAAACAGAAGGAATTACTTGTGCTCGTGTTTCTGATGCCTTCGACACTTGCGATCTTCTTCGTGGGTGGTTCCGGGTGCAGCATCGCTCGTTACATCGTCTTTTTGAAAGGGGGGAAGTTCTTCTTCCTTGATGTTCTCGAATTGTACGCGTGGAGTGCCAACAGTGGGACTTTCGTTGAAACCGGAAGCAGCCCTTTCCGAGATCGGCGCCTCGCCCTCGCTGCCGACCACGTTTTCCGTTTCCTCGGCAGTTTCTTCGTCCACGTCGTGTGCCGTACTAGCGGCATCCATAGCGTCTCCTTCCGGTCCACCGCCATTTCCCGTTTGAACTTGACCGTTCTCTTCTTCCTGCCCGATTTCTGCTGTCGTGGACCCTTCCCTGTAAAACGTCACGAAACATCCGTTTTCCTTTACAACTGTTCCGTTCGCGTTCGTCATTGGAACCTGGTGAATTTCAATTGATTTGGGAATTCGTGAAGGCACACTTACGATGATAGGTGTCGTCGCATAGATCTGGAACGAATGCTTTTCAGGGGCATATGCGGATGAGGGTAACTTCTTTTTCGGTGCTCTGAAAGACACAAAGCATAGAGAGCAATGACAAACTATTAAAACTGTTGAATCGTATTTTGTGGTCGGGGTTAATACTGTAGTATTATATAAAAGAAATAAATAATTTCGTAATAATGGAGAAGAAAAACTGATTTACGTTGATTTACAATTTTCTATGTTCGGAGCAATGAATTATTATCGTCGTAAATTATCCAGAAATGATGTAGCCTGTTAGTAAAGTCTTAGCACGAAACGAAATGCAAATGAGTCTCTGACAGAGGAAACGCGAAACGAGGCAAAAGAATAATTTGTTGGACGTACGATTGAAGTCGCGATCTCCATAACGTGGTGGTGGTCCTCGATCTCGATCTCGATCGGATCCAGCCGATTCGGAAGGCGAGCCAAGTCGGGCTACGTCGAACTTTTCTCCGGTGTCCATCGCGAATACCTTCTCCATCTCCTCGTCGAGTTCCGGTCCCGTTTCCGCGCCATGACCGTCGACCTAATTACAACACACAAGTAACACATTTTAACTACATTTCAATCTTCTCAATTTTTTTCTTCTTTTTATTCAATCATCCCCTTTATCCGAGGGTTGGATAGCAATACGAAACGGAAATTGAATAAAAATGAAGATTAAAATCGTCCCACGCTTTCGTAAAATCATTTCTTCGTAACATACGTATATTCTGAAAAAGGAGAGCGAAGTTATTGAAATGCCAGTAAGTAAATTCCCTTTCATTAACTAGTGCACTTCATTTACATTTCACTTCCCATCGCGTCTTCTATTCGTTTGCTATATGCTCGAACCCTTTTACGATAATGGAAGTTAAAACGCGCGTGAAGGTAAGTTGCATTAACGCATAACTAATTCCGTCAGCGTGGTCACTAATGATCGCCGACATCGACAAATGGATTGCAAAGTAATCATTAATGTTTCATATTTTTTTCCTATTTATAATAAAGTTATCATTACATGACTTTCATTTTTGATACGGTACCTTTCAGTTTTTCCTGTTAGAAACTAATTACAATATTATTTGGAATTTCCTGAATTTATCGCCTGTCTGTTCGCTATCAAGGGTAAAAATAGAAATTTCTGAGGTAAATACAAGCTTGAATGCTTCTTCGAAGATACTGAATCACGTGTATGCCATAAGTATAATCATCGTACGTTCCAATAGGGAGTGATAGATTTCTAATTACTTCCAAGCGTTTTGAATATAGTTTCTAGTATACATTGATAAGAGATAAACTGTTTCACTTTCGGTATTATTTTCTTTGATCATTTCGTTGGGAACGTATATGTACGACATGATATTGAATTAGTGTGAAGCCACAATAGGAGACAGACTTTCCAGGAGAAGTTCCAAATAAATAGCAAATAAATTCTTACCCAAGCTTTAACAATCGATTTACAATTATTACACAACACACGAGCAAAGGAATTAAACCCATTAAGCTCCTCAGAGTTTTCGAAGAATTTCAAAAATTTTTAACTTTAATTCAAAATGTTTGTCAATTGTTTAATTGAACGTCGATCACACAATCAAAGCAAATAGAAGCTCAAACAATCAAATCACAGTATCAAGAAACACACATACACACCAATTTATTGAACACCCTCTTTGGTTACTTCAGAAGAATCAACGCGCAAATTCCAACAGCTCGAAAGAATCAATTACACCAATATAGAACCTGTCTATTTTATTCTATAAATTCCACGAATTCGAAAGAACCAGTGTACCAATATAGAATCTCTATTTATTCAATAAATCTTAAGAATCCAAATAATCAGCACACCAGCACAGGATTTCTCAAGGAAGAACCATGTGCCTAATGTGTAAACTTCAAAGGTTCCAAAAGGATCACCTATACCAAGGCATAATCTGTATTTATCATATAAAATTTCCCAAATTCAAAAGAAGCAATTACACCAATGCGGAGCTTGTAAAATTCAGGTATCCATACTGCATAGAATACCAAATTAAACTAAGGATGATTAACACCAGTGGAGAACTAGTTTATCGCAACAAAGTACTTAGAAGAGACACTGTGTCACCTGGTGATTCGTTCGTAAGGAACGACGTAACCAGCGTAGAACCTTGCCCGACGCCCGTTGAAGGAACGACTTCCCGGAGGAATTTGCGGCGGCCTCGGGCATGGCATCCCGGGCCGAAGTGACAACCCGGACCGGTCGGTTGGCTCGTGCTAGCTGCTCGAAAACCCAAACTGATGGAGAGGGTTGCGCTGCCACCGCTCGTCGGACAGAGAGGTAGAGATCCCTAGTGGAAGGGGTGGCTCTGACGTAGGGGTTGGAGGGTGAAGCGAAGCTTGAACCGGTCGATATCAACCCCATACGTCGCCAACAGACGGATCCTTCGAAAGGTTACCCTCTTTCAACTAGCTGATCTTCTGATTCCACCGGGATAATCAGTTCCTGCTGGAATTTTTCTAACCCATTACCCATTAACCATCATCGACTCATTGGAAATCTCGGAATATTTTACAGTTACACGTGGAGTTTAATAAAAAGTTTGTAAATAGGTCAATAGGGAACCGACAAGTATTTCTCATTCTCAGCCGCATAACTGTACAACCATGTACAATTTTACCCATTGCTGTAAAGTAGATCATGTTATGTGTACGATGAGGTAGGAAAGGGAGTATATCGAGAACTGTGTTCATCCAATCAAATCATCTTAATGGAGGTTGCGTTACGGAAGAGGTGTGGAGAAAAAGAAGGGAGGAAGGAAGAGTATTACGTGCTGGTCTGTCTGGCGCACTCATCGACAAGGGTAACTAAAAATGGTCCATGTCCTATAGTTAGACACAGGGTACACCCTGTGTATGGAAATGGGTATCTGGGTGAGGACTTGCGAGAAAATAAATGTAGGTACTGTGGATGTCCATCTGGTGGTGGGCATAGGTAATATCTTCATTCGAATCAACCGGACCATACAAGCCCTCGCGAGTCTGGGAACATAAGCGAAGCTACGTTCAATCGATTAACAATACACATTGTGTTACGCGTACTTGGATTTCAAAGCCAATAAACTAATCTTAGATCTTTTTATACGGTCACTGTTCCATCGACCCAACCTTACATCGCAAAATAGAACCGAGAATGAGTACGTCAGTATGATAAATAACGTCACGGGAATATATATACACTTGATAAAGCGTGGAAATCCTACCATTTTTTATTCTCTTATTCTTGCAAAGTATTTCAAATGTCTCTTTATATAAATGATATTATGACAATGGAAATAAACGAAGATCAATTCACGCCACAATCTGACGTTTCGCAGTAGGGTAAAAAAAAATATATATAGTTAACTCCGACAGATTCCGAAATAACAAGGACTGTATCAAAGAATAGCTGTCCGCTGGTCGATGATGTGGATGCAACAAGTGTCAGTCGGCCGTGAAATCTTGGTTCGTGGTAGGGGCTCTCTAGGGCGCTCTACGGATGGAAGTAGACGAGAAGGCGAAAGTCGCGAGGGGGATGAAGAGATAAAAAAAGAAGGTGTCGCGGGGCTTTCACCGAGCAGGCTAAGAAATAGCTCTTCTCAATCGACCACCAATGACGAATCTCGTAACAAGTATTCGGAATTGTTTAATCAAAATCACCGGATGCATTATTAATCGATCGCATCGAGCGCGTACACCTGTCGACTGATGAATTATGAAATCGATAGGCATCACGATATGAATTATAACTTATCGAAGCTCCGCCCAAAAGGTTAACTTTATTTTCGGACGTTATCGAATGACAATAATATCGACGATCACGGAAATGATTGAATAATAAATCAAAAAGTATTTGAATTTAAATCGCGTAGCATATCTCGCGTCCTTGATGCTGAGAATTAACTTACGGAAATATATATTTCATAAATAAATAATTCTTTCATTTCCATCCATAAATTATATTTATTTCTTTCGTGTCTGTAAAGCATAATTTCATTAATTTTTTCTTCGGTAAACTATCGATGCACTTGAACATAAACACCTCTTCTTGTTATCCCTTTTTAATGTAATAGCTTAAGGTGCGACGAAGCCGTAGCAAAATTCAAAGTACATACTATAACAAGCGGGATTTTAACCACTTACACGATATTGAAACAAGTAATGGCTGTATTGTAAAAAAATATATAAAGGACAACGAGAATTAAAATCCCTTATCAACCGTTATCAAACGCATATTAAATTCTTTTAAAAATTCATACTTAATGTGACAAATTGTTAAAGAGGAAACTGAAATCTCTTTCCATCCCTTAATCCTAGAATAAGCAACGGAGGGAGAGAGAGAAAGAGAGGAGAGTAGGTGCCACGAAAGGGGTGGTAAGCAATCGAGGTGGCGCTGCACCATCATCGTTGTAGAACGGAAGAGGAAGACCAATAAGAGGGACGAAGAGAGAGCTTTTGCACCATCGACCGGGTTTGTAGAACGGCAATGTATACGTTTACACGTATATGTGCCTCGCTTCCTGCTGCCACGACCTTGAACCTGAACCACAGAGAACCCCTCTGCTAACCCTGCCACCCCCTTCCTTCGTCTCGTCCATCCCCGCAATGAAAAGCTGGATGAAAATCGATGCTGTGTTTTGTTATTTCTTGCCCGAAGAAAGGCACGGGCGTTCTTCTATTTTTAAGCAGATGAACCGGATCAAAGGGGTATATTAAGATTCATCCCTCTTTTGCTTAAGAGATTTCCTATTGCGATACGGCGGTGGTATTTACAATGACATAAATCACTGACACGACGTCTACTCAAAAATAAAATGCTACCAAATTTTTCAAAATCTATACATTATAACTAATAGAAAAAAAAGAATTGCTCACTTCTATGGTCGTTTTATGACATTACTCTGGCCTCGAAAGAGTTAAACATGGAGGCTCGGTAAATCGTTTAGCCGTTCAGAACCGAGAAGTATGGAGGAGGAAAGAAGAAAGGGATAAAATAAACTAAGAAGACAAGCGAAGAGGAAAGAATAGTCACCTTCGCGGATGCAGGCTTTGTTATCATGGAATGAATCCTCCTCCGGCACACTGATACACAGCAGCATGCTCCCATAAAATGGCTAGCCCCACCTTCTTTTTCGAGGAATGTTGTCGCGTAATCAACTTTTATGATACTGCTGGCCACGATTGACACCGGTCTCTTGTAATCGAATTTAAGGCTTCCGGCCTTGCGTAAGTGTTCCACGGCATCGATGCATTGCCCAGCAATGTGCGAGCAGCTCGATTTAACACGTTACAAACCACTGATGCACCCGGTGCGTCCCCTTGTTCGTTTTTCAAACGAAAAAATCCAGATGACCTAACACGATCCATGTAATGAAAGTTCTCTGCGAGGCTATAATCAACTCTCGATCCAATTCTGAGCTTCCATCGAAAACGACTTCCGAAGTTATTACGGCGATTCCAGGGAATCGTAAAAAAAAAAGAGATAGGCATCGTTCTATTCTCTTTCACGTTAATCCCTTTCGATGGCATATCCATTTTTTCAATCATTGCCAATCCAATAGAGAGCTGCATTCGTTAACAAATGATTCTGAACAATTGAAATTTTCATCAGGCACTGAAAACTTACTGTTAATTCGATTGTTAATAATTCAAGGAACGATCGATACGGTTCGAATCGGTGTTATCGAGTGTCAAACGCCTGCTAGCACGAGTCTCACAGGTTCGCAAGTATCGATTGTCGTTCGATGGAATTCTGCCAGAAATTCCAAAGTCAACGCGTCGTGTGTCAACACGTAAACAGAGGCGACAATGGATCATCTTTTAGCGGCTCGCTTTACAACGTGTACGAGACAACAAGGCGCATGCAAAGCACCTTCCTCGAATATTCAAACAGAAACACCCCCGATACTTTGAAACAGAAAGATAGCATCGCGTAAAATTATTCCTAACGTTTCAAATCTCACGGCCAGTGTCAAAGCTTCGCTCATTACGTGGGTCATGCTACAAGTTTGAAAAACCAAAGCCAACATTTTATTTATACTCAAAATATTCGACAGATGGCGCCATTATATCCAATAACTATTACACGCTAAAACTTTCAGCTTGATTTTCCTTCTTCGACAGAAAAGCACGATATCAGGTCAAAGATTAATAACGAATATCATTTACGACCCATGAGAACACGAAGAAATGTTAATAAGAGAAATTGAGAAATATGGAAGTATTTTGCAAGCAATTTGACATAAAAGAGCAAGGACGGTAAGTTCGTTCGCCAGTAATTCAAGCAATTCTCTTCCAATTTCCTGCAATTTCAAACACTTATCGGCACGAAACGACGCTTATTCCCTACCGAATTGTATCGTTGATTTTTGTAAAAGCAAGACACGCGAGGGTAGCAGGGATTATCATTCTAACCAGGGTGCGGTACGCTTAACTCTAACATGGATTCGAAAAGCAGGACAAGCTTAGGATTGGTTTGATTGCCGACGGTCGTAGGTCAATAAACCATTTAACATGGAACGTAGAGCAACGAGCAACACCTAACAAGATACACAGACTGATAACTCTAGTGTGGCGTAAAAACTCGAAAGACTTTTCTTTCTTCAAAATAAGGCGATCATTCTACCGTTAAGCTTCGTTACAGTTAAAGTTACATTACTGGTGAAAGAAGGTAATACTCGTCCTTACTCGAGGAAATACATAGTAGAAACGTTCGAGTCAACAAACGATTGTGGTGAACAAACAAAATCCAAATGAAACGTGAGAAAACGTTCGCCAGTTGTAATCGCTTTGTGGTTTCACATTACCAACAGCACAGCTCGCAATCAGCTTCTCGCGATCCTATGCGGTCATTGTGCGTGGGGAATTAATTAAACGAGTCACACGTGAATGCTCGATCATTGTCGCTCAGACATCTTTCAGCCGATTGTCCTTCCTAACCACGTGCTTTTAATCATCGTATTCGAGTTTATCAACTGCTTTCAATATGACACTGAAATTTCTAAAATTAGACCTTTTTGTATACAGCGATTTGAAGCAATGTCATCTTATTTTCAACGTCGTCTTCAAATAAAATATCGCCACGAACCTAACAGGTTTGACAAACGGTAACACCAAAAATGGTAACACCAAAAGCAAGCGGATATTACGTAAAAAAGAAGCTAATCGGGCGTGACACTTTGACGTCATCGAATTTCAGTTTATTTCAATGAAATCGAAGGAACCAAACGATGTTAAGTGATGAAATCGTGAGGTAGGAGGTTTTTTCTAGAACTCTAAACTTGTCCTCGTAATTAAATCCCGCTCGATCAACCGGCCGTGTATTTTGATTCATTGATGTCAACGATCAACACGGCCACCAATCGATTAATTTAAACTTCCAATAAACACTTACCACAAGAACGTTCGTGCATCGACGATGTCTGAGAAACTCGAAGAAAGAAAATGTGTGTACTCGTTGAATAAATTTTCTTATTCCATACACGACTTCGATGTAAAAAATGTAGCAATTTGTAATAAAATCTACTTTACAGATTTTGTAAATCTGCATGCTTAAATAAAAAATATCGATCAGACTTACCGATACCCTTTTACCAAAGCCAAGGAAGGACAGCTTCCTCCTGGTGTTCTCCATTGTTCACCAGTCGCGGTAGCTGCAGGAGGAGCAGCTATCTGCTTTAAGGTGTCGTCTTTTTCCTGGGTGCCCGGCCGATCCTGAGTCGGGACGGCGATGTCCACATGTGGAGGAGTCGCTGAGATGGCAGCTCCGTTCTGCTAGCTGTACAACAATCATTTTTCTCATTTACCTTCATGCTAATTTCTCTTTCCTTCTTTTTTTAATTTATAGACTATAAATGTAAGTTGACAACTCGATCGCCCTAGGGCAGTTATTTTATTGCCACGGGCAACTAAACCACGCCTTAGATAATAACAGTCGCATAGTAGAGCAAGGCAACAATTATCTAACGTCTTACGTTAGGAAAAAATAAAAAACATTTAAAAGGTTAAAGGAATAAGCAGAAGAAATGCAGACTTTTAAATGAAACGACGGAGGTTAACGTCACGGCCACCAAGATAAGGATCGCGAACTATTCTTGGGAACACTTGTTCGCAAACTAAGGAAGATCTTTCGAAGAATGATATGTCGAGAAAGAGAGGCGACTCGACGACAGTGACCGACCGACTGACTTCATTTGTGGCTACAAATGTTACTAATAACGCGACTTCCATCCAACTGGGACTCATTCTAATAGAAGTTGATAAAAAGCCATGCCATAACGTTCCGGGCATAAACAACGAAATAAACTGACACACGACTGCCGTCGATTGTTCGCAGTCACGTATTTCTCGACGTTTTCGATGCTTCTTTTTCAAATTATTACTTCCGCGAAAAAGAATATCTATTAATTTTCTGTAGTAATTACTTTGCAATTAGAATAATTACTTCGTGATTAGATAAAGACAATTTCCTTTTTCCTACTGATAGATTCGTGTCTGACTATAGGTGGTCCTTTCTCCTTATCGTTAGAAAGTGCGAGCACAGTTACGAGGAATAATTAAACAGGTAAAGAATTTTAATCGAATACGTTCTTCTACGAACACTCGGGGTATCGTATAGTTGAAACACGAGGATTATCATGGCTGGTCTTCTCACTCATCTCTAATTACCTGTTCGGATCAAATAGAATGACGTAATGAAATACCTTGCGATTTTCTGTCGTCTATTCGATTATTTGCACCACTCTTGGACCCAAGACATTTATTAAACTATGTATCCATCGAAGAATCAAAGAACAACGTTTTTCTTCCTGTTTGATCTCTAAATCAATTTAAATTTATTTGGAACACGGGGACGATAAAATACTGGCTTACCTACAAACACTCCCTAATGAAGATTCGATTCTACTATTCTTCTTCTACGGGTATTCTAATCTGTACAATTTATTACTCTAGAACAGATAAATCTCACCACAGGGCAATAAAGGCTTGGAAACGTAGTGAATGGGAAACAGAAACAGCTTTAGAGAGCATTTTTTCTTGTCGATTGTCTAATTTGAAGTTACACCGATCGAACGCCAGTCGCCTTTAAATCAAAGTAATAAATCGAGGGTTTGATTTTACAATGAAATTCTTAGTGTGAACGAAGCCTAATAGCACAGCCTTTCGAGAGAAAGGATTACGATAACGTAATTGACCGTAGAATCGTAAAATTTTCGCTTGCCAACGATCGTGCAACCTGGAAAATGAATCATTCGAGTCCATTCACGATATCTGACCGAGGCATTCAGAGAGAAGCCAATGAAAAGTAAAATTGTATTCGAGCAATTCAACTGTGCGAAGAACCTGCACAGATATGTGTATTTAGAAATGACAGTAATTACATGAAATATTATAATAATCTCGCAGTGTACCTCAAATGAAACTCTCAAACATAGTCCTATCAGAAAGGTGCTATTGGATGTAAGATTTCCTGGAAATATGTAGCCATCGGAGTGTTAACACACGAGTTAAAACTGGTTCCGAAAAACAAACTACCCAGGCTCATTTCACAAGGAACGCGAGTTTAGGAATGACTGTCATCCGAGAAATAGGTATTCGATGGTTGACGTAACGACAACACCTTTTGTCATTATACCATCTGTTTAAGTTACGTCAAATTGCCTTCGTTTTGTTTCTTTTCCCTACTCACTCCATTGTCACGATATCAATAGTTCGAATATAGCTCCTTGTGCGTTACGGTTTGATAAGGTTCTCATTGGAGGTTCCTCTGACTGTTTCTCATCGAGCATTGTTATCACACTTCCAACTCGATACCCTTGAAACAACTAAGAAACGTTTTTTGAATTGTTCTCTTTTGCATTGTCTTCTGCTATTTTTCTTTTCTTTAATTCTAAGTTGAGATGAGTGTGTAATAGCAAACATGTTGTCACTAAAATCGATGTTTCAAGGCAATTACCTTCAATTTATTCCATATTCAATAATCCATTGTTGGTAGAAGCTGTTTTGTACATTTCGAACTATTAGCTCAAGATTTCTAAAAATTATTCACTTCAAACGAGGATAGAAACGATTCACTGTTCTACCACGATTAAACTGCTCGAAAATTTGCAAAAGAAAGAGTATCGAAGCATTCGAAGAGTTTGTTCTGAGACGTTTGCATATTTCAAAGGGAGGTTGAACCATAAAACCTGTCAGTCGCTACGTGATACGAACTTATTTATTCATCAGCCTTTTACTGGGTCATATTCGTACTGTATTATACATGACGTGAATCATTTAGGAATACTACGTTACTATTCCACGCGTGTGTATATTCAGCTATCGGTACATTCCATAGGGTGGCATTTGTAAAACCACCTGAAAATCTTTTTCGATTCAATTCACTCGTCAGTGCATACGGTAAAACATATAAAAATGCTAAGAAATATAAAAATTAAAAAAAAAAAAGAACATTAGAATTGTCCAGAACGTGTAAGATATGCGAATCAAACGAATGTATTTTGCGGTTAGCGCCACCCTATATAATAGCACCCTTCTGTACTCGAATGGAAATTAAGCTCCTCGTCATGTTCAGCATATACACGACATCATTTCACCTGGCATTACCATCACGAATGCCTTTCCTTTCGTGCATTATTTCGAAGGATTACTTTTTTGCTCCCTATAATCGTTACACTGGTTACACGCAAATCTATCTTTATAATGAATTAACCCTTCCGTTGCCATTGGTTTCGCAAATAAATTTGTGATGGGTACCTAATCAGTCACCAAAGATAATTGTGTACCGTTCACATTGCATGTAACTCTGATATTATAAGAAAAATGAAAGAGAACACATTTTGACATGACCGACCCTAAGATTTCGGGGGTCCGAGGCGAGCTCCGAAAAAGGGCCTTCACATAAAAGTACCTGAAATAAAATTTATAAAATTAACATTAAAGCTTGTACATCGATTAATATTCAAGTAAACGTTACCGATCTTATGGGGGGACCCTAGGCGGCCGCCTAATCTACCTAGGCCCATGACCGGCCCTGCATTTAAAATCTCACGATGGTACTTCCTATGGAAAATTTTAGCGTGACTGGAACCGAGTGTCCAGAAACTCGTTTCTCTTTTTGCATCGAGATACATACATACAGGGAAGAGAAAGAGAATAAGAAAGAATGATAATTTCGTCCGAAGCGTCGAAGAGCACGTGTGGCGAAGAAGAAAGGACGTAGACAGAGATATCGAAGATTTATAAAATCAGGACGAAAACCTCGGGGTCTCCCTGCTTGCATAACCTTGTGCTACAAAAGACACACGCTAGAGGAGAAACCGGAGTGTGCTCCTTTCTCTCCAGTCAGCTTGGAAATCGTTTTGTTTCGACGATTTATTCGCTCGAATCATCTTGCGAAATCCAATCAGAAATTGGGTATGTATTATCTAAATCGAAGAACCAACCATTTGGAATATAAAAATTTTTGCGTTCGGTAACTAAACCCTTAGACACGATAGAATTAAAATGAAATATTTAATTGGTATAATTTGTTGTTATTGAAATATATTCTTATGGCTGGTCTTTGCCACAACGAATGGGGTAATTGGTCCAATTAGCTCTGCCCGACATGGGCGTGATCAGCTCCGTTATTAAACCGAATGAACGCGTATATTAACGTCCGCGTGAAACATCCACCACGTGATGAGTCTTTCCCGCTTTTTCCACCCTCAATTACCGTGACCAAGCTAGCTCTGTCGTTAATCCTTTGTCGCCAATGCCGTTTAATTCGTGTCATGTGATGCGTTCTCGTGATCCACGATCGAGGACACGCGCGATTCATCCGGTAAACATTTTCTTAGACATTGTAACAAGTTGTTTCTCGAAATTTCTGGTTCTTCCGACAATCGAGATCTTAACAGCTGACTCAGGGGGGCCTTGAGAGGCCGTCAAACATAATTACTTACGTGGAAAAGAGTGAGAAAAGTATAATTTTGCTGTTAATTTAGCTCGGCAAAGATCTACCTTCGTCTGAGGGTGAATGCATAAACATTTGAAATCGATACTTCATGCGTGCATATTCCACCGTTACTCTGTTACTTCTTACTTTTGCTTTCTTCTTTTCACTCGCAATTAAATCACGATATATCTTGAAAGAATAATTTCGAGTTATACTCGTAGTAGAAATTGGCGTAAAAAGATAAGATAGCGATAAAAATGTCAAGAAACGTGGGTGATACGCAAAAAAAAAATGGAATAAGGGATAGATATGGTGACAAAAATATAGCGACGAGCTGGTTGGGTCAGGGTTAATCGGTTGATCGTGCACGCTTCCGCTGCGAACTAAACAAATGTCTAAGGCTATCATCGATCGAACGATGTGCGAACACCCTTATTCCCACCTGTCGCTGTTCAACAACCCCTCGTATTTCTTTCCTTCCATATCTATTTCTGAATTTTACGTATGATTACGTATGACGAATTTTACGTTTCTTTCTCTGAGAGACCAACTTCAACATCGTCTTGATAAAGCAGCGATACTGATCTTCTCACCTGGTGCTTGCCATCTATTTAAACTACCCGTGAACTCCTGTCATGGATCACTGATTATCAGACTTTTTTTTCTCGATTCTTTTACAAATATCTTTTTCCAGGTAAACCTAGCAAATTTCGATACAAAAGAGAAGGTAAACCGTGAAAGGTTACTCTTTTTTTGCAACACTTCAAGATAGTAATAATATTACATCAACGTGCAAGCTCGCGAAATTTTCAATGTATTTCCAATCATCGACCAGTCTG